TATTATAAGTATTAGATTGGAAATAATATAGTTTGTTATGGGAGCATCATTATAATTTTAAAAATAATGAATTTGATACTGAATGAAAGTCGGACAGTATGTCTTTAAAACAAAATCAATCTGTGAGCATTGGATTATAAAAAATAGGTAGAATGGCAATGAATGCGATAAGAACTTATGCAATACTGTTTATGAGTAATAAATCCCTTCATATGTCACATTTATCAGTATAATCAAAAAATAATGATAATAAAAAATAGCATATTGTATTACTTCTAATATTTTCTTCATTTCTTTCTCATCAGCAGTTTGTTACTCATCTCTTTGAATCCTTTAAGAATGTCAAAACTCAATAATGTTTTTATAATCAACTAAATAACCTTTTCCTTTCGTCTTTAAGACATTATTTAGTTTTTGTTGTTCGTTTTTCTTTGATTGAATATGAATTAAATTATACGTTTCTCTTAATAATCCTTTATTCGTCTGTATTTCTTTTTTATTCGTCCTAAACAACCTTTTCTTCTTTCGTTTTTTCGACAATCTTTATTTGATTACATTTTTCTCTTGCCTCTCCCTCTATATATCGTTTGATTTAATCACACTGATTATTCACTCTTTTATAAAAAAAATATTCATTTGACATCTTTTTTTACTGAAATCTAGTAAAAATAATGAAATTCTTATTTGTTCTTTGTATCTTCGTGGTATTCTTCGTTGAGTTTGCAACCAGTACTCGTTGCATTTGTAAATGTTGTACATCTAGTGGCTGTAGCGCTTCAACTTATAGTGGCTCAACAACTCATTCATTCGATTTAAGCATTGTCTGCAGTGCTGTAACATGTAATCAAGCATCATGTTCAACAAATTTTCTTGGTGCTTGTCCAATAATCGGTGCTGCTGGTGATGTTGATTCAACATGTGGTGCAACAAGATTAGCTAAGTACAGTATGATCATGGTATCAGGTGTGATGATGATCGCAACAGTTATGAAATGGAGTTTATATTAGAGATTTGATTGACATATAAACAATTTTATGCTTTCGTTTTTGCGAACATGTTTCTTTTCTTCTTCTAATAAAGTTTTTATTATATACTAGCATTTACATCGTTAATTATAACTAGACGTTTTATGAAATAATAAGTATACGATTAGTGTTGACTAAGGAATAGACACCCTTAAATCAATTTTCACCATTAACTTACTCATATTTTAGTCGATTATGGCATGAAGAAAGAAAATATGCAGCCTTTTCATTTTATGCATGAATGAAATACATGTATCAATATTAAATTATATTTTATCGATGTATAATCCTTGAATAACACAGACGTAGGATATTAAATATATGTAGTTATCTCCATTTCAGTTCACTCAAATAAACTGATCTTTTATTATTGATTTTCATAAAATCGACCAAAAACAAGAAATTAAAAAAAATCATTCGTATCGTTTATATAATTCATTAGAACTTCTGTATATATCGAAAAAAACACATGTAAAATTTTTTTTTCTTCCTCTATCAGCTGTACATATGACACATGAACAATTCCATATATATATACAAAACGAAAAAAAAACACCGTTCAAGGAGAAAATAATATATTCAATCGTTTTGTGTGACAAGTGTATTTTAAAATTTTTCCAAGGACTTGCGGTTAGTCTCCGTGAAAACCAGTTCACTATACTCGATTTTTCAAGATTTAGTTTTTATTAGAACAACATAATGCCAGAAAATAGATAATGAGAGGATAATAGTATATTGATTTGTTTATATTTTATTTTCTTCAGTCTTAAACTTAGCATGAACATATTTTGATTTTTACAATTCAAAGTTATTTAAAGTTGATTCTAGTAAATGATAGAAAAATCGTTGAAGAATTCAAAAGTATATAAAATATAAAAATCAATTTCTCATTCTCGATTATCCTTGGTCAAATTTGATACACAAAACAAATTATATTTAACCTTTGAAGATGCGTAGTTATCTGAAACGAAAATTTTAATTGGTTTATACATAAAAAATTTATCTATTTCTTTCCAAAAAGGAAGTTATGATGATATAAAATTTCGTTATTACGTTTTTATCTCTTCCTCATCAAAATCAAACATAAAACGAAATTTTTTCGTAGATAATTATCTTATTAGTCGTCATTAAAATTATTGAGTATTACTCACAACGGTAGTATGATGTTTGTCGGAAATGACTCAGTCATAAATATAATATATTCAATAAAAGAAAAAATATGATTCATCGACTGAGACATATGTATGCATGCCTATTTCATGACATTCTGTGCCAATGAAGCGCAACGATACTTTGCTTTCTTTTAGTAATTTACATTGAAATATTTTTACCAAGTTAATTAACATTAAGCATGACTAGTATATATACAACACAACAAACATGTAAGTTTACATAAAATATCTTGAAAATGGTTAGAAAATCGATGATCAATTATGATATACTCAATCGATAATTGTATAACTGATCACTGATTTTTTGATTATTTTTCTGCTAAATCATGATTTTCTAATTGATTTCTGTCTCTCATTATTTTTATGATTTCATGCGTCTCCGTTTGTCTTCATTGCCTTACTCACTATCTCTTATTATTCAGAATAATTAATGGGCATTTTATTTCAAAAATTGAACTATAACATTATTTGACATTAGACAAAGTTTTGTAATAGCATAAATAAACGTAAGTATTCTTCAATACAAGGGAAATAAAATACTAGATTGTTTGTATGTTGAGACTGAGAGTATGAATTTTTGTAGAAGTAAATAATAGAATTATTTTTATTGATTAGTATACAAAGAGCTTCGATATTTCAGAGACATTTTTCAACTTATATTAATCGGAGATTAATTGGCTCATGTATAATTGTATCGATGCCATCAGTAAATATATCTGGATAAATAAAATATAATGAATATTGATAAGATTTTACTTTGATTGTTTTCGAAAATTACGTCGAAAGTGTCTTTTATTTTAATTTTTCTAAATCTATAATGAAGTATTAAAAAAATAATTAATTAAATATGTTTTATTTAGCTTTCATGTATCCAGTACCTTCTCGGAAAAATCCGTTACGAAATCGAACGTTTCGTATCGACCAAGAATTATATACATTACTTGGTCCAAAAGGTAGTGGAAAATTTGGATCTGTTTGGGAAGCTGTTACACCAAATGGTAAATATTAGTTTTACTTTTTTTTTATTTCACAGTCTAAGATAACTGATTGAAAACTATGGTTTCTTTTAATTGTATTTTCAATAGAACGATTTTTTTAAGGTTTCTCGACAGCTTATATCATTTTTGAAGTTTCCTGTTTATTCTCGATTTGATTGTTTTAGTTTGATTTAAAGTTAAAAAGCTAAGTTAGTAACGCTATACAATAAAAATTAATGATATAATGTAAGATTTTCAAAGACTTGCATAAATTCTACAAAATCCGGAAGTGATTCAGTACATAGTACAGAATTAAAAATAGCTTTCAATTTAGAAGTCAAATTAAGTTTACTGATATTTTTAAATTATGTAAGATTCGATTCAGTTTTAATTCTATTCTTTATTATTAAATCTATTTGTATAAAAAAAATGTTCTATCATAAAATAACAAAAATTTTCAAAGATAGTATGTGGAGTTGATGATACTAATATCAATTATTTCGATTATACGAGAGAATGAATTGTTATTATTTGTCCCATATGATGTCATGTTTTTGAATCTTTTATCTCACATAAAATGATACAATCTTCAAACCTTTTTATTTCAATCAGATGAAGTATCTCATGAACATTCATACTCATTAAATTTTCTTGTCAACGAAAAACCTAATATTAATTAATCTTTTCTTAGAATTTAATTGAAATAAGTCATAGAAAATAGATTGTACGAATTAATTTGTATTTTTAGGTGAATATGCTGCTGTTAAAATATATGATTTTCATCGTCGCGGACGTAATATAAATTCAGCTCAAATTGGACAATCGTTTGAAGCTGAAGTTCGAATGGCATATGCAATGCGTCATGAAACAAATTTTGCTGTAACTATGTATGGTTTTGATTTTGATCCAGAACAACGTTTAGGTTTCATGGCTATGGAATTGGGTGATGATTCATTAAAAGATAGAGCTCAATATCTTCATCAAATACGTGTCGATTCAGGAAAACCTGGTTATGATTATATTTCATCGACTGATCGAAAGTATATATGGGTTCAATTAGTCGAAATTATTCTTGCACTTCATCGACATCGTATCGTAAGTCAACTAAAGAATTCTTTCTAGTTCAGACATTTTCAGATATTGTTGTAGGTTTTACATGATTTCTTGTTGTTTTTATTGCTTTCTGAGGATCTCTAATCATTTCTACTGATAGAAATCAAAGAAATCAAAAACATTCAGAGAAATCAAGAAATCAGTTTGTTGTCCCTTGAAATTTAATCAATACATTAATTAAATCTTTTCCAACAGATAACTAAATATAAGGTCAATTAAATATTGTCGAGATTTTATTCATTGACACAAAAACAATTTCATAATATGTTTTTCTTTTCCTGTTAATAATTTTTTTATAAGATTATCTTTATAAAAAAAGATAAAATAAGTGTGTAACTGAAATTAATTAATACTATTGCAAAAATTTTATTTTAGATTCATCGTGATATGAAACCATCTAATTTAGTATTTTTTGGTCCAACTATGAAAATTGTAGATTTTGGTTTAGCACAAAAAGAATTTCAAGCGTAAGTTTTCTATTCTTACATTTAGAATTATTATTCTTATTGTTCTTATTATTTTTAGACATCCTAGACATCAAAGATTGATCGGTGCTATTTCCTATAGTGCACCAGAATGTTTAACAGGTGAAGCTCCTATCACAACAAAAGCTGATATATGGTCAGTAGGTGCTATTCTATATTTTTTAACTTATGGAGTTAAACCTCCGTACTGGACTGCACAACCACCATCTGGTATTCCACCAACTCGTTCTACACTTGTACAAGATGTAATTCATCGTTGTCTTCAACGGAATTTATATCGAAGAGCGGATCAAAGTTGGCTTGCTCAACATCCTTTGACGAGTGATAGTACAACTGTTTAGACTAATATGACTAGATTTTTTCTTCTAACAACTTTTTTAAATCAATTTAATTATAAAAACATTTTCAAATCTTTATTCATCAATATATAGAATAAATTATGTCAATTTTGAAAATATATTATCATAGGAATATAACGCATAAATAATAATACGACATCACAAAAATAATTTATTTTACAAAATTCATTTCAATGTATTTTCAAATGAAAATAACATATCTTTAAATCAAAAAAAAAAATTCAAGAGTAAGAATGACACTATATTTTAATCTTGTTGTTCTTCTCGATGTCTTATTTAATTCCTATACTATTGTATATCAAATAAACTTTTTCTCTTCCATTCTATTCTTTTCTATATATATGAGAGAATGGCAAAATAAATGTTTACTATGCATTATTTGTTGTATCGATGACTATAAGAAGTGTTTTAAAATATGTAAAACATTAAGATTGTACTTCACAGGATCATTTTCTGTAGTACATATCGACAAAACACCCATAGCCAAAGAAGACCCAAACAACTCACGATGACGAGTGGCAGTGGTTCTTCTTGAGCGTGAAATAGGATGGGGTTACTCTTTTCTCGAGAGTTCGGCCTGCTTCCTTTGATGATCGCACCTTATCGTATCCATTGTGATGTGATAAGGAGGGAAGTGACCACATTCAGAGTGATTTCATCTTTTTAATAAATCAAATGAAAAATAAATATATTAATTTTTTTCTTCTATTTCATAGTGGAAATTTCTATATCTAAATCACTTACTATAATGAAAATACTTCATTTTTTCTTGATAATGTAATTTTTTACTGATACTGTATTATCTACCTCAAAGACAAGTCGATGTTTTAATAATTCAATAATAATATGATTAAAATAAAACATTGTTTCATATATTATGTTTTTATGTCATAACTCAGATTAAAAAGGTGCATAGGTGATGAAGCATGACTTTTACGTTCTCTTACTTTGTGAGATTTTTTTTTCTGTCGGTGTATTTATATATCTTTATCTATTACACGTTTTTATGAGAATGTATTATTTACTCCTTATCAATCTACCTTAACGTAGACGTTTATTTTATGGAGGTCTCTATAAGAAATTCGTGAAAAAATGTATCTTTCTAAAAACAAATAAACGTACAATAATAAAAGATATTTATTATAACTCTAATAACTAGTGTATTTCTATATTTTAGAAAAGAAATGTATAAATGTAAGTGAGGTTAACGCTGTGTTACAAGTTTGATTTTCACTTTTATTTGACTAAGTTTTTCTTTTTTTTCTTTTCTTTTCTTTCATTCCTTCCATAACACCATTTCAAACTGATTATTCTCTTTCGTAAATAATAACTAGATATATCTTCTTGTTTATTTTATTATGACACGTAACTTGGTCGTTCGTCACTTTCCTTATATTTCCACGTGTTTTTCTCTTAATGTATCTTGTTGATTTTGAATATTAAAGTAAAAATTTGGGATTAGATACATTTTATTTAATGATTATTCCCTACAAAATTTCAATTATCTATGAAAAGCATTTTTCCAACGCAGCTATGTCAAGAATATCGTTCTAATTTTATTTAGATTATTATCTAATTTTATAAAATGGCTGATTCAAATGAAAAAATGATTCCCATTGAAACTCCTAGTGGAAAATTTAATGTATGGACAAAACGTATTGGTAACAATTCAACTATTAAACTTTTATTATTACATGGTGGTCCAGGTTGTACACATGAACTTTTTAAAAATTTCGAAAATTTTTTACCTGCTGCTGACATCGAATTCTATTATTATGATCAACTTGATTCATTTTTTAGTGATAAATCGAATGATTCTACTTTATGGACAATTGAACATTTTGTTGATGAAGTTGAACAAGTTCGAAAAGCTCTCGGATTAAATAAAGATAATTTCTATTTACTTGGACATAGTTGGGGTGGTATATTAGCATTGGAATATGCATTAGCATATCAAGAAAATTTAAAAGGTTTAATTATTAGTAATATGATGAGTGATGCACCAGATTATGGAAAATATGCTGAAAATGTTTTATCTAAAGGAATGGATCCTGATATATTAAAAGATATTAGAAAGATCGAAGCTGATAAAGATTATCAAAATCCAAAATATATGGAATTATTAATGCCGAATTTTTATTGTAAACATGTTTGTCGATTACAACCTTGGCCTGAAATAATTAATACTGCTTTTTCACATATAAATAATGATATTTACACATTAATGCAAGGTCCATCAGAATTTGGAATATCGGGATTATTAGAAAAATGGAGTAGAAAAGATGATTTATTAAAAATACAAGTACCAACACTTATGATTGGTGGAATATTTGATACAATGGATCCTGAACATATGAAATGGATGGCTAAAGAAGTAAAACAAGGTTCAGTTTTAATTTGTCATAATGGTAGCCATTGTTCTATGTGGGATGATCAAGAACATTATTTTCCTGGACTCATTCAATTTATTCAAAGTGTTGATAAAGGTGAAAAACCAAAGCCTATAATTCAAGTTTAATATATACGAGTGTCAAAACATTTATATTATAAAATATCAATAAAAAAAAAGTCGTTCTATATTTTTATATTCTTTCATATTTTATTCATTGAATGTGTAGATATAATATATTATTAAACTATTTTTTTATTTTTAATTCATTATATATACTTGATGTACTTCAAATTGCATAGATGTCAATAGAAAAAAAACATCTGATTTGAATGAAATTGATGAAACATAGTTATAATTATGTAGAAAAAATCTTTCTTTTTCTATTATATATATTTCTTAATGCAACCATTATCTCTATTGCTCTTGATCTCGGATATTTCTTGATCAATCATGTAGAGAATATTCATCAATATTTGTTCAACTTCTATCTTAATTCTTATTCAGTTGTATATATTAATGAATTTCTGTAATATTGACAGTTCTCTACTATTAACATCTTCTTACTTTGGACGGTGAGTACTTATTTCTGATCGCATGAACAATTATATTTTATCAATCATACTTGAGGCAGAAAAAAAATGAAATATCATGTGTTACATTGTCATGAATATATACGAAATGTATAGATAATTTGTCATTTTTCAGTAATTCATATTCGTGACAATGAATAAATAGATATATTTTGAGCGTAAAAAGTCTATATATCATAGAAATGTTCAATTACTATCTATTATCATGCACGATTGCTTTTAAATCTTGGAGTAGATGGTTGTAATTACGTATTTATAAAAAAAAATAGAAGAGGCGAACGGTTTTATTATTCAAAGATAAATAATTAAAAAAAAACTTTTATTTCTTTTTTTAAATTTCTCTTACGTCATGAATTTAATAAGATAGATATTATTCTAATAATTGCTTGTTCATAGAATATTAACAATTAAATAAATTTTGTTTATATAATTGAAAAACTAATTATTTCTAATATTAATTTTTTTTAAAATTTCTTTGATGATAGACTGTTATGCTTAAGTAGGAGAAAAAAAAAATCTTTTTCTATTCTCAAATAAGTTCACTCAACATAATAGATTTACAATACTTTTTTTGTAGACGATATTATTTTCTATATTATATGACAATATGATATTAAAAGATAGTGATAATTATTCAAAAGATCATATTGAAATGCCTTCATTATTCAATAAAAATCGATCTGATGAAATATCTTCAAGTAAATCAATATATACAACATGGCAACTTATTATGTTTATATTTATGTTATTAATTCTTGTTAGTCTTTTTGGTCTTTGTTTATGTTATCAACGTTTTTTACTTAATTATGTATTTGATCTCTGTTCAAAGACTAAATCAAATAATAATAATAATAATATAGATCAACATACAATTATATATCAGCGAACTCCATCATCAAATAGTGTTTCATCAACTTTTTTAACTGTACCACAATTTACACAACATCATTATTATAATCAATGATATAGATATTCTCTTTTCAACAAATTAATTACAATAAAAAATCAAAACAGACAATGTTTTTTTTTTGTTTCTCTATTATTTATGATGTTGTTTTAGCTAATTGTCCTCTATCTATTTTTTCATTAAATTTTGCAGCTGCTTGTGGTGTGACATCAAATGAAAAGATATCTGTTGGTAACGAAAGTGTACAACAAGCATTAGGAATATCAACAATAGATCCAATACGTCCTTCAATAGGTGCAGCAGATAATATACAGTAGACTTGTTCTTCCGTATAACCAAAACGTTTTAAATATCGAATAGCTGAAAGACATGCTTGACGATAAGCTAATGTTGCATCAAGAAAATGTTGTTGACCTTTATCATCAACTGATATTCCCTGAAATGTTAAATAATTTGAATAACGAGGTTCAATAGGACCTGGTTGAATCAATGGATTTGTTATTGATAAACGAGACATACCATCTCGAATAACATCAACATGTAAATCAAGATAACCACTCTAAAAATAGTATCAAATAGAAATTCACACATATATATATTTACGAACCATTTCAATTGCACCACAAAATGATATTTCTCCATCACCTTGTGAAAAATGAATATCTCCTAAACTTAATTTAGCTCCATCAACATAAACAGGTAGAAAAACACGTGAACCACGAGAAATATTTTTTATATCATTATTTCCTCCATGTTCACGTGGTGGAATTGTTCGAGCTCCTTCATTAGCAATTTTTTTCCATTTATCTTTATTATCTTTGGAATTTAATCGACCTAATAAAGCTCCTTTTTCAATTGGTAAATTTGCTAAAACAGTATCTGGATGATGTAAATGTGAACATTCTTTAACTAAATCTCCTTCACGTTTATTCCATCGTGATAATAATTCATGTGATGGAGCACAACCAATAATACCTTTAAGAATTAATTAATTAAATTATTCAAAAGAAATAAACATTTGAATTTACCTGGATGAGTAAGTCCAGCAAATCGAACATCTTTTATATGTCGACTAGTAGCATAAATTCCACTAAAATCCCAAATTGCTTTATGTGCATTTGGATAATATTCAGTTAAAAATCCTCCACCATTTTTTCGATCAAAAATTCCTGTAAAACCCCACATTGATGATGGAAGAGGACCAACATCTAGAACATCAACAACAAGAATATCACCAGGATGTGTATCTTGTACTTCAATTGGTCCGGATAAATAATGTATACGAGTTAAATCAACATTTTTAACATCATCAGCTGAATCATTATTTCCAATTTGTCCACCAGTCCAATCAACACATTCAATACGAAATACATCACCTCGACGAACTGATACGACACTTGGTATATCAGGATGCCAACGATTATGTAGAGGAATGGTTTGTTCAGTTGCTGATCGATTAAGATCAACACTAATTAATGGTTTTGCAGCATAAGATATTGCTGTTGATAATGTTCGTCGCAAAACTAACATTATTTAAGATATTTCGTTTATTTAGAAAGACACAATGAATGGCCTTCTTTTTTTTTACTTATCTCTTTACTTTTTGATAAGACTAGATCATATAGACTTTATCATATTAAATAACGCAATAGAACATACGTAACTTTCTATTTATATAAAAACTGATTATAAAAAGAGACTATTGGGTGTTATCACAATCAATGACATATTTTCATTATGACTTGAATAAATAAGCTGATTTTTAATTTGAGCAAAACAAGTTTACTTTGTTGAAAATAACAGCTGTTGTATATTTATATATATCTTTTCTTACTATTTTTCTCCTTCTGTTCTATCCTCTGTATACTCTAGCAACGAAATGTGACAGTTAAAGAAAACCATTCAAGGTGATTTGTAACAACAAAAATAACCAATGTGTTGAATAGAGAATAGAAGTTCCCATGAATTATAGTGGTATTATTGCTGTATTACATATTATCCATATATTCTTTTTTTTTACTGCGAGAAATACCCCTAAATTTATTTACGTTGAAATTGTGACGAAAAATAAAAGTTGAATCTATTTCTATCGATTTCATCTTTAAATGATGAACATCAACAAGATTATTATTTTCTATTCTTCTTTTGTATACTTCATCAATATATTCTTATAAAGAATGATAAATAATATCATTAATTGATTATTGTTTTTTTTTTTGTCATCATACTATATTTTATCTACTATAATAACTATTATTTAAAGTCTCGAATGGTGAATGACGTAGATTATGAATAGAAATATATATAATTCAAATCTGTAATTTACGATTGAAAAAAAACAGACTTTTTTGTGTTCTTATCTATAAATTGATTTTAGTTTTTTCATTTATAGACTGACTAAGAGAAATGGCCAAATTTCTGTCAGACATATTAAAATTTGTATCTCTCTGGCTTCTCGATTTCATGGAAAGAAAAAGAATGTTCTTGAAATATTTGAAAGATAACATTTTGCGGTAGGAATAGTCGTAAAAATTATTTTGATTTATTGTTGGCTGTATAATATTGACATACCGACTTTTATTAAGATGATTAAAATTCAAATAGTATTATATATGCTATCTCTTGTTTCAATAAATGAGAAGATTTTATAATTATTTCTCAAGGATCAAATTCAAATATAAGAAATCTTCAACAATTCTATAAATCATTCACACAATCAGATTTGTTGTTGGTTTCAAAATACTTAAAATCTACAAATTATAGTACTTTATCATACTATTCACATATTGGTTTCAAGTTTTGCAAATCAACAATACCATTGATTCTTCTCGTAACGTAACTAATTTTCTAAATAGTTCTGACTTCCGAATAGTACATATGTAGACGTAGTATCAAAATGACGAAAGGTATTTGAAAAATAGTCATAAAAGAACAAAAAATCTATTGTAGATAGAATAAATACCGAATCTTATCAAAATATTTTTGAATGATTAAGTATTTTGTTTTATTTTTTATGGTAAAGAGACAACCTTTATTGTCACTATTTATAATCTTTTTATTCGCCATTATTGAATTTACAATCTTCGAATATGTATCTATATTAGAAATAAATGTTTTTGAATCTAACATTGTTATTTTATTTTAGATTATTTAATTGATAATATCAAATGGATCTAGAATTTTCAGTAACAGAAACTATTACTCGTAATAACAATTTCATTAATCAAATTCATTATCAATTTGAAGAATTCAGTTTTGAAAATACATCCAATGGAATAACAAATAAAAAAGAAAGACGTAGTAGAATATATGATACAATTATTACAAGAAAACAATATAATATATTAACTAGAAATACTCGAAATACATTATTATTTGATAATTTTATTATTGTTTTACGTCCATTTATTATGGGATATTATCAAGATGATGAATTAACACGAGCATTTCGTGTTTTGGATAAAGATCATTCAGGATCTGTTAATGTTGAGGAATTGGCAAACTTTTTACCAATTATTAATGAATTTGCAACAACTGAAGCGTTGACAAATTATATTAAAAAAGTTGATATTAATACTGATGGAACTTTAAATTATGATGAATTTCGAAGTCTTATATTAAAGGGTATTGGACGTGATATCATCTGTAATCATCTTTAATTCTTGGTACTTATTTTATATCAAACAAAATGACAAATATATTTTAGTTTGTTTTCATTTCTTATTTTATTGTTGATTAAAATTAATTTAGAAATAAATTTTCAAATAATTAAGTAAGTAATAATATACAGAGCATATCACTTACTTTAACAGAAAAAAAAATAAATCAATAGAATAATTATAAATTGATTCGTTTTTCATTGTCATATTCTAAAAATAAGTGCCCCGAGTGAGGATCGAACTCACGACCTTCAGATTATGAGACTGACGCTCTACCGGCTGAGCCATCGCGGCGGCAAACAACTTTCTCACCTGTACTGTACGGATATCAACATAAAATTTGTCTATCTCAGTTGCGCTGTTCATCATAACGGGCACGAAAAAAATTTGATCCCGTATGTGGTTGACCACAACGGGCTCTCACTGTTAGGGGTATTATGATGATGATGATGTTCATTATAAAATAAAAAAGCAAAGAAAAGATATGAAATCGATTGTATTTTTGCATTTTAAGTTGTCTATAATTGACTTACTACTATTTTGAACTAAAAAAATAAATGCCCCGAGTGAGGATCGAACTCACGACCTTCAGATTATGAGACTGACGCTCTACCGGCTGAGCCATCGCGGCGGCAAACAACTTTCTCACCTGTACTGTACGGATATCAACATAAAATTTGTCTATCTCAGTTGCGCTGTTCATCATAACGGGCACGAAAAAAATTTGATCCCGTATGTGGTTGACCACAACGGGCTCTCACTGTTAGGGGTATTATGATGATGATGATGTTCATTATAAAATAAAAAAGCAAAGAAAAGATATGAAATCGATTGTATTTTTGCATTTTAAGTTGTCTATAATTGACTTACTACTATTTTGAACTAAAAAAATAAATGCCCCGAGTGAGGATCGAACTCACGACCTTCAGATTATGAGACTGACGCTCTACCGGCTGAGCCATCGCGGCGGCAAACAATCTTCCCTCTTTTACTGCGCAAATAATTACATAAAATTTATTTATTTCAGTTGCGCTGCTCATCATATGAAAAAAAACGTCAACGAAAAGATACCAGTGTTTTCATGAGTAGAGGTGTAAGTCGGTAGGGTCAACGGTGGCGGCGCCAAGTTTTAAAATTTTTTTTAAAATATTCGGCGGCGCGGCTGTAATATTCTAAGGTTGCCGGCTGGCGGCGGCTCGAAAAATTGAACGTTTCGAATACCATCAGCGGCGCGGCGGCTATAATTTTAAAAATTAATGCTAACACGGCTGGCGGCGGCTTTAAATTTTCTTAGTTCATCGGCGACGACGGCTGCTCAGCCGCACGGCTTACACCTCTAGAAACAATTAATTATTTGATTACGGGTGATTACTGGACTACTAATCAGCTGTTTTTCCCTTGATATCAACGTACCCAATCGTTTCTGGTTATTTTCACTTTACACCATTTTTTCCCCTCATGACTAATTGGTAAAGTAAGTTCTTTAATTTGAAACAAATATGTGAACTCTTTCTCTTATTTCGCAGGGTGTGTGTGAGTTTGGGTGTGGAATAAATAGCACACCGACACTTATTTAGAGTATACAAATATCGTTATTCACAAATATTTGTTTGGAAAATGTTTTTTCCTTCGCGATCAATATACATTTATGTTTAACCAACTACTTTAACATATCTACAGTTTCCAAATTGATAAGATGTTTGATATCTTATCTCATCATTTAGCCAATGAATACTGATGTGAGACAAGGGTGTGGGTGTGGGTGTGGGTGTGGGTGTGAGTTGCATATTTACTGGTCAATCACACCCACTCACACTCACACCCACACCCTTTCAATGAAAATAATCAAATAATATTAATATTAAATGATATGTAGAGAACAAAATCAATAGATTTATTCTGATTTTTATAAGAAAAGAAATAAAAATTTGAATAATATTGTGAAACTATGATACTCAATAGTTTGTCAAAAAAAAAAGAAACTTAGTTGAATTAATTGATAAATTATGTCCAATATTTTTAAATACATAACAGTTATAGAAAAATATTAAATAGTATCATATATATACTATGTAATTGAAATACTAATTTTAATGTTATGTACCTTTAAGATATTTATTCACATTATTACGAAATCAATGATATAGTCAAATAAATAAAAACTCAAAAGAATTTGTTATTTGAGATAATAAGAATATATGAAAGATACAAAATATCAATAAATGTGAATCGAACAATTGATAATATTGAATAGATAAACATAATATTTTTTTAGAATTATTAGTATGATTGATTAGATAATAGTTTGCGTTAAGATTTTCTTTGCAGAAGAAGAATTTGTTATTTGAGATAGTGAGTGAATATTTTCTGATTACATCATATCCACAATTTCAAGTTAGATTTATGGATGTCAAGTTTTCTAAATTATAATTTAAAGTAACGAACCAAAAAAAAAAAAGAAGATGATTTAGGTAATTTTTTTTGATTTATAATTATTAATCTTTCTATGATGAAGTATTTACATCTATTAATTTATTAACAATGTTCTCTTTTTAATTATTATTATTATTATATTGATATGTTTCGGTATAGTAAAACCTGATATAAATACTCTTTTATTTAAAATTCTAACTCGTATCTTTTCTCATACACGCGTGATTTCAGTTGAGAAAACTATTACAAAACTGTTACATATTTCTTAGCTATACACTTATTGTATATAATAGATATAAACGCTATTAGTGCAATCCTCCTCTAGGATCAAAATGTGAAACACAAAATAGCTGCTGTAACTTCAGTTAATGGGAACTAATAATGTCTCTCACGATCTATAGTAGTTATAACTCACATGTATCACGATCCTTGCTCAACGTCCGTCATTATCTGTAATACACAAGTAACGCTCGTCGAGGCGACTCACTTAACCCTCGACTGAATGATTAGTATCGATAATAATTGAGTCTACTAATTATCTCACTGTAAAAATAAAAAATGATATGGAGCTTAATGGACGAACTGTACCCTCTTAAACTACTTTGAAACGACCCGAAAGTGCTTCCATATACTAGGCAATCAGAATCCAAGCGTACCAACATATAGTACTCTATGAAGACCCAATAGTACCCCTATAGTATAGGACTCAACGACCCCAGAGTGCCCCTGTAGTATATGACTAAAGAACTCCAGAGTGCCCCTGTACTAAAGAAGTTGAGCACCCAAGAACACTCTCAAACTATAGGGTATGAGAAACTAACAGTACCCCTGGACCCTAGAACTGGAACACACAGAAGTACCAAAGCGTATCCCGATATAGTAGTATATGAGAGCCCTACGATGCCCTCATAATAAAGAGTATAAGTATCGAACAGTATCACTCTTTTATAGGATACCATCCCCTAAGAGCATTCTATTAGTTTTCATGTGTTTTTTTTAATCCTTGATGCTTGATCTCAGCACATCATTTCACCTAAACATCCTCCATATGTTCTTTTGACCTTTGACCTGCGACAAACAGATAGACAAAAGAATTACCGTTTTTAGGTCCACTTTTTCTCGTATTCATCTTCCTTTTAGTCGAGGGAAAAAACATTGTTTTATATTCAAAGAATAAATAAAATAAACGGAAATGATTATAATATTTCATAGGATTCGATAAGATCTATACCGTTACCCTTATACAACATCTATCAAACTCGACAATTCGATACTTAAAGCATCTATAGGTAAATAATTGTCTTCTGTTCGAAGTTCAAAAGTCATTTTTTCGACTAGTATAGCTCGTAACGCCCTCATTTGTGGCCCAACCACGATGAAATTTTCTGTGGTAGTGTGAAGTGATCCAGTCAATAAATGGGGGAAAAAATTGAAATCGGTTCAAGCGATCAAAATTATTCTCAGCAACCGTTAAAATCACTTATTGTACAATAAAGTTGCAATTCATTCATATATGATGTGAATATTATTCGTGATCTTATTTGCACACTTAGTGAGGTGAAAGAAGAGTTTACAAAAAATAGATAAATCGCAGTACAATAATAAGCGCGAGAATAGTGCATTATTTTAAAAAAAGAACTCAGTATTAAAACCGAAGTAATTGCGCAGTAGATCATGCCCGGGGCATTCCGATTGTTTCGACATTAACTCTGTGATCATTTGCAAAATCCTTTACTTGATTATAAAAATAATCTCCAGCAGATTTTGGAAAGATATTGTTGCATACCACTAGTAACCAAACCCAACGCTCGACTCCTCCATAAACATATTCATGCCAACACTCTTCAAACGTAGGTAATTTTTCTACAGTTTTAGCTTTGAGTTTTTCGACAAGTTTATCGTAATAGGCTTCACGGAATACTTGCTTTTCTAATTTACGTCGAATTTCAGGTGGTACGTGTGAAATAACGAATTGACCCATATCTTGAGGACCGCAGCCAACACCTACTACTTCCCAATCCATGAGTTTAACATCTCCAAAGATTACATTATCACTATCTTTCTTTCTTGCAACCATAAGGTTCGCTGGATGGAAGTCTCCATGGACAAGTGTAAAGGCTGTATTATGAATACGGTTTTGGAAATCATCCCAATCGATTTTAGCTACTGACGCTTCTAGCAAACTTACGAATTTCGGATCCCATCCAGAGATATTCTTTGTCTCACTTTTCCATATATTTTGAACCAAAGATTGAGAGGCTTGCCAAGTATCTTTGCCTTCTCCCCGATACCAATCATGGCCACGTAACCAGTCTAAATCCTTATCCTGAGCCAATGCTTTATTGTTCCAGTATGTAGCGTGAAGATCAGCACCACATTCAAAAGCCTTCCTCATAAGTTCTTCGATTTTATATCCAGAAAGCATAAGTGAATCCATTTCTCCTTTTTGTACCTTTTCCCAATTTAAAGGCGAGTGTGCTGTAAAGTACAGTCCCATCTGTACATAATCACAACCATCTTTATTCAAAACAGAAAGATCTTCAAGAACAATTGCTTTAGTACCTGCTTTCATATCTCCTTCCGAATAAAAAGTACGAGGAACTATATTTTTGATTTTAGAGGCAAATTGATCATAAAATAAAGCTTCTCGTGGTAATCCCAATGCAGCAGCTTGCTCTGTACCTTCAGAATTTACTTTAAGAATATACGAAGTAGTTAAGCCGTTGTTATAAGTCACCATTAATCGATTCATTACGCCACTATTACCACCTGCTCCTTTCATAGATGTCAATGTGCAGCTCTTAATTGTGGGATCTTTTAATTTTGCCTGAAGGAATTCAACGTTAGTCCATTTGGAAGCCATATTCTTGTAATTGTAGTCGAGCTCTAATACCTCAAAATGTTTTGTCTTCGCTTGTCTGTATGTTTGCCCTACTCTGTTTTCTTTTTTTTCTTTTTTTTCTTTTTTTTCTTTCCGTTCTGCACACGCATATATATATTTTTTCTTTTCTTCATAGTGTAATAATCTACACGTGGAGTGAGACTTTACCTTTACTTTACAAGTAACTATGTAACTACTGTAGTATCGTCGTGTTTATCTACTTATAAATGAAAAAGACACTTAATTTTTTATTTTACTCTGATCAATGCGATAAGCTCCCATATAATAATTGAATAAGAAACGGATATTCACTTTACTTTAATTACGTAACTAAAGATTAAAGTAAATTTACCACCCTTATTTATAAATCGTTCTTTCCTCTATGCAAATAAAAAAAAAGAAAAAGTAGAAGAAATTTGTATATAAAAACGCATTGATAATGATATCATATACGGTAGAGTGCAAAAATAATTACCGATGAACTTTTCAACGCTCTTCCTATAAAAGTGTGAGATATCCAAACTTTTTTACGTTGTGTTCTTTTCAGGGGTATTAGATTCTGGTCTTCTGCACCTATCGCATTGATCGACCCGAACATGGACTCTATATTTCACAAATACATCAATGATAAGAAGTTCCGTCGTCTGTGTAAGTTTACATGAGACAAGAACCTTACGTCCTCGGAAGTCGCTGAAAAATTTATAAATTATACATGAAGTTTTTTACACTTTCTGTACTAAAATCTATTTGATTCTTTCAAGAACTATCAATAACCACATGCTCAGCAGGGTGTGGGTGTGGGTGTGGGTGGTTGGGTATGAATGATACATTAACCTACGCTCACACCCACACCCACACCTACCCAGCTACTCACACACTATCATGGAAGAATCAAAAGAAAAGATAAAATAAATATACGACAATGGTGAACTGAAAATATCTCATAATTAACAATCAAATATAGGAAATATAGAATACAAATAATAAAATTTACCTGTATCTGATGTCATTTAAAGAAAATAGATAATTTCATATCATAACTGTTCAATGATATATTACTGTTTTCCCTCTTATTTTTTCAAAGAGAACTTAGAATGAAGGAAAATGGATATGAATATTGTATTCTACTAGAAAAATTGCCTAAGACTATTACATAAAATAAAAATGAAAATTGAAAGCAAAAATTGTATATATCATATATGGACATTATAGAGACCCCCCCCCCCCCCCCCCCCCCCCGAAACATGATCTCCACCACAGACCATTTCCAGGGATCCTAAGCTGATCTTTTCATGAACTTGTAGCCCCATGGAAGTTCTATCAAATTATAAAGACCAGTTCCCAAGCTGGCCGATATGTTGAGAGAAAATTCATTCCAAAAATCATCATGGTGAACAAGTTATAAAATCCTAATTATTCCGATTTTTGGGACAAAAAGTTTTATTCTGAGCAGGTCTTATGAGGATATATGTGTGAACAAAATTTCACTTCAATCTATTCAGTCGTTTCTGAAAGACTGCCCGATTTAGACCTTCGTTTGTCAATTTTGTCATATATAGGGTATTTCCTAAAATGCTTCTAAAATAATAGGGAGGATTCAATATTTTTCGAAACGGCTTGCGCCAAAAAAACTCAGGATTCTTCCCTCTACAATATATCTCAAAATCAATAAAATCAGACGACTTTGATTGAGCAGGTTATGTGTATTTTGGTTGTGGCTTACATGGCGTGGCTCATATACTATTCTTCATCATTCAAGACTTTGTTCAATACAATACAATAATAAAAACAAGTTAAACAAAGGAAGTTATTCTTTTTTTCTTTTTCTCCGATTTATTTTCTTTTTTAGATTCATTTTCAACATGTTTATTACAATGATAACCGACGATTTCTAGTATTATATTTATTTTTTAACTTATAGAGAATATTCTCGTATTTATTGTTGAAAACGTAAACATGCCCGTGATGATCTTTTATTCATGTACATGATATGTATGTGTATTGTCTTGACGGTCGGGGATGTCCATTCCGTTTTCATTACTTACAGCGATGTTCTCTGTACGTGCGCGTCAGTAAAAAGTACAGTTATTTATCTCTTGCATAAAGAAAACATTTATTTATTTATTCAGGATAACAATTATAATTCTTCTTTTACAATTTCAATGTTTTGTTTCTCACTTTCAAGATGAGGATGATTTAGTGGTAATGAAACTTTGAGAATGTCAAGAGCGCGTTCAAAATATGAGCGTGCTTTGGAATATTCTTTCATGTTTTTATAGACATAAGCGATGTTGTTATAGGAAGTAGCTAACGAAGGATGATTTACAGGAAGAGTTATTTTTTCAATTTCAAGTGCTTTTGCGTAAAATGAAAGTGCTGTAGAGTAGTCTTTCATCTCATTACACACCATACCCATGTTTTTGTATGAAGTAGCCAAGCCAGGATGAATTTCAGGAAGAATTTTTTCTTCAATTTCAAGTGCTTTTGCGTAATATAAAAGTGCTGTAGAGTAATCTTTCTTCACAGTATACACCATACCCATGTTTTTGTATGGAGTTTCCAAGTCAGGATGATTTGCGGGAAGAGTTTTTTCAAAGATTTTACGTGTTTTGTCGTAAAATGGAAGTGCTTCTGAGTACTCTTCCGTGTTATAATACATAGTACCGATGTTGTGGTAGGAAGTAGCTAATGAAGGATGATTTGCAGGAAGAGTTTTTTCCCAGATTCGAAGTGCTTTTTCGTAAAATGAAAGTGCTCCTGAGTACTCTTCCATCTTCTTACGCACCGAACCAATATTATGGTAGGAGGTAGCTAATGAAGGATGATTTGTAGAATGATATTCATAGATTTCAAGTGCTTTTTCGTAAACTGAAAGTGCTTTCGAGAACTTCCCCATATATTTATACACCATACCAATATTATTGTAGGAAATAGCTAGCAAAGGATGATATTCAGGAAGAGCTTTTTTCCAGATTCCAAGTGCATTTTCGTGAAATGGGAGTGCTTTTGAGTATTCTCCCATGTTATAATACACAGTACCAATGTTGTTGTAAGAAGTAGCCAAATCAGGATGATTTGCAGAAAGAGTTTTTCCTTGAATTTCAAGTGCTTTTTCGTAATATTTAATAGCCTGTTTGTAATTGCCTTGATCATTTCTGACAGATCCAAGATCGTTGTAATAAGTTGCTTTGTCGCTCTCGCTCGATGGTTGTTCAAGTAGTACTTTATATAGTTCTTCAGCCTTATCGAAATGACCGGTTTTGACTAATAACATACTTAGTCGATTCCATCCTGTACCACCTACAACTTCTTTGCTCATATATTCAGTCAGTTGTCGAAGTTGTTCATCATCATCAGCAGTTAGTTGAAGTTCTACTTGATAAAGTTGATTATTTTTGCCCATTTGTGTAATTGTACCTATTTCAAACACCGTGTGCATGGAGAAGAGAATTTCTTCTTCTATCTTGTGATAACTAACCTCCTTAATAGAGGCGAATGGTCTTGATGAGACACGAGGATCAATAGTCATTATAAAAAGTATTCCAACCATATCTATATTTTCTAAGACACTCTCGGCGAACTGGAGAGAAACATCTTTTCTCATACTTGTGGATAAAAAGTTGTTAAAAGACAGTAGACCACCTTTTGTTTTTCTGAGTTTGTCGAAATCAGTTTTCAACAAACCTTGTCCTCGGTAAACTATAAAAGGCTTACCATGATAATTTGGGAGTTGTTGTTCATGTAGTTGATGCAGTTGCTGATGAAGATCACGAATAAGAAATCCCATATTAATAATTGTACCGGCATCCAATGTTCGAAGTGCTCGATTGAGCATTTGATAGATAAAACACTCACGTGTATACCACCAAATTGCTTGTTCTCGACGATAATCATGTTGAAATTCATTAATAACATTTAATTCTGCCATATTGTCAAAATAAAATTGGTCGGAATACATTGCTAAGATCTTGATGGCTTGTTCTTGAACATACTTCATTTCAAGGAGAATCTCCTTGAATATTTGTGTGTACATGTAATTAGGTTCCAGTTGGTTCAGACTTTCACTGGATACCGCTTCATTCGTCGTGACGAAGCTTATAGGATTTGAATCCTGGTTGAGTTGTTTGACATCTACATCTAATGCATTGCAAATGCCCTTGACATCATTACCGGGCCACCATAGGGCAGTTAGTGACAATTGCCATACGAAAAATAATTTAAATAGAATATTTTCTTTCGACATTTTTCTGAAAATAATTATGTTGAGAAAAAAATCAAATTTAAATTAAGATTTTAGAAAGAAATAAAAACACTGAAAGTTGAATTTATATCTATTAATATGGGGCATCTAGTCGAGTACGCTGATCGGTATGTAAACTAGGGTGTGGGTGTAGGTTTGAGTGTATCTTATTTATAACACTCACACTCACACCCATCATTGAGAACAGCTCGAAGCTGTATCAGTGTATTTTGACAATCCATGTTGGTTTGATCGATACTTGCATCGAGCCAAACCAACAGATAATTCTGGGCCATGCACTGATGTGTTGATGGCGCTATTGTTGTAACAGTGGTGTTAGATGCGTCTGAGCTGTAGGATGAAAAAATCTTTTGTTTTTGATTGCTGTGGACTCATGTTGATGTGAATCGAAACTTATTGCTGAATGTGAACTTATAAGTAAGTATTTTGAATGAGTATAGAGAACAAAACAACAGTTTATATAGGCAATGATTTGTTTTTCTTGGATTTTTTTATAATGCCAAATGTTTTTATCTTTTGTTGACACTAGGGGATGAAGTCTACTTCGCTTCACTCGGAAATACTCTTGCAAAGAGCCATAAAGAGAGAAATCAGCAGCGTCAATAGACGAACATGAAACAAAGCAAAAGTCAACAACCTATTGTGTCGTATGGTTTTTCTTTCCAACTTTCATCTGCTTTTATCTATATAATAATTGCACTGTGTCAATATGCAGGTTGTTCTTCATTATCAAACAAGTATCAGAAGAGCGCTTTTTTGTATATCGTTTTATCTCTTCTGTCAGCGAAATTTATTTATGATAGAATAACCGAAACGAAAGCGTCATTTTGATTCCTGCCTATTAGTTGCTCTAAAGACATATAGATCAATGAATAAACAAAAGAAAATTAGATTTACAATTAACTGGTTGAAATAAGATCATGAAATCTTTTCTATTTTATCAAATCCAATATGTTATTAATTAACTTATATTTCAATTGATAAAAAAGAAAACTCAATCGGTTTTTATGTACTATACGAATGGTTATACTGAAATGTACTGAGATGATTATCTATATAATGTACATGTCATAGCTTATAGACATACATACTTGTTCTCTCATGTTATAGAAATAACAGCATATATGTATATGTTTTCATTCAAATTTTCAAATTCAAAGCTATCATTGAAAGCAAGTATACAAGTGACTATTAGAAATTCAAGATCATTTTATCAAAAGAAAATTTGATGATGACGTCGTCACTTATTCTTCGACAAAGGATACTATTTTATCAGTTCTTATACGAATGTAGATACCAAGAATAAGAGACATTAACAAAAAAAAGTACATTGATAACATAGAAAGCAAACGTCAATTTATTAATATTACTGTTACTATCTGTCTTTTTTATTCTTGTATATATACAGAGGTAGCGATAGTGACGTATGTGTAAATAGGTGATTATGAAAAGAAGCAAAACTGAATATTTTTTCTTGGTATTTGACTAAATCTTTCCAAAAGTTTTTGTTATTCTCTCCTACTGTATTTTCATTAAATTAATGAATTTAAAAAAATATATTAAGTATAATCGACATTACTTTAACCTAATTATGATCAAATCTTATGTTATACTTTATCAAGAAAAAAGAAGTTAATGTTCGAATTTTTCTTTAGTTTATTAAGACAAACTAAAAGAGAAGTATGTCGACAATGTCTATCAAGATATTCATATAAAATTAAAATGCATTAATATTCATCGAAATTATAATGTGTTACTCAATTCATCATTCATCCTATTGCTGCTTTATCATAGAAAAATAGGTGTAATAAGTTTTCTTCTAAATGATATTGCAAAATTTACTATAAAAAAACTGTTTTTTCTCTCTCAATAAAACCAGATTTTCAGCAGCTTAATTGTTTTGAGTATGACTGAGATTATGCTTCATTATATAGGAAATGAGTATAGTACATTCACACTTTCAATCTTTGTTAAGCAATGAATGCAGAAAGTGTTTGTAAGTGTTCTGCATCATCTACCTATAACTCAAAAAAAGTAAATTTTTTCGATAATATTGAAGAAAATGTTGCTCGTCCAAGAAATAAAATAAAATTTCCTGTTATTTTGACTAAGTATGATACTATGGTTAATAGCAACCCTGCAACACCAATGCCTCAGACTAAACCCACTTTAAAACTTAATTCACCGATAATCGAACGATTTCAACCTTACGAATGTTTTCGTGCTCCTGGTCCACGTGATGATCCAAAAAAAGATATTTAAATTTAAGAAAATATTAAACCAGCACTAGAACAATCAATTACTTTCAAAGATAAAGATCCAGCCGATCTAGCCAGCACTTAACTTTCAATGCTAAAAGAAATCAAAATGAAGAAGATAACACAACATAGTACAGTGTTCAATATATGAGTCCAGATCATTATGAATATCGATTGAGTAGTGTCAACCATCTTGAAGGTCGGTGTGGGAGTAGCTGGATACTGATCCAGACTCTAAAAAAGATGCACGCCTGCATTCACCCACACCCTCAAGATGGTTTTCACGTTGATGGGAGATACTTTCATATAGCATGGTAGAAACCCCATGGAAACACCGATAAAATCAATTATGTTTTTGCATCTTAAGTTATCTAAAATTGATTTATTAACGATTTGAACTAAAAAAATAAGTGCCCCGAGTGAGGATCGAACTCACGACCTTCAGATTATGAGACTGACGCTCTACCGGCTGAGCCATCGCGGCGGCAGTACAATCACTCTACTTTCACCGAGTGAGCGGGGGTGTAGATGTGAGCAGGCTACACCCGCCCATACTCATATCCTGATGAAATAGTATGATAGTTCTTTTTTTCGTTGTCTAATAAATTCAGAATATCATTACTATAAAATATGACAAAATCCTTAAAAAAACTAGAAGATTTGGCAGCTTGGATTGAATGAAAATAAGATATGCATAACGCATAAGTTAAAGCAATCGTATTAAAAAGTTTTCAAAATCTTATGCTTAATAAGTAGCAGATTAGTAAATCTGTTTTTTTGAGACATTGTCGAATTATTTTATTTAGAAATAAAATTGTAGGTAACTAAGTATAAAATAAATTTATTTATTTATTTATTTATTTATTGTATATGAATTCAACAAATATTTGGAAAAAAAGATTGAGTAATGATAATAAAAATAAAAAAGTGTCAAGTGGAATTCTAAATCGTCCTCAATTCAAACGAAAACAAAAAAGAAATTTATCGAATTTGTTCAAAGAAAATCTAATAACAAATTGGATTGAAAATGAAGGTGATGATGAAGAAAGTGAATCATCATCAATTGATTGGAATATTTTTCATAAAAAATGTCAAATAAAAACAACTGAGTGTGACGAAGATAGTCTTCAACTTGATAATCTTCAATATTTATCAACAATGAAACATATTATTTTTCTTGATTTAGATAATTTTTCAAGATTTTTTCAACATTTAACAAATCAAATACCTCATCATATTTATATTATTGCTTTTCAAGGTTCAAATATTCGATGGAAACCACCGAAAAAGTTTATTCATTTTTATTTAATCAAATAAAATAATTAATTTTTGTTCATTTTAGTAATTTTATTTATGAAAATTTATTAAATTCAAATAATTTTCAATTAATGTATCCAAGTGGAAATCGACACGATGCTGCAGATTTTGCTCTTGTTTTAACTGTAAAATAACTCATTTAAAAATCAAATCATTGTTTTCAATCTGATTAATATAGTTTGGTAAACTTCATGGTCTTCTTTCGAAATCAATTTCATTTACAATTATTAGTGGTGATAAAGGTTTTATTGAAATAATTCATCAATTAAAAAATTCTAATCGAAGAATTAATTGGTTTAATCCTCATCAATTTTCATTCGAAAATTTTAATCAGATTTTAAATATTACATCAATATAATAAAATTCATTTGTGTCTGAAACTGTTCTATCGATATCAGCTGAGAGAAAGAATGTGATTGGTTGATTCTATTTGACAAATAGAAAGGGTTGTTTTGGATAGTTGAGGTCGAAATAAATGTCTGATGGATGTTACGTTTTATTTTTTACATTTTATTTTGATATTTGATCGTTGATGTTGATGTCAAGTTGCAAGTACAGTTTTATTGCTCTGGTTAGTTTATTTTATATTTAAATTAAAATAACATTTTTCATCTTTGTTTAAAGCGTCGAGCATCATCATCGGCAGTTGCATCAACTTCAAGTAAAAGTTCATCATCATCATCATCACGAAATGTAACTGAATCAACAAGTCGATCAGGCTCACATGGTGTTCCACAAAAAATAAATTTACCGAAGGAGAGTGTTACTGTATGTATTTATTTGTTTACATAGATAAATATTTTAATCTTATTGATAATTAAGGTAACAAAATTAGCAAATGGATTAACTGTTGCTTCATTAGAAAATAATTCACCTGTTTTTCGTGTTGCAGCTGTTGTTCAAGCCGGTGCCAAATATGAACCATATGAAAGTCGTGGTGTTACAACACTCCTTCGAGTTTTTTCAAACTTAGTAATAGAAAAAATATTTTTAAATAGCAATTTATTTATTTATTTAGAGCACAAAATATGTTAGTCGACTTGGTTTAACTAAAAATTTAGAACGTCTTGGTGCAAATTTTCAGTAAATGATTTTTTAATATTAATTTAAATCAATTGTTTTTTTCTTCTTCGAAAAGATGTATTCAAACACGTGAACAAATGATTTATTCAATTGAAGGTCTTCGAAATGAATTGTATGTTTGAAACGTTTTTTTCTTTAAATAAAATAAATATTTTTTGTTTTTCAAATCAAAGTACACATGGATCACAATTTTTAGTACCAGTTGTTTGTTATCCAATGTTTAAACCACATGAAATTCATGATGAAAGAGAACGTTTAGAACTCGATCATGAACTTTATTTAAAATCACCTGAATCACGTATATTATTTTATTTAATTAATTTATTATTTGAAAAATCTTTTTTAGAATTAAATGATTTACTTCATGCAGCTGCATTTAAAGGTGGTTTAAGTCGACCATTATCATTATCATCTGATTCGATAAAGTCACTTTCACATAAACAAGTAAAAAGAATTAAAGAAGAACTGTAAATTTTATTTACTTATTTTATTTAATTAATAGATGTATACATTTCATTCTCATTATTATACACCAGAGAGAATATCTTTAGTTGGAACTGGTTGTAATCATGCAACACTTGTTCAATTAGCGGATAAATTTCGTTTTTCACCACTTGATTGTGTTTATACACCTGGATTTGGAAATCTTAAATTAATTGAATCAGAACCAGAACCATCGAAATATAAAGGAGGTTAGAATCAGTTGTTTTATTTTTTCTTCTTAAAAATATATTTATTTAAATAGGAGAAATTCGACGTGATACTCAATCAAATACAGTTCATATAGCATTAGCTTTTGAAGGTGTTAGGTAAAATTTCTTCTTCGAATTTAATTGATTGAAGAAATAAAATTGATTTTTATTTTAGTTCAAAAGATGAACAAGGTGTATTAACAAGTTCTTTATTAAATCAAATTATTGGAACAGGTCCAAATGTTAAATGGTCATCAGGTTCAAATCAACTTCAACGTGCTGCTGAATCTGCAGCTCAAGCATCTTGTTTAGTCAGTTTATTCATTTAGTTTTATTTGAAAAAAACAAATAAAATCTTTTTCTTTTCATTATTTAAAGGTTTCATCATTTAATCTTCATTATGAAGAATCAGGTTTATTTGGTGTTTATATTATTTGTAATAAAAATGATACAAAGAAAATTGTTCAATCGGTTTCAACTGAATTTAATAAAATATTAAAAAATGGTATTAATAAAGAACAATTTGATATGGCTAAGTAATTATTTTATTTTTCTCGTTCATTTTTATTTTTTCTATTTTCTAAAATAGAAAAAAATTGGAAGTTAATCTTCAAATGCGTCATGAACAATCATCAGATGTTTTTTCGACAATGTTAAATCAAGCTGATATAAGTGATCGATCAACTGATATTCAATCAATTGTTCAACAATTAGGAGACAAACAATTTACGAATGATTCAATTAATCAGTTGACGAAGAAAATGTCAAGTGGAAAACAACCAACTTTAGTTTCCATTGGAAATCTTCAAAATATGCCATATATCGATGATTTAAAAGCTTAATTAGACTCTTTTATAACTTATATTTAGTTTAAACAGATGTAAAAAAAACATTTTACTTTATTTAATAAAATATACCTGCTCCCGTTTCTGTCCCATCACTTTAATATTTCTCTTCTTTTCAAGTTCTCATTCAAACTAATCGATAAATTATAGAAGAACAAGATAAATATATTTATTTGATTTATTAAAAAGATGAAATCACTCTGAATGTGGTCACTTCCCTCCTTATCACATCACAATGGATACGATAAGGTGCGATCATCAAAGGAAGCAGGCCGAACTCTCGAGAAAAGAGTAACCCCATCCTATTTCACGCTCAAGAAGAACCACTGCCACTCGTCATCGTGAGTTGTTTGGGTCTTCTTTGGCTATGGGTGTTTTGTCGATATGTACTACAGAAAATGATCCTGTGAAGTACAATCTTAATCTTTTATATATTTTAAAATACTTCTTATACTCTTCTATACAACAAAGAATGCATAGTAAACATTTACTTTTCCATTCTCTCATATATATACATATACAGAAAAGAATAGAATGGAAGAGAAATGATGTATTTAAATCGTTGGATCTGAGAAGAACAATAAATCAGCTCCGCATACTTCTTAGTCAGTCATGTTAATTAAAATATTGTATTACATTAGATAAGAATATGTTTTCAGAAAGTATTCAACTGGAAAATTGTTGTTCATAATTATCATAATAATCTATTTCGAAAAAGTATATTTAAAACAATATAGGATGATTTTTGTATTAATAATCGTATATATCATGAAAATGATTATTACAATATCTTAGTTGAGTATTAAATTAAACTACACTCATATATTATATCTATTTTTAGATTAACTATCGAATAACCTATAGTATAGAAGAATATAAGGATTTGTTCTTAGTTTTTTATTTAAATGGAATATTTTATCATGAACGTATTACACTAAGCAAATAGGATATTAAATATTGTTAAACTAATATCATTGACATTAGTAACAACTTCATTTGAACATCTCCTTTACGTACATCACAATCAATAAGTCACACGAAAATTTCAATAATTCTCATGGGAGAAAGATGAACAGAAGAAAACAAAGTATTGACCTGGATAATACGAGGACAAAGAAAAAAATGTATTTACTGTTAGAATGCTCTTTAGAAGATAGTTTGCTTAATGAATTCAACAATGATCTCGTTCAAATAACGTAGAAAAATAGTTAATATCATCAAACGAAGCATATCGATAAAAGAAATTAATCTTGGGGACAAATGTATGTATTTATCTCTCGTTTACGAGTGTGAGCGTTTTTATTATACTTTCAAGATGTGTTATATCAATGATACTGAATTGACTATTGCTTATGCTAATATGAGTCGATATTATCTTCAAGTTTTTGAAAACAAGATATTTCTTACAATCATCGCTTTATTGGTATTTCGTTATAATATGAGTACGTCAAGTCATTCTCGGTTCAATACTAGTTTTACTATAATATGTGTTCAAATTCTCCTTGTATATACAGCATTACGTCACGAGAGAACAAAAATGATTTTTACAAACAACAACAACACTGCTACTGCATAGAAAATTCCATATGACAATGCACTCGAATCGTTTTGATCACATTTTACCATTTGACGATAAGGACAGAAAATATCGATTTTTAGAGTATGATCCCAGAAGTCGAAAAAATACGAGCTCTGCCGTTCTTTTTTACAGATAAGCCATAATAAGATGATTGAAATCAAAATCTAGAACTTTTTCGCCACCGATAGAGTATAAAATATTTCGATGATCTATTAAATCTTTGATGATAATAAAAAATAATTTGATAGATTCTACGAAAAAAAAAACTGATAAAAATGAATGTAGTCAGTTTTTTTTGACGTAATAAGTTTCTTTAAAAATCCTTTTTTTTATTTCTATTTATGAAAAGATAAATTTTGAAGGTTATACATTCAATATTGTCAAAAGAATATAAACGAAATAAGATCCATATGTTATTATTGATAATAATATAGAATAGACGTTCTTCATTTGAATAGATTTTCGTTCAAGGGTATTTGGATTATTTTACACGAGAGACAATAAAGAAATTACTTTTTAAGACTTCTTTTTTAAGTAAAAAAAACTCGTCTCAATTGTCCTTCTCTCTGTATATATATATATATATATGAGAGTATCATGCAATAGTTTATCATAAAATAAGACGATACAATTGAAGAATGATGTTCTTGACAATTCTATTTCTATTAATATCTATTAGAATATCTAATTGTATATGTAAGTTAATCAGAAAAGAAAATGTTGATAAAATGTAAATTTAATTTAGTTTGTAACGATGGTTCCAATCCATGTCAATTGGATAATCCTGAATCATCGAATGCATATTTTTTACCAAAAAATGGTTATTATTGTTTAGATGCTTTTAATGGACAAATTATTTGTACATGTCCAGATAATTCAACAACTCGTGATCGACCTTGTCGTGAGTTTTCATTGATTTGATCAATTAAATATTTCTATTGTATTTTGTTTTGTTTTCTAAAGGTATTTGTGATCGTACTCCAAATCCATGTGGAGCTTCACCATCTCTTGTAACATGTACTGATATAAATAAATCATATTCATGTTTATGTAATGATGAAAAAGGAAAATTAATTGTTTCAACAACATCATGTGGTAAATATTTAAAAAAAATAAAGACAAATTTAATATAATCTATTCACATATTTTAGATAAACGAATTATTACACCTGTAGTAGTACCTGAAGAAATATGTCAAAATGAAGGTGTTAGAGATCCAATAACAAATAGATGTCATTGTCCAAGTGGTTTTACTGGTGATGAATGTGAACATCAAGAAGGTAATTTTTTTTTTAATAAAAAAATGTTTTTTATTGAATATAAATGTAAAAGATGATAAATTATGTGATAAAATTCAATGTCAATCGAGTGGTATATGTTCTGTTCGTCAAATAAAATCTGGTGGAAGAAATTATCAAGCAAAATGTCTTTGTCGAGCTGGTTTCGATGGAGATTTTTGTGAAAGACAAAGTAAAATAAAATAAAAAAATGTTTTTTTTTCTTATGATATTTAATATATGTAAAGGTGTATTGGGTTCTTGTACATCAACATTCTGTTTAAATGGAGGTATTTGTCGAGAACGTGAATTTGGAAATTCTCGTTATAAATATTGTCAATGTAGACCTGGATGGAATGGTTTACAATGTGATAAACGTTTGAATTTTTAATAAGAAGTTTTTCTTTCAAAAAAATATTTTCTTTTTTAGAATATTTTCGTTGTAAATCAGCAGGAGATTTTGTTGATGAATATATGAAAAATCAAGGAAAATATTTTTGGTGTATACCTTATAATTATGGTAAGATTATTTAAAAATCTTTCAAATATTTATTTATTTTTTCTATTTATTTAGAATATTTAATTAAACAATTATCATGTCCAAATGGTCTGAAATTTAATTCTGAAGAACAATTATGTCTTTAATAACTGAGAATTTTCTTTTTCTTTTTCATATTATTTCATTGAAGTAGAAATTGTTTGTTTTTTTATCTTTTTTTTGTTAAAATATCTTTTACAATACATAGAATAAAGTAGATTTTAATGGGAAATTCTCTTGTAAAATCATTTTTTTTCTCATGTGAGTAATGAAATTTTGTCTAGTAAAATATAACAGATGTTTATTCTAATGACATTTTCCCATAGGCAGATGAATGTTTATTATAATAAGTAACTTTTCACAATGAGATAATATAATCATTAATATTTTATTTGAGTAAAAGAATAGTTAATTATTCATTTTTATTCACGTTGAGTCTATTGAAGTACTTACAGAAGGTAAGTGTTTTTTTCTTTCTATCAAATCATATCTCTCAACAAAAAACTTCCGGGATTTATTCTTTTTTTTTAATTCATGGACGAAATTATTTCTCTTGATATAAAACAGAAGAAATTGATAATGGAAAAATACATTTTTTCTATTGTTACATTTTCCTTTTCTCTACAAAGATTATAAGTAGACTGTTTTAGGCTCCAATTATTCCTGGATGAACGAGTATCATACGTCAGTGTTAAATTATTTGTTCTTAATGCACGGATCAAAAAATTAATTATGAACGAATAAGTTCAAAGTTTTTTTTTTTATAAAAACTTATTAAATTTATATTAATATATTGAAAATAGATTGTTATTTTAAAATAAAAGAGTATTGTTCATAAATTATCCAAAAATCTATTTATATTCTTATATTAATTATTAGTGAAGAAAGAAAAATTCCCATTGACTCTTATTACGTAGTTTCTAGAAATAAATTATAATCATGGTAATCTCAGAATGTTTTATATCTTTATAATATTATATTAAAAATCTATTCGGAGCGAATATATTATAATAATATTTATGAATTTATTCTTTCATTATTAATAACAGACATTTTTTTAATCTTATATTAAATAAAATTGTCTAAGAAAAGAAAGAAGGTCGAAATGATTGATGATATTTACCTTGGGTACTATTGTAAATTTTATTAAATTATTTTGTTTGAATAGAATTGAAAAAGCCGTGAGTGATGATGTATAAGTTTACTTCTAAATAAAATTATTTTTAATATTCAGCGTATAGAAAAGAGAAATATAAGAGAAATGTTTCTAAGTAATCTTCCGCCTGTTCGAATCTCATAAGTGTTATTAAACTATATCTCTCGTTATATTTTCCTTTTTTTTTTTCTTCAAAAAAAATCTTTCGCATAATTATTTTTGATGATAGAGAGTTTTTGGTTTAATGTCAATCATAAAAATACTTTAAATTTATTATTTATAAACTTTCGAGAAATAAAGAGAATGAGATATTGGATTTCTGGTTAGTTTTTTAAAAACAAATTCTTTAATTTCAAATGAATAAAGTATAGATTTTTCTATTGTTGATAAACTAGAGAAATTTAATTTGATTTATTAACTTTAATTAGTTCTTATATAAAATAATGAGGAAAATATTTAAGTAAAAATAACATATTGTTTACGAGGAGAATTTTTCTTTTATCTATTCTCGGTAGAATTGAAAGAGAAAATATTTTTTTTCTTTTTCCCTTTTACTTTACGACCAGATGTTAACATCAGTCATTACATAAAACTATTTATCTTGTCGAAAAACGGTTAATTTATTTTTTTAAGAATATTTTTTATTAATTTCTTCTGAAAATGTTATCCAATGAAACATCTGGAAATCTAATTGAATTTCATCTTTTTGAAAGAATTTTTATGACTATTGTATTTGCTTGTATTTGTACTATTGGAGCTATTGGTAAGAAAATGTAATTGTTTCTTTTTTTTTTTTAATCTTTCTTTTTATTTAAAAAAACTATTCAGGAAATATAATTGTTCTTATTGTTACAATACGAAAACAAAGATATAGATTTGTTACAAATTGTTATATTATTAATTTAGCAATAACTGATCTTCTTTTTTTAATTATTTCTGTTCCATTTACTACTTATTTGGGTTTAACCGATACATGGCCTTTCTCACGTTTTATTAATTGTCATGTTCATATTTATATAGCGCATGTAAGTTATACAACTTTTTCATTTATTTCTAACAAACATCTCTTCAATTTAATGAACTAAGGTCAAAAAAGAAAATATTTTAAGAAGGACATTTTTCTGTTGAAGTTATTATTAGATAGATTTCAAATAGAAGATATATAACGTCATTATTTCAACAATAGCATGACAGTGAATGAGAGAAATATGAATTAACTCATCTATGATATATTTACATATGATTTAAAGATTTTCAAAAATATAAATTCTATTACTTTGAAAGTACAACTACCGTTATCTAACAAAATTTACTCTTGTTTATTGAAAAGACAATAGCAAGTGAGATTAAATCAACTAAATATCAAAAATGCATATTTAGAGTTGTTTTTAGTAAGAAAATTCCTAAGAAACAAGATATTTAAATAGATTTTATACCAATAAGAAAAATGACTAATAGGAAAAGAGATAAAATGCTTATTAGAACTCGAACACACATTGAATCAAGCGAATTTCCCATCGGATTAGGTTTTTCATGTTTATCACGTTCCAGTGCTACTAGTTTAGCAAATTATTCTATAGTCTGAGCGGTTTCTTTTTATACTAATGATATCTTCACTTTCATCATTAGATCAATGCCTGCTTTATCTGTATTATTAGTCTCAACATTTTATGTCTAAGTGAATACTAGATCTACAGTCACACATAGTCATTACAAAATTAAATATTTTATTTTCAATGATTTTTATTGATAATTATTCCATATTTAATTGATTTAAAATAACTTCGACACAACATATATATATCCTTAATAATATAATACTTCTAATAGAAAGATTATCTTCCATTGCTTCCACTCCATTTTCTATAGACAAGTGCTGTTTGTTTGACGTTAGCACTGTTTGAAAAATTCTGTTGTCATATTCTGAACTATTATCTCGATGATCTCTTTTGTTTTAAGATATTTTCTATACATAAAAATGCAACATCTATTTATAAGATAAAATAGAATTTTCTACTATAGAAAAACAGATTCTTTGTAAAATTTCGATATATACCAAGATAAAAATAGTAGAACATATTTTCTTATCTAAAATAGATATTAAACGGCGTAAATGACAGATTATAAGTGCTTGTACTTGCTGTTCTATAAAATTTTAAAATAACAAATCCTCCGGAAAATTAATAAGTGCTTTGTAACGTAGAGCATTTTCTTGAATACACTAAATAGATTAGCATAAGGCGTAATGATATTTATCACTGAAACAAAGTAGTTTATTTTTTTATCAAGAGTCATACATTAACGTATAAATTTAAAAAAAAAGAAATTTTTCTTCAATATACGAACAAGATCATTTTCTTTTAAGTTAAAAAAAATATAACAATATTAAAAAGCTTTCAGCGCAATCCATTTGGGATTAAAAATGTGAAACACGATGTAACCGGTGTTGCTTATGGGAAACATAGCTTATATTTATGACTTTGAAGCATACATATTGTAATTAATGTTGTTTCACCGTTACATCTGTCACAGTTCCTGAAAGTCCTTGTATGCCTGCCGGTCATGTTCTACGATGCTTTGTCGGTAACGGTCTGTGAAATTCTGTCGGTCACGGTCTGTGGGGGGGGGGGGGGGGCGTGGTTAGTTTTCTGCTCTTAAACACTTCAACACTCCTTTTAGATCGTGTTTCAAAAAATAAATATAGAAATAATACATGAAATTATTTTTTGTGAAATTTTTTAAATTATCTAAATTATTAGGAAATAATTGGATTATAAAAAGTTAATAAATAGATAATAAAAAAAGGATATTAGATTCTGTAATAAATTCATGATATATTAAAAATAAAACTAATGAATTTTATTTTAAAAAAGATTTTACTTCAAGCAACATGTTATACATTAGCAGCAATGAGTATTGATCGATATTTTTATGTAATAAATTCTCATCCACGTCCTCCATGGCGAACACCTCTCAATGCTTTCATTATTTGTATTATTATTTGGATTGGTAAGATTAACTATTATTTTGATTTATTTATTTAAAAATAAATTTTAGTATCAATTGTATTAGCATATCCAAATTCATTATTATCATATTCACCATCAGAAAAAAATCTAAATATAACAAATGATTGTTCATCAACATCATCATCTCAGCCATCAATTGCTTTATGTTTATATCCATTTTGTCTTTATTATATGATACCATTAATAATTATTGCAATTTGTTATACAAGATTATGTATTTATATGAAAAATATATCAAATAGTATCAAACGATATAAAGTAAAATAAAATAAATCGAGAAATAATTAAATATTTATTTATTTCTCTCTTAATCTAGACTAGTTTAACAAATGGTTCACGTCTTGTATTAAAACGTCGTCGTGTAACTCGTACATTGTTTTCTTTAACTTGTGTATTTGCTATATGTTGGTTTCCAATTCATTTCCTTGAATTACTTAATTGTAGACGAATGTTATCAAAATTTTATCTTGAACATCAACAATTACTTAATACTATAAGAGTTACTGCTCATGCATTATCTTATTTTAATTCATGTATTAATCCGGTTTTATATGCACTTTGTAATAGAGAATCTTGTCTTTGACTATTTTTCATCAAAATAAATATTTTCTTTAAGATTCATACTTAATCTTCACAAATTTGTTTCTCTATGACTTCACTTAAATAGAAATATTATTTTCGTCTTCTCGAATAACAAACATTGTTTCAATACAGAGTTTTATCTTCTTTTCACGGCGGCATCATCCAACAAAGAAGAATTCAGATAAAACACTTAATATGTTAAATAATCTTACTGTCTCATTAATCTTATTGTTTATTAAAAATGCATACTATTAAACAATACGAAGATTTCACAAAAAAAGAAACTTTAATAGGCATTAAGATTATAGAATGATGATGCTAAAAAGAAATAATAAAGTAGTTCTTCTGACCATATAACATCGATACATTAATCTACAAGAATCCGATGTTTTTTGTCGACACAACATTTCGTCAACGAGAGATAATTACTTTATTCTGTCTTTTCTCTCGCTGTTATGAGATATTTAGGTGGTCCTTGAGGATTGTGGTGTCAGTCTGAGACAGGGTATGAGATGATCACAACACCCACACCCAAGAAAAACGTTATGATGAAATGGCGAGAAATATTGGTTGTATACAAAAAGATAATGAAGAACGTAAAACTAATGCTTTTAAAATGTCTAAATATAATAGTATTCTAGAATAATTCATAGACAGGTGAATCATATTTATATGAATATCGATAGGCTTTTTTTGATTATATTATCATTCTTCATCCGCAAATAACTTTTCTTTGTTTCAGACAAATTAATGTTTGTAAGATTAAATAAAAAGAGAAGCTCTGAATATTTAATCTTGATAATTTTTACTTTTTATATACTAGTATCTTTTACAAGTATGTTGTTGTCTCGTCTCGAAAGTTATCATATTCTATCAGGCACAGATAGTTAAGCATGAATCAAAGCAGATATTATAAATGTTTATAGAAAATGTAGCAATACCGTTACTTCATGTCTAGAGATATCAAACTGTGACACGAGAACAGTAAAAAATCATAAGATACGTATATGGCAAATAATTTAACTTTTGAGAATCATCCATTAGCCAATGCATCATTGTGGACAGTCCCTGAATATTCAGTTGTACCTTCGGATAGAACTATGTCACTATCAAACAATGATCAAAATCTGCCAACTTATGATACATGTGCTAATCCATCTGCATCTAATATTAATGATTTACCACCAAACTATTTTGATATATCAGTTGTACCCAATGGTGCTGTTTTATATAATATTGATGTTACTCCATATACAGAAGCATCAACAGTAGAAATAGAACGTGATGAGAAACGTGTTCTTTCATTCAATTCACTTATTGATAAAAATCCCGATCAACTATGGCTTTATTTTATGACCTATCTCAATGAAAAACCACAAGTGAAAATTATTATTCGTGGTTATCAGCACAAAGTAATTATATTTTTAACAGATAAGACAAGATAAATATTTCATTAAATTTTCATCATTTTCCTCTCGTCTGTTGTTCTTTGTAAAATATAGTAAAAAAGAACGTAATTTTATGATCAATAGATACAAGAAAAATGTATCGAGATTTGATGTTTGTTTTTGTATCTTTCTTACTTATAGTTCATTATGGCACACGAAACTTATTACGATTCAAATGGTGATTTGCAAACTTGTATGCATGATAAGATCGATGAAGTGACTGATTTTAGATGCTCCATTGATCTATCATCGTACACTTCTGAGCGTTGGTGGCGTGTAGCGGTTATGCCATCTGTAGAGGCAATAGAAACGGGTGAAATCGTTACATTGAGAGATGCTCTAGAACAATATACACTTTCGAATAAGAAAGTCAAAGAAATTATTATGGAAAAACAATTATATGGATGGCATTTGGTAGAATTACAAAGTCAACTTGTAAGATTAGTTCTATCTACTGGTTATCCAAATCCAATCAGTGTAGTAAGTGGGAAGCTAATATTCCAAATTATAATATATCGTATTTTCGATTTATTTTCTAGAATTATGAGAAGTTCAATGGCAACATTACGGCTCGTTCATCTTCACAGCTTAGCCGTTTTGCTAATTCGCGTGCAGTTCGATGCTTCTGTTGCCTTTCGTGTTTATGTATTATTTTTTGTCCCATTTATGGTTGTTTAAGACGTATAGGTTCAACACGTGATACGATTGTGGCCGACTATGTAATGACGAAGCCAGTTAACACTTTTCTTCAACTTAATTCTGCAACAATACTGGATACAGTAATTAATCTTTCGGTTAAATCTTATATAGCACACTAAATGCACTTATAAAATTATTAATTTTATTGATTTAATGTCTTAAATAAAAAAAAGACTTTAAAAGTTAAACAAATCTTCGAAGTTTTACCTAGTTTGACTAATAACAGGGTATAGGTGTGAGTATAGATGAAGGTAAAGTAGATACACCCACACTGTCACCCACCCAAAGCCACACTCACATCCTCAATCCTCCTTTCTTTTCGAATTAAACTCTGTATGTCATATGTTTACTGACTTTGATTAAAATAATATTGGTAGTGGTTAAATTATAACTTGAAGATATCTAAAGAAAAATTCTCAGTCACAAAATTACGAAAGATATTATCAGATTTTTTTTATTAGTCGTTGATTTGGTTTAACAGGCTTTCTTAAAATAATGATGTATATATAAGAAAATGTTTGAGTTAAGGATTATACGATCCTATAAAATTTTTTAGCATTCTGTATGATATCCAGGGTGTCTGTTGGATTCTCTAAGATTCTTAGGATTTCCAAAATTCTTTGGATTCTAAAAGATTCTCTGAAATTTGATAAGATACTTAAAGAAAACTAGCCGCATCCTGAAAAATGTGATCAAAAATCTATTTTGTTTCAAATTTGAATAATTAAAATCCTGACAGGATCTGATCATTCCATGGCTACAGGTTTCTTTCAGGAATTATCTATTTCCTGACTTATTCCTAGATTAAATTTAACGGTAAACTTGTCAGGATCCTTGATAATCTTGTCTTAAATTCTCCCAAGATCTTGGTATTCCGTGGCTACACGCTTCTTGAGGGCGTGGGTGAGGGTATCAGTGAATGTGTATATGGATAGTATATTCGTCTAGCAACCACATCTGCATCCACACACCCACAACCAAACCTACAGCCATCCGTACCCACATCGTCGTCCAGACCTACCCAAGCTCTCATCCACTCTTAAAAAGTATTTCAAGAGGTTTTCGAAATGATCACTACAATGATCTTTATCATTTTAAACATAATTTGATTTGGAAAAAACAAATAAGTGAAAAATACTGTTAAAATCAAAAAAACACTTTTGCAATAGTTAACAGTGAAAAATAACAAGGAAATCTCAAGAACGAAAGTGAGGTAAGGAAAGAAAATACGTAGATTAGCGCTGGCACATCCGACAAGTCGAATGGTGAAAGAAAAAAATGTCTATCTTCATTAGAAAATAAGTTGATGTATTTTTAACGAGCAGTACCCGATTAGTCGGTATGTTGACAAAAACGAACTTTTTCAATGATAAAGATATGCACCGAACGATCAAAAACTAGCGTCCTAGAGTCAGTTTTTGATCTTGAATCAAGAGAAAAAACGTCCAAAGCTATAGTAATTTTTTTTAATACCCTGTTATCGTAATCCGAGTGGAAAACCTAGTTTTTGCGGTATTTTTCGATTTCTGACATGAAGATCACTTTTTATTTCAATGAACTATACATATTCCGCTTCAGCGCATTAAACTACATCGGACTATGTATAAAAATTGCAAAAATATTTCCTTAAATTTTGCGTTGTGCCAACCTTATCTTTTACAAGTGTGCTGTTGTCTCGTTTTGAGAGTTATTATATTATATTTATCTTTTGTTATATTATATTTCCTTTTTGTTTTATTATATTTACTTTTTATTATATTATATGTGCCTTTTTTATATCAGACACAGATAGTTAAGCATGAATCAAAACAGATATTATAAATGTTTATGGAAATTGTAGCATTACCGTTACTTCATGTCTAGAGATATCAAACTGTGACACGCGACGAGTAAAAAAATCATAAGAAACGTATATGGCAAATAATTTAACTTTTGAAAATCATCCATTAGACAATTCATCATTGTGGACAGTTCCTGAATATCCAGTTTTAACTTCGGATAGAACTATGTTACCAACAAACAATGATCAAAATCTGCCAACTTATGATGCATGTGCTAATCCATCTGCATCTAACATTAATGATTTACCACCAAACTATTTTGATATATCAATTGTACCCAATGGTGCTGTTTTATATAATATTGATGTTACTCCATATACAGAAGCATCAACAGTAGAAATAGAACGTGATGAGAAACGTGTTCTTTCATTCAATTCACTTATTGATAAAAATCCTGATCAACTATGGCTTTATTTTATGACCTATCTCAATGAAAAACCACAAGTGAAAATTATTATTCGTGGTTATCAGCGCAAAGTAATTCTATTTTTAGCATATGAGACAAAATAAATATTTCATTAAATTCTGATCATTTTCCTCTCGTCTGTTGTTCTTTGTAAAATATAGTAAAAGAGAACGTAATGTCATGATGAATAGATACAAGAAAAATGTATCGAGATTTGATGTTTTTATATTTTATGATGTTCGTCTTATCATTATGTTTGTTTTTCTATCTTTCTTACTTATAGCTCATTAAAGAAGGTGAATTTTATTACGATTCAAATGGTAATTTGCGAAATGGTATAAATGAGGCCGTTGAAGTGACTGATTTTAAATGTTCTATTGATCTATCATCGTACACTTCTGAACGTTGGTGGCGTGTAGCGGTTATGCCATCTGTAGAGACAATAGAAGCGGATGAAATCGTTACATTGAGAGATGCTATAGAACAATATACACTTTCGAATAAGAAAGTCAAAGAAATTCTTATGAAAAAACAAATATATGGATGGAATTTAATAGAATTGCGAAGTCAACTTATAAGATTAGTTCTATCTACTGGTTATCCAAATCGAGTCAGTGTGGTAAGTGGGAAGCTAATATTCTAAATTATAATTAATCGTATTTTCGATTTATTTTCTAGACTTATGAGAAGTTTAATTACAAGATAGCCGCTCGTTCATCTTCACAACTTAGCCGTTTTGCGAATTCGCATACGGTTCAATGCTTCTGTTGCCTTTCGTGTTTATGTATTATTTGTTGGCCCATCTATGGTTGTTTAAGACGTATAGGTTCAACACGTGATACGATTGTGGCCGACTATATAATGACGAAGCCAGTTAACACTTTTCTTCAACTTAATTCTGCAACAATACTGGATACAGTAATTAATCTTTCGATTAAATCTTATATAGCACACTAAATGCACTCATAAAACTATTAATTTTATTGAATTAGTGTCTTAAATAAAAAAAGACTTTAAAAGTTAAACAAATCTTCGCAGTTTTACCTAGTTTGACTAATAATAGGGTGTGGGTGTAGGTATTGGTGTGAGTAGTTGTGGCGTCGAGTGTAAGTGTCTGCGAAGGTTAAGGAGATAAACCCACATCCTCATCCACCCATCCACCTAAAGTCACTCCTACACCCGCATGCGCTGCAATATATAAAGTCCGAATCAAATGATTTAATAAAGCTTTGCAATAAAAAAATGTCTCTTTTTCCAGAATTCAAGAAGATGAGATAAATTTGATTTTGATAAGTTTCGTATGAAAACTTTTTTTTATTTATATATTTTCATCTGACATGATATGATATGTTTTGTAACAGTAATAAAGTTTTAACAAAGAAAGAAAAAGAAAACGATAAACAGGTTGATAACTGCATAATATATTACTTTCGAATTTGCTGTTGTTGATTATTAATCGAAGGTGCTGATGATGGTCGTGCATTGAATTGTGAATATGCTTGAAAAATAGCTGCTGCGGCATCAGCTGCTGATGAATTCGGTAATGTTGGGTAATGATTTTGATTTTGGTTTTGGTTTTGATTTTGAATTGATGTTAATGACGATGGTAGTGGTGGTAATAACGGTGGTGGATAGAAATATTGTGATGACTGACAACCAAAATTCGATGTTCCTAATGATGATGATTGTTCTAAAAGAGAATTTGATGTTAATGATTGATTTCTTGAATCATAAGAAGAAAATATTGGTGCAACAAATGAATTTTGAGAAGAAGTTGTATTTGTTGGTATTGTTGATGATGATGAAGATGATGATGAATAATGAAATGAAGGTGTAACATTAGGTAAAGAATTTGAATTTGATTTAAACGAAGAAAATGATGATTGATTTTTATCTTGTTCTTGAAAATGATTATTTCCTTGTGATTGATAATTATTATAATCTTTTTCATTTTTTAAATTCGAATTTTTTGATTGACAATTATTTGTATCGTCATTTTTCATTCTATCTGTTAAGGAATCAAAACCATTTTTAGGTGTTAAATGTTGAATAGAAGAAATTTCGTCAGTTGAATTTAAAGATGAAGATTTAACTAAATTTGTTGAAAAAATTTGACGAATTTGTTCAGCTATTGTTGAAGATAAATCAGAAGATGATGTTTGATCTGATGTTGTTGAATGAGATTTTTGATCTAAATAGATTAATTTAAAACAATAGAAGTTCTTGTCGAATATTTTGATTAAAAAAAAACTATAATACCTGTTGAATGATTAATTTTAGCCGTTGCATATTGAACAGGTAATGGTGGTAATGTTCCTTGAGGTAAAGTTAACATTTTCGCTTTTTTTTCAAGTAAATAAACAAGTACACGATCAATTTCATCTAATGTTAATTGTCTTCCATCAGCTAAAAGACATAATAACATTGATAATGGTAATTTATCTCCCAATGTTAATGTAGATCCTATTAATGAAATGGATTGATCTTGATTATTATTATTATTATATTCTTTTGATTGAGGATAAATTATTGTTTCATTAGATGTTTCATTTAATTCTTCATTTCGAATACGTTCTTTGTATGTTGAAAAATTTGTTAATATTATATGATAACCATCATCTAATGTTAAATTTCGATGTTCTTATAAAAATAAAAAGAGAAATTTATTGATTTAGAAAATAAAAGTAAAACTAAACCTTCTGTTTGTCCATAAAGAATATGAAAAGATGCTGTACGTCGTTCCTCATGCATTGGCATTGCAATAATCCCATAAAGACATTGTTCTTGTGTCGCATTTTCAATTGCTTCAACTAATGTATAATCTTCTCGAAGAAGTACAACTGATGTTATAAGACCATGACAACGAAGACGTGAAGAAATTTCTTCACCATAATTTCTAAAAAGAATAATTTTCTTTTTTTTATTAATATTGAAATTAAAATCAATGAAACCTTTGACGAGGATTAACAAGAATTATTTGACAATCAATTATTTGTCTTGGATCATCAGATCCAATTAAAACTGTATAACATGATTGATGTTGTTGTTGATGACGAATTATTGAATCAGATGAATGATTATTTGAAGATCGATTTATAATATTTGTAGAAGATCTTGATATACGACGATTATCATCGATTTCCATTACATTACCATCGCTACAACAATTTATTAGATTTACTTTTCATATTAAGTAATAACGAATTATTATTCAAATTTTATTCTTATTATAATATCGTGTCAAATTATAATGCAGAAAAGAGAAAATTGTTTTTATAATTACTTCATCCAAATATATTAGTTGTAAATCTTATTCATTAACGATGTCTTTTATTCTTTTTGATTTCAAATCAATGTACTTACTCAAAATTTGATCTTCGTCGATGATGATCATCAATTTGATGTTTTGATGTAAAACGTTTTCTTGGTGCTTCATAATTTGATGAATGTCGATCTTGATCAGAATATCGACGAGAACTTCTTGATGATTGTCTTTAAAAATTTAATAATAAAAATAAAAAAAAAGAAAGTCTTAATAAAAAGAAAAGAAAACCTTTTATGATCTTTGAAAGTTGAATCTTTATTATTTGAATTTGCTTCCATAGCAGGTAAAACATCTAAATTTGTTCAATAAAATCAAATAAATCATTTGATTTGTTATTACCAAGTTTATTTCCTTTAAGCATTAATGATGTTTGACCTTGTTTAATTAATTTTTTTGCATCATCTATTTTATCATATTGTACAAATATATAACCTTTATATACTCGAATATCTACAAATACATTTATTTATTTGAAATATTTTTTAAAAGAATATATTTTACCTGAAACTTTTCCATATGATGTAAAAAATTCTAATAATTCATTATCAGTTAAACTATCTGTTGGAACATTTCCAACATAAACTTTTGATTCAATATTTGATCTAAAGAAAATTTTTATAGAAAAAAAAGAAAAAAATAAGTAAAAGATTAAAATTGAAATTTTACGTTCGTTGAGAATTTGATTGATCAATTGATCTTGTTGAACTTGTTCTTTTCTGATGATAATGTCCATTGATATCATCTTTATCTTTTCGATTATCATTATTTATTGTAGATTTTGTTATTGAAAAACTTCTATCATAATCTCGACGAATATCAGACATTGTCAAAACAGAAACGAAAAAGGAAAAAAAGAGTAAATTCTAATAATAAACAATCAAACGAGTTCTATAACATTGAAAACAAATCCATTAATGATTCATGCTCGAAAAACGATTAATGAAATGCATAGATATGTTACATATCTTGTCTGCGAAATAGAATATACGATTCTATAGAATTAATTTAAACACATTTTATTGGTTTATTTAATCATATTATACACGCATTTGTTTCTTTACATAAAATAGAATTATTTTATTTGAAATTTGTGAGGAGAAATGTTTTGGCAAATTCAACGAGATTTTAGCTCGTTGTTCACTCGTCGAAATGATAAAGACAATCATTTTCATCCAATTGATGGATTACGATCAATTTCTAATCTGTTAATAATCTCATTACATTTAGTAGCAATATTTACAACATTTATTTCACCCTATCCACATAGTCAATGGGTGAAATATCTTGAAAGTAAAGCATTTGCTTTATCAAATTATATGTTATTTTCATTAGAAACATTTTTTATGTTATCGGGATTTTTATTAACATATAAATTAATAACACAATGGAATAGATATTTTCCTTCAATGGAATTATTTTTTCAAAGAGAATATCCAATATCAATATTAAAACGTGCATTAAGATTTTGGCCAGGAATATTATTAGCAAGTTTAATTTTATTTGTATTTGGTGAACCATTTTATCCAAATTCAAGTTATATTTTTGAATTCTTTCGAAATTTAAATATTTGGATGTTTTTTCAAAATTATATTGACTTTGAATATTGGTATTTTAGTTTAACACCATTATGGTCAATTAGTATTGATATGCAAGTTCATATTCTCTTACCATTATTTATTTATTTATTTTATTCAATAAGAAAATATATTTCAATTTTTAAATCATTATTTTTCTTATTAATAATATCAATAATTCGAGGTATAATTGTATTTAATCCTGAAACAATGCCAATCGGATCTGTTGCATATAATTATCCATCATTACCACTTTTATCTCCTCTTCATCTTAATCATTGGTTACAAAATAATTATAATTTAACATTTCAATTACAATATAAAGAAACAAATGCAATGAAACTTTTTATGCAACAAATGTATTTACCTTTAGATGCTCGTATTGGAAGTTTTATTATTGGAGCAATGTTAGCAATTAAAATTATTCAAAATTCACTCAATTCGAACAATACAAAACCTAAAAGATTTAAAAAATATTTTTTCTTTGGATTAGTTTTTCTTCATTTATTATCATTATTACAATCATCTGATTTACCACCATCACCACCTGATTTTATTTTAAGATTTCTTGTTGGTACTGGTCGACAATTATTTACATTAGGTCAAGCATTTATTTTATTTTCAGCCTTATGTCCACCAACACATCCTTATCATTCTCGTTGGATAAAAACATTTCTTTCATCTTCAATATGGATTCCAATATCAAAATTAAGTTATTTAGTTTATCTTATTCATTTACGTATATCACTTGAATTAATATTTGGTGGTCCATTAAGATTTTTAAGAACATATTCAGTTACACAAGCTACTCTTATTAGTTTACCGATTGTTTTAATCTTCAGTCAAATTATATCATCGATTTGGTATGTTTTAGCTGAAAAACCAATTGAACGTGCGATTAAATATTATTCAAAGAAATATCAATTATCAAAAATTGACATGAAATAAACGATTTCTTTATTATTTTATTTTATTTTCATTTTTAAATGTAATAAGCTTTTTTCTTAACCGATTTTTATAAATAACGAACATATTTTTATTATTCGACACGATCATCTCTTTTTGATTTAATAGTGGGTAATTCATAGAAATGAAACAAAGGAGATAAACGATTAACGAAATATCGATATTCATTGCAAATTCATCTAGAAAGTTCTAATTCGCGTTTTGTTTTTTTCATTAAATCGTGAATACATTAACCAATAAAAAGTATGACTTTATATTATTTACGAATCGGATTGTACCTGTTTTATCATACAATGTTAAACGATGCATGACGGACACCAGTCACCGTGTCTAATGTAGACTATTGTTAATCAAATCAACGTATAAAATAAGTATGTATACTATATCTTTTTAAAATTATTTCTCATGGTCAAAAAATAAAAATTCTTTTTTTAGATAAATCTTCTACAAATGCCTTCATTAAGAAAGAAAGACGATATTCCAATCAATGGTGAAGATATTACTCCAGCTAAAGATGGATGTAAATAGACTTGATTTTATTTATTAAAAATATTTTTCTTGTCTTCATAGGTTTATATAAAGAAATTGTTCATGAAAGTACAGATGATGAAGCCCCATGGTTTGATGATAAAGTAACAATTCATTATATTGGAACTCTAGTTGATGGAACTGTATTTGCAAATACACGAGAAAAAGATGAAAAAGTTAGTTTTAATTTGGGTCGAGGTGAAGTTATAAAAGCATGGGATATGGCTGTTGCAACAATGAAACGTGGTGAAATTGCTAAATTCTTTTCCAAACCAAAATATGCATATGGTTTAAAAGGAATCCCAGGAAAAGTTGAATCTGCTACAAGTGTTATTTTTGAAATTGAATTAATTGATTGTATTGGAAAAGATATTAGTGATGATAGAAATGGAACTATTCTTCGACGAGTTATAAAAAAAGGTGATGCATATGAACCAACAAATGAAGATTCTGTTGTTGAAGTTATGATTAAAGGGACATATAATAAAGGAGAAGTATTCGACGAACGAACGGTTACATTCTATGCTGGTGCAGGTGCTGTACAAAATATTCCTGCTGCGTAAGTTTTCATTTGATTTTATTTTATTTTCTTATCAACTTTTATTTTAGTGTTGAACGTTCTGTATTTCGTATGACAAAAGGTCAACATGATCGATTACGTTTAACAGGAAAAGCAATAGAAGATTTAAAAAAATATAATGTTCCATCTGATGCAACTGTAGAATATGATGTTACTATTACAAAATTAGAACGAGTAAGAATATTTATTATTAAATAATAATAAGAAGAAAAAAAAATTCTTTTATTTTAAGGCTAAAGAAGAACGACAATTAAGTGATGATGATAAACTTGAAACAGCAGATGTTTTAAAACAACGTGCTGATGAATTTGTTAAAGTATATTTAAATTATTTTTTATTCTTAATATATTATATTAATTTTTTTCGAAGGCTGGTTTTTATGATCTTGCTATAAAACGATATAAAACAGCATTTCATTATCTTTTAAATGCATCATTAACAAGTGAAGTTGACAGAAATAGATCTTGGAATTTAAAATTTCATTCTCAATCAAATTTAGCATTATGTTATTTAAAAGTTGGAAATTATGCTGATTGTCGGCGATCATGTGAAACAGCATTAGCTCATGATAAAAAACATGAAAAAAGTCTTTTTCGTCTTGGTCAATGTCGATTAGCAACACATAATTATGATCAAGCTATTAAAGATTTTGAAGCTGTTCTTGAAGTTAATCCAGATAATGAACTTGCAAAAAAACTTATTGAGGAATGTATTAGAAAAAAGAAAGTATCAGAAATCGATGAAGGCAAAATGTTTAGTCCGTTTTTTAAAAAACCAGACAAGAAAAATCCTCCAGCCAAGGTTAGTAGACATAGATATTCGATTATATTTATTATTAAAAATTATCTTTTCTTTTTATAGATTGAAGAATATGTATCAAGCGATGAAGACAAAGATGCATAAGTTAAATTTAATTCATTGTTTTACCTTCTTTTTTTTTAATTTCAATTTCAATAAAATAAAATTCTTAAACGGTTGTTATATGTTACCTCTGTTTTTTATATGCAAATAACTTCATTTTTTACTTCAGTTGTATCGAGATAAGGATATTGTTTTACCTGATTCTTCCTAAAGCTAATAAGATTATATCTCAGTTCATATAAAACAACTGTCCATATTTTATTGTATACAACCTTCAAGAATGTTATTCATTAACTTTAAATCAATCTAACTGTGAGACGTATTTAATTGATATAAACAATTGCTTTCTTATTGTCTATATTGAAAGACTCTTCTATCCTCATTAAATATAAGAACAATATAGATGAAGGTAATCCAATAAATGTCATTGTTTGTTTTTGTTCGTCTAGTATGAGTGTGTAGAAGTGGTGCTGAGAAAATACAATGCATACATCGTCAAGGTTATGATTATTACACGGTCGATCTATACATGTCATAAACAGTCGTATTAGAATCATATCGTTTCACTTGACTTATTTATATATCTAATACGATTAATAATAAACATTATATTCGATTTCGAATATATTCAAGAGTACGGAAACAAGATAAAGTTAATAAAATTATAAACAGGAAAGTGTCTCATTGTGATCATAAGCTGATTTATGATTTCTATGCAATTATCCTCTACAGGTACAATCGAGCATATAAATATTAAATTTATGTTATATTTTAAATGATAGTGATCAACGTTATCCCTTGTATTAGAAGCTAATGCTTTTTTAAGTGCACAATTTTATTCATCTGTGATGTCAAAGTGATAATGTCGTTGTGAGAAATTTGAATAAAAGAATGTGTATAGATATTATAATATATATTTGTTTAATATATTTCTAATTGAGATATTTTCACACACAAAAAAAAAACAATGAACAAGAACTACATTAACACGAAACAAGACAAATTTTTTTTTGATATTTGTGATGATTAATTTTGTATTTGTTAATTTCCATTTGTTGAAGCAGGAACATATTTTTGTCCATTATGAACATGACCATTATTAATATATCGATCATAAGCTGAATATCGTCCAGCAATAAAAGCTGAAATAGGTAATGCAACATAACCAAAAACAATAGCAGCAATCATTGAACGTGATGAATGTGAATTAAGACGTGACCATCCGCCATAATCAAATAATCCAGCTGTCATTAAAACACAAGCAACAAAATAAAACATTGGAATAACAAATCGTCGATCACTTGTTTGAAACATTTCCCACATAGAAAATATTCCTCCAACTAATAAGAATATTATTCCTAATAAACATAAGATAAATGTTGTTGTCCAAAATCGTGTCATACATGGAACATTTACACGTGATGTACACATATAAAATAAACCCTAAATAATTCCAAAAATAATTATTATTTAAAATTTCATATAAAAACTTACATTCCAATTCCATTCTTGTTTTTCATTCATCATCATAGTTCCATTAGCTGTTTGCATTGGCATACCATTTGTCATAAAAGGTTCCATTGTCCAATAATTAGTTGCTAATGCAACAATACCAAGAATACAACCCATAAATGCAAATAAACCTGCAATCATTGTCATTCTTCGAAAAAATGGATCCAACGACATAGCTTCTTTGTTTGTTTGTTTGAGTTAACACGAATTGAAGAGAATTTTCACAAAATGAATATACACCCTGAAGATGACCGATTCACCTCTACTTATATACGAATCTAAAGAAAGAAAGAAAAGAGAGAAAGAGAGAATTATAGAACAATGATTTTCCTTTCGTTTCTTTTTTTATCCAATCTTCATCGACATTATACAACGGTCAACTAACATATTTTCAAATTTTAGCCACTGAATTTTTTTAACTGACTGACGAATATATAACACAGATGAGGTCATGCCCTCTCTCTCCCTCTCCCTCTCCCTCTCCGTCTCTCTCTCTTTGCGTACTTAACAATACAATGAAAGACTTTTCAAAATCATCTTTTACAAAAACATCAAAAGAAATTCAACACTACTTATGTATAAGTCCATATCAGAAAAAGAAACAATTCAATACTTGAACATTACACAAAGATCTTTTTGTTTTTAACAAGTTTATTTTTCAAAAGAAATAAATTCTCTTATTTTATAAGGTCAAAAACATCTGTTAGATAGTTTTGTTATCTTTTATTCATTTGGGAATAAACTTTACAACTGAATGATCAAATTTCAATAACATATTTAAACCGTCTTCTTTTCCTCTATAACGTTAGAAATGTTATTCGATGAATTAAAAAAAAGTATTTGAATTCTATTTACATTAAATAATCTCAATCAAATAAAATAAAATGTTTTTTTTCTTATTAAAATTCTTTCGTAGATGAGAAAAAGTATGTTATTTATGATTTATAGAAGAAATAATTTTATTTAAATAAAAACTAACGTTTTTCTAGAATAAAGTATCAATTAATCCTTTTTATATTGAAGTTTACATGTATTAGATAATGAATGTTATATTAAACAGATGGAACATAAAAGAATATTCCATTAAAGAATATAGTGGCCTCTGTTGATCAGTTCTATCATTTGACCATTGTTCACATTTTTGTTCATTTATCTATTTATTTATTCCTATTTTCTCTGTTGATTTGTTTGTATATTAGATCGGTCAAAAAAAGGTATTTAAACAGGAAAAGAATACATATATATGTTTATATTATATTTGACAACAAAAAACAAACCCTTTTTTCTAATATCAATAAATATTTAATTTATATAAACAAGAGATTATTTGATTGTATTAACAAAAACAAATATATTTTTTTTCTTATAGTTTTTTTAAAAGATTTGTTTTGAATAAAAATGCCAGTTAAACTTGAACGAAAACATGCACTTCCATTAACATTAGCTCCTATAATGATTGCACTTGGTTTTGTTTTATTTAAATTATATACAGCAAGTAAAGTAACAAATCCTGAAACAGGTCGAGTCGCTCGTGTTGGGATTGATCCTGAACAAGAACAAAGATTAGGTTTAGAAGCTTATGCACAAGTTAAAAGAGATGAAGCCGCTAAAATTGTTCAAAGTGGACCAGATGTTGAATTAGTTAAACGAGTTACAAATAGACTTGCCAGAGCAGCTGCAGAAAAAGCAACTGTGCAATACAATTGGGAAGTAAGAATCAATTATTTACTTTTCTTTTTCTTAAAAAAAAAGTTCCATTCATCTTCTTTTAGGTTAGTGTTATTCAATCTAATGAAAAGAATGCTTTTTGTTTACCTGGTGGAAAGATTGTTGTTTATACTGGCATTATCCCAATAGCAAAAAATGAAGCGGGTTTAGCGACAGTACTTGGTCATGAAATGGCACATGCTACTTCAAGGCATGGTGCTGAGAGACTTTTTCGTTCAGAATTAACAAAAACTATATTAGGTGGATTTCAGGGAGGTCTTGCCCAAATGGATCCAGCACAACGACAGGTAGAATTTTATTTATTTATTTATTTATTTCTAAGCAAAGATCTATTTTTAGACAATAATGGGAGCATTAGGTGCTGGTGCAAAATATGGAGCAACATTACCATTTTCTCGTACACAGGAATCAGAAGCAGATCATATTGGTTTAATATATATGGCACGTGCTGGTTATGATCCAAAAGAAGCTGTTGCTTTTTGGCAAAGAATGGATGAACAAGTTGGAAAAGGTGGTTCACCACCACAATTTATGTCTGATCATCCATCACATAATACACGGATTGGTCATCTTCAAACATGGATGCCAGAAGCTGAAAAAGAATTTGCTTCACATCATCAACATAATGCACCAGGTGCATAAATAATTTCTTTTTAAATATATTTAATCGAACTCATTCTCTATTCATTAATGTACTTGTTTTTGCTTTTTCGATGTTTTCTTTCTTTCTTTCTTTCTGTTTTTCTTATTCACTGAAAAAGAAATTTAGATTAGAAAATAAAATTATTCTTTCGATCATAATCGATATTCTGTGTGTTATTATCTCAATGAATATTTTATTTCAATTATTCTTAAACATTTTTTTTTAAATAAAGCGCTCAATATTATAAATAACGATGGATTATTTCATCTAAACGTTAACTTAATATGAAAAAGAAGAGATAATGATTTCTTCATCGGATTTTTATTCTGAAATGTTATGTGATATTATTGCTTGTTGTATATTTACTCTTCTCCTTCTTATTATATATCTATTTAATTATTATGGCAAAAGTTCTTTAAATTCTCAATATTATTTTAATATGAATAATTATGAAGAACAAGAAAAAACTGAAAATAATTTTTCTCAAATATCAACGACTTCAAGTTTATCTTCATAATTTCAACAATATCTATTCATATCATAATATAAACATACAGAATTTGATTTATTGACAACAAAATGAGTTACAATATATTAAAATATTTAACAACTACAAAAGAAGTTTCGTTACTCTAACTGATTTCAGGATGGTGCTTAGAATACGAAATTGCTAAATTCTATTTTTGTGTACTCGAAAAGTGAGTACACTCTAGAATCGATCAGTGTGCTCGTCCGGCTGAAGAATACACAATAACTTTCAAAAGGAGAAACAGATTTTGACGAAATTTTTCTACACAATTCATTCTCATGAAGATCTCGATCAAGTTCGAAGATGAGCCTAATTGGACGAGCCATTCCAGAGTTATTGCAAAAATACTGATATTTTCGTATGATTTCCACAGACACCTTTTGCAATACACATAACTCTCGGATAAAATCCCAAGTTATCGTATTTATTTGCTCATTATAACTGGATAATCAATTTTTAACAATAAAATATTCATTTTGATTTAATTCTTATCTATTAATTGATGTACAGTGAGTTGAAAATTATTTGTCCATTTGCACTTTTTTTTTACTAATGTTCATTTCTTGGAATTATGAAACGATTGATCTACTAAAGAAACTTCATAGAATTTAAACATCTAAGCTTTGATTTTTGATATCCTTTAACGTATTTAATTAGATAAAATAAGAAAGAAGGATAAACAAATTATTTTTCATTCATTATATATGATTATTTATCTTAAAAATTCGATATCTTTACTATGTTATCAATAAAAGAAGATCAACAGACTGAACCAATTCCCATTTTTGAACCCTATGCTTATAATCTAGAGAATATATAATTCTATACTCTGATGAAAATGATATACTTCGAGAATTCAACCTGTGCGCAAACAGACTTGCGTGTATATTTGCTAAAAAGTCTTATTAGTATTTCAGTTTTTTTGTCATTATACTCTATTTCATTTAAGTTTTACATCATTATTATTATTGAAGAATATTTTGAGATAAAATATGGATGTATATGAAAAAAAGAAATGCGAGTTTATTTGTAATATTCACAACCTCATCTTCAAGAACAAGTTTTTTTTCTTATTTTATATAAATATATAAATGACGTTCATTCTTTTCTAATTATATCATTCGAGCAAGATCAATTAGTAATGCACTATAAAATATGATTCTATCTGATTTGAAAACTCGCTCATCGGCACTATCTAACACAAAAAATATAAAATATGGAATAATTTTATATAAATGACGTTCATTCTTTTTTAAATATATAATTTGAGAAAGATGAATTAGTAATGTACTTTAAAATGTGATTCTGTCTCGTCTGAAGACTCGCTTGTCAGCACTATCTAACATAAAAAATAAAAAATATGTAATAATTTTATATAATAAGTGAAAGTAATCATTCGAGCATGAATCTTTTTTTATACAAAATCATGCTTTCTAAAATTCTCATTTTATCTCAAACAGATAAAATAGATCAATTAAGTTTTTCCTGACATGTAATCGCTACTCATGTAACCGGTCGTTTTAATGCATTATGACGCAAAATAATGGCAATAATTACATGATAATGCAACGACCAGCTACATGGGTCTAATGTCTTTTGAAATTATATACAATGATAAATTTAGATTTTCACAAAAAGAGATTAGAACAAATGTTTTTTTCACTTTCTAATCATATATTATAACAGATTTCAAGATGATCCGAATATTTTAGAATGGTCGAACACAACTCTTACTTTTGCTGATAAAAAAGTAACCGTTCATAGTACTTGATTTAAGTGGTGAAAAATCTGTGCACTCTACATATTAATTAATCGAGCTCATATAATTTTTAGAGCGTCTAATAATTAGCAACAACTCCTATTTTAGTTTGTTAATATAATGTATTAATATTAAGGATAGACAAAGATTTCTTTAGAAAAAAATTTCCATTATAAACTCACAACAACTAACACTAAGTAACAGTTGGTTATCATTTGTGTTTTTAAAAGGAAACTAATTTCGAATGGCACTTTTGTTTATTAAGATATATTTATAATATTTATTCGAATAAAAAGATTAAATAGTTAAACAATTTGAGTGATAAATGACAACAAAGTTACAAACACAACATGATATACGCATATGAACAAAGAAATTTGATGCAACAAAGTAAATACTTGAAAAATTAAATGAATCTATTGCATTTCTTGAATGACTAGTATTATATATTTTGGTGTATGTTTCAATTAATTCAAAGATGTCTAACTCTTGGTAACTGCTGGACGAATAGTATTTTGCTTCGGTTTACAGATGATCAATGCATAAAGTTTTTCTTTTAGTCCGGGCAGTGTTAAAGCCGTAGAATAGGGTAAAGCCATAGATGGAACCTTTGCTAGAGGGAAAAAATATGGCTCCATGAAATTGATGCCGAAACTAGAAAATCCCAAAGCTTCGCCGAAATAAACAATAGTATAAGGAAGATTAAAGGTAAGATAGGTAATAGAGATGAAAATAAATTGTATGACCATTTTCCGATATTTACGCCATCCAGTACTTTGCTGTAAACGACGTTTTTGCATAATAATACGAAAAAGAAGAGCAGCACCAGAGACGATAATAATCACGATTGGCATAATATCATGAGCAATTGACATATACTGTTTAAGTGAATCAGATATTGAACCTAAATAACAGGCATCTCCGCATAGAGTCTCAGTGCCATCGTAACTACGATCACAAGGATAAAAGAAGATCAAATAACCATAGAAAATTGGTGCATAGAGAGAAAACAATATAAGTGGGATATAGTGAAATAAAAAGCGTCCACGCGCTGTACCAACTCGAGTTGAATAAAATATTAAAATATGTCGCTCGATCGATATCCATACCACTGAGAATGTAGTGCTATACCAAATTCCGTAGCATATAAATTGATTTGTCAAACAAAAAGCCGGAGATAGTAATGATATGAATCCTAGTCTCAGAAAGTTCATTTGCATCGACAAACCTACTATAAGGTAAATAAAGTTTAAAAGTAGCATGACAATAACGGCATGGTTGTAAAGAACTTTGCGTGTAGCTCTTTTACTAATTAGATGAAACATTACGAAAAAATAACAGGGAATCGATACCAGTTGACCAGATAAGAATAGTCCGAATTTAGTCTCTTGTGTACTAGACGAGGAAGAGACAGTTTGAACGCTTACGTTGCTCATACCTATGTAGTTAGTAGTCTGTATTAGACGTGAATGCTATACCAGTTAAGAATTTAGTAATGTGAATATATTGAAAGAGAAGTGTCATTCTCTTCCTCTCGCTGTAGTGATATGCTCAATTGCACAACTCCTTTCTCTTTATGAAAAGAAGAAAAAGATAAAAAAAAAAAGTAGATTTATCATCCAATGATAATCATTACAAGAGTAGAAGTATCCAGTATTCAGAATAGTTAAGACTCGCATACGTTTCTTACCTCTGAATTTTGATAGATTTTTATAAATGTTAAAAAGTAAACCGTTGTTAATACCTGATCTAATGATGCACAACGTTTTTGGTAATTGAAGCTAGACAGCCATATCAACATGTCATGAGAGATATTCATTTTATGTATTCAAAAAACTAATTGTATTCTCTTAAGTATAGAATAAACGTAGAAAATTTTTCTATTATGAGCACCTATTAGATCAACTACTTTGAAGATGTGCAAGAATCGTTAGAAAAAGAAATAAAAATGCGTAATCTTGAAAAAAATTTGTAAGTTAAGTTAAAATATATCCTTTAAAAATCCTTGTTTTTCCTGATAAAACTGAAATCGTAGTAAAATCTAATGATGCGTACTATTTTCAGTAGTCAAATTTTAGTAAACACAATTATTGAATATTTTTCATATATTTCATCAGTTTGTATTTCTATTTATCTTATAAAACTACATTTAGCTTTTGTAAACATACATAGATAAAATTCTATGACTAGTATTTGAAGAACTTTTGATAGAAAATCAATAGAGACTTGCGATGCCTATCATTCAAAAAAGAAGTCTTAAAATTATAAAGCTATATTAAACTTGATTGGTTTCAATTTGATGAATTAAATATACTTTTACTAAAGGTTTTGAAAATGGTTGTCTATAAAACATTTCCAAATCTCTGTCGATGTATCCAAGATCACAATTTCTAAGATCTTTTTGAGACTTATAGTTTTGACCAGCAGATTCAAACTTATCCTAAAATAGATTAAGATAGGGATGATGAGCCATATTGAGTCAAGTAATGGTATCTGTCTTCAATTCATATATAATTCTAAGTCATCAAAGATTGTATTAGTATTATAAGTATTAGATTGGAAATAATATAGTTTGTTATGGGAGCATTATTATAATTTTAAAAATAATGAATTTGATACTGAATGAAAGTCGGACAGTATGTCTTTAAAACAAAATCAATCTGTGAGCATTGAATTAAAAAAATAGGTACAATTGCAATGAATGTGATTAGAACTTATATGTAATACAGTTTATGAGTAATAAATCTTTTCATATGTCACATTCATCAGCATCATCAAAAAATACTAATAATAATAAAACTTATATTGTATTACTTCTAATATTTTCTTCATTTCTTTCTCGTCTGCAGTTCATTACTTATCTCTTTGAATCTTTTTCGAATGTCAGAACTTAATAATGTTTTTATAATCAACTAAATAACATTTTCCTTTCGTCTTTAAGACATTATGTATTTTTTTGGTGTATACTTGTTTTTTGTGTACTCAAAAAGTGAGTACATTCTAGAATCGATCAGTGTGCTCGTCCGACCGAAGAATACACGGTAACTTTCGAAAGGAGAGACAGATTGTGATGAAATTTTCTACACAATTCAGTCTCATCAAGATCTCGATCGAGTTCGAAGATGAGCGTAATTGGACGACCCATTCCTGAATTATTGAAAAAATACTGATGTTTTCGTATGATTTCCATATACACTTTGTGTAGTACACATAACTCTCGGATAAAATCCGAAGTTACCGCATTTATTGGCTCATAAGAACTGGATAATGAATTTTTAACAATAAAATATTCATTTTGATTTAATTCTCATCTATTAATTGATGTACAGTGAGTTGAAAATTATTTGTCCATTTGCACTTTTTTTTACTAATGTTCATTTCTTGGAGTTATGAAACGGTTGATCTAGTAAAGAAACTTCCTAGAATTTAAACATCCAAGCTTTGATTTTTGATACTCTTTAACTTATTTGATTAGATAAAATAAGAAAGAAGGATAAACAAATTATTTTTCATTCATTATATATGATTATTTATCTTAAAAATTCGATATCTTTACTATGTTATCAATAAAAGAAGATCAATAGACTGATCCAATTCCCATTTTTGAACCCTATGCTTCTAATCTAGAGAATATATAATTCTATATTCTGATGAAAATGATATACTTCGAGAATACAACCTGTGCGCATATAGACTTGCTTGTATATCTGCTAAAAAATCTTATTAATATTTTAGTTTTTTTTGTCATTATACTTTATTTCATTTAAGTTTTACATCATTATTATTATTGAAGAATATTGTTAAATAAGATATGAATATGGATTTATATCAAAAAAAAAGAGGTGGGAATTTATTTGTAATATTCACAGTCTCATTCTCTAGAACAAGTTGTCCTTCTTGTCATATATAAATGACGTTCATTCTTTTCTAATTATATCATTCGAGCAAGATCAATTAGTAATGCACTTTAACATGTGATTCTATCTTATTTGAAAACTCGCTCATCAGCACGAACTAACACAACAAATATAAAATATGGAATAATTTTATATAAATGACGTTCATTCTTTTTTAAATATATAATTTGAGAAAGATGAATTAGTAATGTACTTTAAAATATGATTCTGTCTCGTTTGAAGACTCGCTTGTCAGCACTATCTAACATAAAAAATAAAAAATATGTAATAATTTTATATAATAAGTGAAAGTAATCATTCGAGCATGAATCTTTTTTTATACAAAATCATGCTTTCTAAAATTCTCATTTTATCTCAAACAGATAAAATAGATCAATCAAGTTTTTCCTGACATGTAATCGCTACTCATGTAACCGGTCGTTTTAATGCATTATGACGCAAAATAATGGCAATAATTACATGATAATGCAACGACCAGCTACATGGGTCTAATGTCTTTTGAAATAATATACAATGATAAATTTAGATTTTCATAAAAACAGATTAGAACAAATGTTTTTTTCACTTTCTAATCATATATTATAACAGATTTCGAGATGATCCGAATATTTTAGAATGGTCGAACACAATTTCTACTTTTGTTGATTAAAAAACCAACCGTTCATCGTACTTGATTTAATTGGTGAAAAATCTATACGCTCTATATATTAATTAATCGAGCTCATACAATTTTTAGAGCGTCTAATAACTAGTAACACCTCCTATTTTAGTCTGTTAATATAATGTACTAAGATTAAGGATAGACAAAGATTTCTTTAGAAAAAAATTTCCATTATAAACTCACAACAACTAACACTGAGTAACAGTTAGCTATCATTTATTTTTAAAAGGTAACTAATTTCGAATGGCACTTTTGTTTATTAAGATATATTTATAATATTTATTCGAATAAAAAGATTAAATAGTTAAACAATTTCAATGATAAATGATAACAGAGTTACAAAAACAACATGATATACGCATATGAACAAAGAAATTTAATACAACAAAGTAAACACTTTAAAAATTAGATGAACCTATTGCATTTCTTGAATGACTAGTATTATATATTTTGGTGAATGTTTCAATTAGTTCAAAGATGCCTAACTCTAGGCAACTGTCGGACGAATAGTATTTTGCTTCGGTTTACAGATGATCAATGCACAAAGTTTTTCTTTTAGTCCGGGCAGTGTTATAGCAGTAGCATAGGACAAAGCCACACATGGAACGTTTGCTAGAGGTAAAAAATATATGGTGACATTGTTGCCGAAACTAGAAAATCCCAAAGCTTTGACGAAATAAATAATAGTATAAGGAAGATAAAAGATAACGAAGGTACTAGAGATGAGAATAAATTGTATAATCATTTTTCGATATTTACGCCATCCAGTACTTTGTTGTAAACGACGTTTTTGTATAATAACACGAAAAAGAAGAGCAGCACTAAAGACAACAATAATCACCACTGGCATAAAATCATGCGCAATGGATAGATACTGTGCAAATGAATTAGATATTGAACCCCAAAAACAGGCATCTCCACATAGTGACATAGTACCATCGTAAATACGATCACAAGGATAAAAAATGATCAAATAAACATAGAAAATTGGTGAATAGAGAGAAAACAATATAAGTGGTATATAGTGAAATAATAAACGTCCACGCGCTGTACCAACTCCAGTTGAATGAAATATTAAAATATGCCGCTCGATCGACATCCATACCAGTGAGAATATAGCACCATACCAAACTCCATAGATTATAAATTGATTTATCAAACAAAAAGCTGGCGTTAGTGGTGTTATGTATCCTAGTCTAAAAAAGTTCATTTGCATTGACAAACCTATTGTGAGGTAAATAAAGTTGAAAAGTAGCATGACAATAACGGCATGATTGTGAAGAACTTTCCATGCAGCTCGTTTACTCATTAGATGAAACATTACGAAAAAATAACAGGGAATCGATACCAGTTGACCAAATAAGAATAGTCCGAATTTAGTCGCTTGTGTACTAGACGGGGAAGAGACAGTTTGATCGCTTATGTTACTCATACCTATGTAGTTAGTAGTCTGTATTAGAAGTGAATGCTATGTAAGTTAAGAATTTAATAATATGAATATGTTGAAAGAGAAGTCGCATTCTTTTCCTCTCATTACGGTGATATGCTCGAGTGCACAACTCGTTTCTCTTTATGAGAAGAAGAGAAAGATAAAAAAAAGTTTATTTATCATCCAATGATAATCATTACACGAGTAGAAGTACCCAGTATTCGGAATAATTAAGACTTGCATATTTTTCTTATTTCTAGATTTTGATAGATTTTTATAAATGCTAAAAAGTAAACCGTTTTTGGTATTTGAAGCTAGACAGCCATATCAACATGTCATCAGAGACATTTATTTTATGTGTTCAACAAACCAATTGTATTCTCTTTTTTAAGTATAGGATAAACATAGAAAAACTTTCTATTATGAGCATCTATCAGATCAGTTAATTTGGGGATGTGCAAGAATCGTTAGAAAAAGAAATAAAAATGCGTAATAATCTTGAAAAAAATTTGTAAGTTAACTTAAAATATATCCTTTAAAAATCCTTGTTTTCCTGATAAAACTGAAATAATACTAAAATCTAACGATGCTTACTCTTTTCAGCAGTCAAGTTGTAATAAACACAATTATTGAATATTTTTCATATTTTTGATTAGTTTTTATTTTTATTTATTTGGTAAAATTGCATTTAGCTTTTGTAAACATACATAGATAAATTCTGTGAGTATTATTTAAAGAAATTTTGATAGAAATTTAAGAGAGACTTGCGATGAGGTTTGAAAATGTTTGTCTATAAAACGTTTCCATTATATTTTTATTTTATTCGTTTGCATTTGAAAGAGAAATTCAAACTTTGTCGATGTATGCAAGATCACAATTTCTAAACTATTCTTTTCAACAATTCTAAGATCTTTTTGAGACTCATAATTTTGACCAGCAGATCCGACCTTATCCTAAAATAGATGAAGATAGGGATGATAAGCCATATTGAGTCGACTAATGGTACTTATTTTCAATGCAAATATAATTCTAAGTCATCAGAGATTGTATTAGTATTATAAGTATTAGATTGGAAATAATATAGTTTGTTATGGGAGCATTATTATAATTTTAAAAATAATGAATTTGATACTGAATGAAAGCCGGACAGCATGTCTTTAAAACAAAATCAATCTGTGTGCATTGGATTATAAAAAAGTGGTAGAATGGTAATGAATGTGATTAGAACTTATATGTAATACAGTTTATGAGTAATAAATTATTTCATATGTCATATTTATCAGCATAATCAAAAAATAATAATAACAATAAAAACTCATATTGTATTATTTCTAATATTTTCTTCATTTCTTTCTCATCCCTCCATCTTTGTAACATTATGTATTTTTTTGGTGTATACTTGTTTTTTGTGTACTCAAAAAGTGAGTACATTCTAGAATCGGTTAGTATGCCCGTCCGTCCCTTTACACGGTAACTTTCGAAAGGAGAGGCAGATTTTGATGAAGTTCTCTGCACAATTCAATCTCATTAAGATCTCGATCTAGTTCGACGATGAGCCTAATTGGACGAACCATTCCTGAGTTATTGCAAAAATACTGATATTTTCGTATGATTTCCACAGACACCTTTTGCAGTACACATAACTCTCGGATATAATCCGAAGTTATCGTATTTATTTCGATAAAATATCAGATTGAAAGGTTAAAATTAGAATGTTTTTGTCGACTATTATATCAATCGAAAGAGAAAGATGAATCATAGATCTAATATAGTTTAGATAAGTTTTTTCGAATGAACTAGTTGCTTCAAATATTGTTAATCTATTTTCTACTTCTCGTCTTATGGTCAAATATTATTAATAATTTAATCATAATGAAAAAAGTTTCTATTAATGCAACTTCTTTGAAACTGAAATACGTTTAGTTTCATTCTATGAATAAAACTAGCGTAATAGATGGTAATTGTTTCCAAAGATAATCCATCTTCTGAGAACTATTTCATATTCACCAGTAAAGAAATGTTAACTATTATATTATGGGAAGACAATACGTAGATTATGGCAATGATATATTTGTTGTAATAATAAAGTGTTTTAGGAAAAGTCAAATTCTGATTATTAAAATATTTTGTTTTGAATTTTCTCATTTGAAAATGTAAATAATTGAACAAGTATATATATATATATATATATATTATTATTCCCTTGAAACGTCCATATGTTTCATTGATAATTAAAAATATTCGGTTGTGTATCATTGATCTGAGATAAGACAAATAGATGTAGATAAATAAACTTCGTCAAAGATAAGAAACAATGATATGATTTGTATCTTCATGAATGAAAGGACATTATCAAAAAAGATATCTGTTATTCTTAGACATTCTTATGACTCAATCGAATAGAAGAAGAAGAAGAAGAGAAATAATCTGTCATTATCTATGTCAAAGAAATAATTGAATTTAATATAAAAATGAATGAAAAGAAAAGAAAAGAAAAAAAACGAAAGAAAGGTTTAAATAATAATCGTTGATGAATAATATAGCGTACTAGAATTGGATGCAGTTGTTTTTGATTGTGTTTTTGTATAAAACTGATTTTGATATTGTTGAAGAATTTGTTTTAATTTTTCTTTTTCAATATTTGATTGTTTTTTATATTGATAAGCTAAATATGGTTTTTCTTTTAATTCTTTTTGATTTTCTCTTAAAAATATTCGATTTAATAAATTAAAATCTTCAGTTGTACAATTCTTTTCTTGATTTAAATTTAATTTTTGTTTATTTTGTTTTGATTTTTGAAATTGTTCTTTTCGTTGTTTTCGTGTCCAATATTTTCCTTGTTTTAATTCACTCATTCTTTCATCATCTGTTGTCATTAAACAATTCTTTTCTTCTTTTAAACGTTCTTCACGATAACGACGTCGATTATATTTATTTATTTTCGTTTGATTTAATATTAAACTATTATCACTATCATCTAAACATTGAACTTTTTTTTCAATAAAATTTTCTTGATGATAATTATATGGAAGTGGTTTAAGAATGGTTTTTTCATTATCTGTTGTTGTTGTTGTTGTGGTTTCAAATAAACTTTGAGAATAAATAAAATCTTTTAGAGAAAATATTGAACTATTTAAATCTTGTTCAATAAATGAATTTGATCTTAAATCATTTAATGAATAACAACGACGAGATATTAATTGTGAATAATTTAAACGATTATAACGACACGATCGAGAATGATTTAATATTAAACAAGATAAACTATTTGATCGTTTTTTTTAAATTATTTAATTGATTTGAACATTTCTAAAATAAAAATAAAAATAAAGATTTTCTTTTGATTTCAAAAAGAAACAAAATAATGTTTACATGATCTATTGATTGATTATTTATTTCAAAATCTGTATTACAACCAAGAATGATTCCACTATCATCTTCTGTTAATGGAGTTATTCTGGAGAAATCTCTTCCAATAAACTATTATTTTAAAAATAAAAATTTCTTTTTCTCTTTTTAGAAAAATCTTGTTTACTTGAAATCGAATAATTTGTAAAATAATAAGTGAAACTCCAGTAATCAGATCAATAGCTTGTTCTCTATTATTAACTCGTTGATTATTTATTTTGATAATTTGATCACCACGTTGAAGTTCTCCTTGACGACCAGCTAGACTTTTCTCTTCAACCTAAAATTTCAATTTATTTTCGAAATAAAAAAGAGAAGAAGACTAACTTTTTCAATATAAATATTTGTTGTAGATTGAGATGTTATTCCATAACATAGAGTTAAACCTAATTGAACATTTGGATCATGTCGATAAAGTATAACATCTTTTATAATAATTTCATTATTTAATAATGAATGAGATCGATCAAATAATCGATGATCAATTGAACAATTTAATGATGAATCATAAGAAGATTTTTTTATTATTTCAATATCTTTTTTTAAACTAAAAAAAGATTAATAAATAATTTAATTGAAATAGACTGATTTATGTCATTGATAATTCTAGATTAAAATATATGATTGAATGATAGTTACTTTTCGAATTAGTCGATTATATGAATCAAAGATTAGTCAAGAATAAAAATGACTTTATATCGTGACATATCGATTTGCTTCATCAATTTCTTTTTTCTTCTTCTTCTTCTTCTTCATAATAATATTATATATGAATATTTGAAATGTCGTCTAGAGTCAATTTTATCTTTAAGTACAATCAAACTTCTTAGACAAATAAATTTACTCAATGAATATTTTCATAAGAAAACTTCATTTGATTTCTCTAAAGATATTTCTTCTCAAGGTTAATTCTATGATAAAAGATATGTATACTTACTAATTTTGTTGTTGAAATTTGTCATCTAATGGTATCATATTGATATGATGTTGTTTATAGAATGTAATTGGAGATGAAGGATTTTTCTTAATTATTTTCTTATTTGAACTAACGCCATTGACAATTGTTTCTTTCTAAATAATTATCAAGGAAACAAAATGTCAATATCAATGATAATAAGAAGATTTATGAGTTGATAATTCAAAAGAAGAAATATTACTAAAGACATTGTTTTTTTATCTCCTTGAAAAAATAGATTTCGTGTTGATTGATAACAATTATTTCATTTACTTTATTAAATTATCTTTCTTATTAAACTTATTTGAGAAAGAATAGAAGATAACATTTCTAACTCTTATATAACAAAATATTCGATCAAAACTTAATCGGATCAAGTCTATCGAGAAAATTATTTCTCATCATTGGATAATTAAATAAGAATTATTGAAATGTAATAGATTCCATTCTCTATTTCTCATATCTATTTCTTTAATATCTTCTCTCATTTTTTTTTATCTAAATGTGATTTCTGTTGATGACATAATCAAGAAATCTTCTAATAACATTTGAAAATTTTATGATGAAATATTTTTCTTTTTTCTTTTTTCTTTTTCTATTAAATAATGAAAAGAAAACATTTGTCAATATGTCTGAATATCAATCCATTGTTCTTTAATTCACGATTAGATAATATTACTTTTAAAAGAAATTTTTCTTTTTGTTTCTATTTAATGTCAAAATGTTTTATATTTAAAAGTAGACTATTAATCATCTGATATATATATATCCTATAATCATATGTTGAATGTCTACGTAGAAATTTCTCATCTATAATCAAAGATCAATGAAACTTACCGAGATATTTTTTTCTTTTTTTGTTGAAATATCTTTTGATCCACAAATAAAAGAATTTAGTTTTAAACAACAATTACCACCAATAAGAAAACTCATTTTTTGTTTATGTCTATCCTTGATAATTGCAATCAAAATGGATTTACTATAAAAGAAAATTATGCTTAGAAGACCAATCGATAATGTATATGTATATATAATATTGCTTAAGAACGACAATCATTACATATGCAAAGACTGTATGAGAAGAAAAAGAGAAAACAACTCTCGTTTTTTTTTTTTTCTTTTCTCTCTTCTCACAATAGATTGAGTATCAAGAAGAAAGAAAGAAAGAGAGAGAGAGAGAGAAGAAGAAGGAAAAAGGGGGATCATAGATTATTTCGATATATCGAATAAGCTAAATATTTGTTTGTATATTGATAATATATCATATGATATCTTACTATTTATTGTAAATATTGATCGATTTTCAATAAAGAAAAAACGTTTGATGATTGTCATTGGTATATTATTATTCTACCTGTTCTCGTCTCTCTTTTCTCTAATATAAATTGTCAATGAATAGTATTGAATGACACACTGACGTTTACTATTCTTTACATATTATATGATAACAGCTCGAAAGGTTAGCGATATAGACATATATCATATATAATCTTTGAATAAAAACGATAAATAACCTTCATCAATAATTGTTTCCACATATTCTTTCTTTCTTTTCTCCACTATTATATCATTGATTATTTCATCAAACTAATAAAGATAGTTTAACAATATATTAATTACATTTATCTACAACTCAACATTAAGATAACAGAAAAAAAGAATCTTTTTTTATCCACTTCTTCCTTACGAATATTTACCAAAGATTAATTCACATTTATTCTAGTGTACAACATTTTTAGATTTTTCTAAATATTAAAACAAGATCAAGGATTGAATCGAAGACAATATTCATATTTATCATGAAAACACATATTGAATTATATTAAACTTGACTCGATATCACTATTATCTTGAATATAAAGTATTTAAAAATTCAAATTAATTGATATAACATCACTTAGTCTGCAACTTTACTATCTTGGTGTTCTCTTATAGATCGAAAATATTGCGTCAAAATTTGTTAATGAATGTTTTCACCTAGATTTCTTAAAACTGTTCAACAAAAAAATTTATGTCGTTTTTTTCAAATACCTGTTTTCATGTTCTATGAAAGAACAGAGACGCATAAGAAGTCAAATTGGTCTACTAGAACTTTTCACGATCAAACATTGTGAGTCATATATGAACTAATATTTTGATATTAAATTCATAAGGGTTTGTTTGAAACTATGAGACTGTAGACTATTTACATGGATAACTTCTTAATGTTTCAAATCTCTACGGTTATATTAGAACACTACATACTGACTATACTCATTCGATAAATTTGTAAAAATATTCATATATTTTTCGAATTAATTTATAATTTAATATCAGTTATCAAAATCGATGATTTATCATTCTCATCCATCATTTTTTCTATCTTAATCTAGATAAAAATCTGATTTAATAGTTGATTCATTTGAGAAGTACAATTAACTATGAATCTTATAATATTGACAAGTTTGTATTATTATCTATATCAAATTATATACATTTTTTAATAAAAACTAGCATCTACTCATCAAATATTGACAAGTTTGAATATTTATTTATTAATTTCTTGTTATAAATGCTTATCTTCTAACAAAAATAATTTTCTAAATTTGAGTTGCTTATTTATATATTCATTCGTCAACGTGCATGGGTGTGGATGCTTCTTTTTCTCCACACCTTCAACATGAAGTTTAATTGGTAATATTAATTTTTTCAAATATATTTCAATATATTTTGTTTATTAATAAATACGTATTTAAAAAAAAGAGTTTTTCATGTTATACATAACTGTAACAGTCATAAAAAAACTTGAACTTTATTTTGTTAATAATAACCACCTTGCATTCCACCAAATCCTCCTGGCATTCCTCCTCCAAATCCACCTTGCATTCCTCCATTTGGATTTCCACCAATCATGTTATCAAGCATCATGCCCATTGGACCTTAAATTAATAGAAAAAAGAAGAAATTTAAAAAAAAAATTCTATTAATAACTCACTATGTAATCCTCCTGGAACGAAACGATTAATGGCCCAATCTGAAGCCATTTCTTGTACTCCACCACCAAATCCTCCCATGCCACCCATGCCTTGCATGCCCCCCCATGCCACCCATACCCTGCATGCCACCCATGCCACCCATACCCTGCATGCCACCCATGCCACCCATACCCTGCATGCCACCCATGCCACTATGATGATGATGATGGTGTCCACCAAACATTTTTATTCAAACAAAAAAGTTTTATTTCAAAAGAATAATTTTTATGAAAAACTCAGTTGTATTTATATAGGTATTTTTAATTTACGTCATTTGAGGAAAAAACAAAAACTAATCAAGCATAACTCATTACCAACTGAAAACTAATGACGTTGTTAGTTTGTTTTTGTCAAACACTATATTTTCACAGTAATCAAAACAAAAAAAGGCATAACGCTATTAAGTATTTCTCAATAAAATCACGTAAAACTTTTTCTTATATTCAAATTTATGTCATCCATGAAAAAACATGACATAAACATATTTTTTTTTCTTATATCTATTTGTAAATTAATTCGAAAAGAAATTAATTTCTTCCTACAAACTTACTTTATGATAAAATAAGTCAATGATTGTGATGAAAATATCTTTCTTAAAGTCTCCTTATCTTTTATTTAAAAGTATGCTTCTTTATCTCATCTATACGTTCTATAACAAGTAGTTAATCACTTTTTAAAAATATTTATTTACTAAGAGAGGAACAAAAACATAGCAATATCATTTTTTTAGAGAAACTTGCTCTGTAAGTTTCTCAAGTATAAATCGTCAGTTCATCTTTGTTCTATAGACTCAAGTTTTTTGCCTATTTATTAAATAACACAGCAACTATTTTTAGTTAACCATTATCTGACAAATACGTTGGACAATAGTGTGATTTTTTTTGAGCATTTTTCTATTGAATAAGCAACTGTAAAGACACGAGTAACAGAATTGCAAACTTTCAGTTAAGGAAGAAAGTTTAAATTTTATTTATTAATAGAAATCAATGATCTCTAAATAGTTTTAATTATTTGATTTGGTATGAATTTATGAATATAATCAAGTATCAGATGAGTTCAAAATCAGGCATTCTATAAAATGACAACTAATATTCATAGAACTTAAAAGAATGAATTAAACTCTCGACTGAATTTTCTATCAAGACGTCATTAATGTATTTTTTGTTAGATATCGCATTTCTTTGTACTCCATCGAAATTTTCATAGCAAATAGTCTATAACATACATCTCGCAGTTGATCGTCGATATCCCTCCGATCCGTCATTGTCAACATGCGAAAGTCTTCGCACATGAATAGACCGATGAAAATAACGAACTCATCTCTCGAGACTGCGCCTTAGGTGGTAGTCTTATATGTAGCTGTGTATTAGTAATTCCTCTCGCATTCATGTAATTTTTTTAAGCATTGATTTACTAAGGAACGTTACACTGTCTTATTTAATTTGACTCTCGCTTCAGTCGAGAGAATAATTTCATTTGTTCACGACGTGAACAAATAAATCTGTACAGAGATATAGTTTATTTGTTTTGATATAATTCAGTAATGTTAAAGACATGCAATTAGAATCAATGGAAACTATTTGTAATAAATAACCTGTCTTTTAGAAACTATAATTTATTATCATCAATTGATTAGTTTTATATATGATCGATTCAAGATATATCTATACAAAGTAAATAGATTTTATTTTAAACTACGATTCAAATACGAAATGAACCTAAATTTATATTTGTCATTTGTAATTATTTCTAACCAATAATGAAATATATATATCTCATAGCGACCTCTTGCTAAGAACTGATTATAACGAACGGACAAACGTTAATTTAATCGTTAAAAATGTTGAATTGTAAAAGTGAAGAAAGTAATTTTGATGAAAATGATTTTTCATCAATAATTGGATCAAGTCTTCGAAATGTTATTGAAAAAAGTGTAACAGATCTTGTATTACCTTATAGAATCTTATCTCTTTCACATTTATCATCATGGAATACATTTCAAAAAGATATTACTCAAATTTTAAAACGAAATTCAACAACAAATGAAGTTTGTTTTTCTTATCAAAATATATTTGTTTTTCTTATTAAAATATTCTTTTTTTCTTCTAGGATTTTATTCTTCTGAATTATTTTGATTCTCATAGAAATTATTTTAATGAAAAACAAAAAGAAAAACATTCGTATTTTCAATCTTTAATTAATTATCCAATGAATTTTATTCCAATAAAATCAGATTTTGATCGTTTATGTCAATTCATGTAAATTTATTCAATAATCAAATGCTTTTTTTTCATAGATGTACATAAATAATACTTTTAGGTAGAATGTTAACTGTATTTTTGTTTTATGAAATAATAAATCATATATGAAAAAAAGCATAGGGATATATCTTACTTTTTTTATTTCCTAATTTAAAAAAGATTTCTATTTTTTAAATGTAAAACATCTGAAAAAGTCTCATTTCTTTTGCAATCTCTGTCGAACATAGTAACATACATACAAATATGATATTTATCTTTTAATACTCTTTTATTTATATATCAACAATTCGTTTTAGTTTTCAATTGAATTTCTTTGAGATGAACTTTAATGTAAAAGTTTTATTTAGACATGATTTACCAACGGATCTTTGGTATCCATCTATAATAATTTCTCTATATTGATTGTGCTACTATATTATTGAATACACTTATACTATTGAAAAAATTGAATCAACCAGATCTTTATTCAGCTATTGCCAAAGATTATATTTTTAATGGAAGTACATTAGCTAAATTGTCTAATGTTATTCAAATTTCTGGTCCTTCTTCTCAAATTCAATATTGTCATAATGAGGCAATCGAAGAACAATTTCTAGAAGATCTTACAAAACAAGATCATTTTCTAATTGTTAATTATTAGAGACAGTATTATGTAAAAGAAAAAAAGTATATTTATCGAAGTAGACATTTTAGTTTAATTGGTGAATATGATGAAAAAATAGATAATCTTCTTATTTTAGATTTAAGTATAGCACGATTCTTTCATCATTGGCTATCATTAAAACATCTAATAAGAATCATGTCGACATATCATACAATGACATCAATCTATAGACGAGATTTAATTACTAATCATTTAAAATAGATCAAAAACCAGTTTTATAATAGAATCATCTTCTAATAAACTTCATTATTTTATTTAATAATTATTTAGAAATGTTTTCTTTTAATTTCGTGTAATAGATTGAATACTTTCTTCACTACTCAAATCATTTTGAACAAAAAACAAAAAGATTCGTTAAAATTTTGATTTCCACTATAGATATATATAATTTACAGTGATAATAATAATATCAGTATCAATGTATTTACAATAGTGAGATAAGATAAATAGAGTGTATCTTAAAAGTTTTAACAGTGGAACAAAATATTATAAAATTCTCCTATATTTTCCTAATAAAATAAAAAATAAATTCTATTAGAGTTTTACAACAATTCCAATACAATATTTAGACGTAATTATGGAAATATGAGCCGTTCTGTTATGTCTTATGTTAATAAATATTTTGATCGTAAGTCTTAAAGAAAACGATGAATTTCACACATGAAACGGAATTTTTTTCTTGAAAGATCCATCATTAGAAAATATATCGTCAAGGGAATTGATGGAACAACTTTGATTTCTTCAAATGAACTCCGAATTTCTTTTCAAATAATTGTAGAACCTTTCATTCTTATTCATTATAACATCATACGTTAAGAAGATAAATAAATAATTTATTCATATGATTGATTTTCATTTCAAGAAAAACAAAGTATTATCATAGGAAAATTCAAACAAGAATCGATCTTTGAAATACAGATAGTACTCATCTTTTACTTGATTCTATTAGAGAGAAAATCGAAATATTTTGAGAATACACTTGATGTTCTAAATGCTTATTAAATTTATTATTTCAATGAGTTCATTTTAATTAGAGCTCTTATATTAAACACATGCGTAAGAGTCTCTCCTATGTTTAAAATAAAAATAAGTTCTTTTATTGATTTGTCACGCAATACAATAAAAGAAAAAGAAAATTGTTTGTTTGTTTTTTTCTTAAATAAATTCTGAATAAGACATTTAATAAAACAAAAAAAGAATTTTTTTTTTTCTAAAATTAAATATCTGTCGGAATATTTGTTGGTTTTCGAATAATTAATGGTGAATTTTGTGTTTTAATTTGTTTGAGACTAATTTGTCTTGTTATAGAATTTGTATTAGTTTTTAAATTCCATTTATTAATACAAAATGATGGTAAAATAAGTTGAATCATTTCCATTCGAAATTGTTGTGACATAGAACAATACATAACAAATGTTATAAATGATGAACTAATTGATGTTATATCCCAAAAATCTCCCAAGATATGATAATAGTAATCATATTTTTTATCAATATCCTTTGCAACTAATAAAATTCCTTGTGGAAGTTCAACAAAAACAGTACATAATGTTATTAAAACAAGCATTGTTGTTGTTCTCATTTCACGTTTTAAATTTGATGAAGAATTCATTGATGAACAACGACGACGAAGACGTTCACGTAATTTTCGTGCAATACGAATATTTAATATTAACAAAACACTAAAAATGATTAAGATAATAACAGGAGAGATTTTAAAACATATTGCTATGATTCGTAGTGAAATATTTTGCAAATGTTTATCACTTGGTGGACTTATCCAATACACAATTTCTGTTGAATTATTTTCATAAGTTTGTGGTAATAACATATGTGCAGGATAAGAGATAACACTATATAATATATAACTTGGTATCATTAATAAACATACTATAAGACAAACTAACCAAGCTAATATTATTATATGTGTAGAATTAACTGATACTTGACTTGGCTTTGATATTATTGTATAACGAATCTAAACAAATTTTTTTTCATTTATTAAATAAAAGAAGAAAAAAAAAATGTAATATCTTTTTCGAGACTTACAATAGCAAGAAGACAAGTGTGCCATAGAGCAATTGAATGTGCTGTTACACCAATATTTGAATGAAATATTGCAAATCGTACCCAAAATTGTGATTGACCAACGAATGGATTTGGATCATGAAGAATGTAAAAATATAATGAATAAATATTATATGAGAATAATACAATTGTATCAAAAAATGCAACATGTTGAAGAATTAAATTTGTTGGTGTTTGAAAATTTTTTCGATTTAATATTATTATTGTTACTATACTTGTTAAAATACCTAATATTGTTATTGGAAATACTATTCGACCATGAATTTGAGCATAACCTTCACTAAATCGTATAAGAAGGTCACGAGCACGTGAATCATTTGAATTCATTATTTGATTTTCCAATTTACCATTCTAAAAAATATCAAATATCAACTTTTTATTCGAGAAAAACAAAGAGTTTTCTTTTTAATAATGATCTAACACAATAAGCGTACTTCTTACCGGATTCTTTTCATAAAAATCTCTTTCTATTTAAGAAAAAAAAAAAGTAAATTCTAATCGGAAATTTGAAAAGAAAATATTATATAATGTGATTGATAATTCTATAAGATGAAAAGTGAAAGAGAAAAGAAAAAAAAGCAAATGTTAATATAGATCTACTCTTTAAGGATGCTTTCAAAGAAAAGTTTAGATGTGTTTTGCCTTTAGGCAATCAGTCATGCACCGAATCAATCATGACATCCATTAGATATCAAATCAAAAACTATGACGGAAATGAGAAAAAGAAAAACTCTCTCGTTTTTTTTCATACAAATATTTTCTTCTTTCTATAATATCAACTAATTTAATACCTACCTCCACCTTTTTTTTTAATTCAACAAAATAAAAAGAACAAGATTTCTTCTTTTTTTTTTGTTGTTTTTCTATCAATTATAATGATAAACGAAACTCTTTCATTATCATCAATAATATTATTAAAACACGTTGCACTTCTTCTTCTTCTTAATAAGAATAGAAGAAAAAGACAAATTAGATATCTAATATAATTACGTATTGTCTTTTCAGTAAGACAAGAGAAGAGAATTTGAAATTATCCGGATCTAGATTTTATTTCTCTATACTCTATTCTCTCTTTCTTTCTTTCTTTTTCTCTCCAATGATTTATATCCAATAAGAATGTTTTATCTGAATTATCCTAATTGCATTTCATGTCTATTGATCACCTACATATATATAGAAATATATTCTTATTAAATTATTCTTAAAATATAAATATCTTTTCATATAATTGATTCTCTATATAACAGTACTTAGAGATTTTTTTATAAATTAACCTAATTAAATTTATTTTATTACAACATTTTAGATAACAAATTTCAAATCAATACGTTTTTTTATTATAAAATAAAAAGTAAAAATATCTATACCTCCATAGAATAATTGTCATTCTAATACATTTCTTTTCAATCATAACAAACAAATAATTATATTCCAAATTTTTGCTAAAATGTCTTTTTTTGAAATAAAAAAAAGTAATAATAATAGAAAAACAAGTTTTTATTATCTAAATCTTTTGAAATTGTCTAATTGAAGGTTTATTTAAATACTAGACGAGTTAAAAATGTTTCTCTTTTTATGTCATTCATTTGTAAGAAATTTCTTTTATTTTTCTACTTATTCATTAAATTAATCTCTTCTCTTCTCTTCTCTTATTCACTTACTTCTTTTTCTCTAGTTAATTATATCTTTTCCCTTGATACAAAAAAACAATTTTTGTCTACAATTCAATATTACTTTTTCTTTTGTGACAATTCAAAGATCTTTATATTGAATAAATACACATTAATATTAGCTAAAAAGATCCCTTTCAGATTATCTTATTAATCTAATTAAATCAATTAAACAAATAACAATCATACGAAATATACTTTTTATGAACTTTTTCTCATATTTCTATACGAATGAGTACAAATCTCTACTAGGATAATATTCATTTGATTGTATCTCATTACGACTATTAATATGAGACACAAAATGTACTCTCTCCTATGTTTCAAATGGATTTGCGAAATTTGATAGACACTATTAGATCATATGGAAATTTTCTATAGTTACCTTCATGGAAAATAATATTTAATGCACCCATGGACAAAAAAAGGTAAGAAAATATCAGATTAAAATTGATATTCTTCTAAAAAATTGACAGAAATATTGATTAGAATCCACAAAATCAAATTTGTTTTCTTACACAATCAAAATAATCGATTAAATCGACTTGTTTTTGTAAAAATCCTCATATTCCATTACATTCATAAAAAATATTTAATCCATTTTAATCATCACTTTAATTAAAATAATTCCATTATAATTCATTTTCTCATTTCGTTTTTATATAAAATATAATATTGGAATTAAATTCAATTCTAAGAAATAAAATAATAGACACTGTCAATAAGGTATTTATATACAAATATCATTCAATTTGGTTTTTCATTGCATATAACGCTTTTCAAAAATTTTACTAAACAATCACACTGGGTTACACATAAAAAAATTTGATGAAAATAACTGTTTCTTTTTACAGATATGAATACATAGACTTAAGTATAAACACAAAAACAATAATAAATTTAGATGAATTACTCGATATTTAATTAACAATGAATTAATATTGAAAAAATTCGACGATCTTGGAATTTTTTTGATAATAAATTACTAATCATTCATTGTTTTGATTTTTAATAGAAACACATTAATAAATGTAATTATAATATAAATATACTTACTTTAGAAAAAAAGTAATTATTATTTCCATTTAATAATTGAATATTATGAAACAATATGATTTTGGTACTAAATAAATAAACAATTTTAATTATTTATAATCTGAAAAGTTTTTTCGAATATTTAACTCATTGTGACACTATTTGGGATATTTCTATCTCATTTTCGATTATGATTTTAGCCGTTTGACACTCATACTCGTATAAAATCCAATCCCACTGTTGTTAACTAATTAGATCATATGGAAAATTCTTGAGGGAATTAATCTCTTCTCATCCATATTCTACTGTAAAGTAAATTAGGAAAATGTTATCTATACTCGAACAAATATATTTACCAAGAGAATAATAATTGAATACTTACAAAATCTATAAGTGATTTTTACACTTACAATTCTAATGTCAACACTCATCATATGAATTAATCATATGATAAACAACGAAACAGCTGGATTTTATATAGAATTTTTATGTGAATATATTTTTAACAAATGTTGATACTTAAGAATATTGCTCAATATTCGTCTGATTAATAGAAGTACTCATGAGAAGAATTTATAATTTTATTAGAAAGACATTTTTTCTTTTTCTATCAATCTTAGATTTTCATTGCAACAATCATTTTAATAGAATATTTTCTTTTATCATCTAGTTATATAATAAAATTAGAAATTCTCAGCACGAGTATCAACATTTCTTTTTTCTTATATTCTAACAATAAATCATATATTTAATAGAATTATTTTCTCGTTATTCTATAGTTAATTAATATTTAAGTATATCAATACTTCTCTCTAACCATAAAAAAAACTATTTAAACTTTGAAAATATTTTATTAATTTATTTATTCAATTAATGTTGAATATAAAAAAGAAATCTTAAATATCTATTACTATTGCTACTCACTTGAAAATAAAAGACAGTTAGATATTTTTTGATTAACTTCCGATAGGACGAAGATGAAGAGATGTTTTTTTTGTCACCGTTGAAAAAAAGCGATGAAGATGCATAGACACTTAGATGAAAACATTTCTCTAACTTTTTTTCTTCTAGAACTATTATAGAAAGCTTTTAGAAAAAGAGTATGTCTCTTATCAACACCATATCAATTTATTGATTACCGCGAGCGTTCTACAACTATCACAAAAACAACTACACAATTATGGAAAGATTCAATCTCTAACTACGACTAATAACATATTTTACTCATCAAAATATAGTTGATTACCCTAATTTCCTTTTGCATAAAACATCAACAACAAAAGTTTTTGTTTTAAATATCTGGCTACAACTCTCAGGAAAGTAGTTCCAAAGATCTTTTTACACAAGTTTCGATGTGTCTTCATTATCTCTCTTTTGAATGTTGCAAAGCTATTAAAACAATACCCCCATTCATCTTTTATGTTTAAATATGCAGTAGAATGAGCATACCTCGATTAGCAATTCAATATATATATATGTTGATATTTGAGAACAATGAATAGTATAGTCAATACAATGATTATTGATTTGAAAAGGATAAAATAAAAGATATAAATATTTTAACTGTTCAATGATCGGAAAACAAGAAAATACTAATAAAAACTAAGTTTTATAATATTCTTTCATAAAAAACAATAAATACATTTGAAGTACGTATCTATTCATAGAAAATAATCAACATTAATTAACAACATTTTATTCATATCAATAAAATACTTTTCATTATTATATCTTGTTTTGTAATTCAACTCAAAACTTGTAAAAGAAATTGTGTAAATCATGATCTTTTAATTAAATTTATTTTGTTTGACAATAGAAAATTAGTAAGATTTAGACTAATAAAAGTGATATATCGATTATGCCAGAATGTTTTTTTTTTATGATTTTTTTAGTGTTCTATAGATTTGTTCTTTCTTTTTTCATTGATTGATCGATTTTTGAAAAGAACGAAAAAGAAGAATTTTAATAAAGTTTGTGACAACGAATGAAATTTGAAAGGAATGCCATCTATCGTTGAGTGACCTTTACCTGTACACGGAGTCTAATTGAATGATGAAGTTCGAAAAAAAAAGATGGCTGAGTGATTGAACTCATTCATTGTGGTTTGTCCCCTTTTTCTTTTTCCTCTTTAAGAACAATGTTACTCCTATTTATTGTATTGATTTATTTACCTGGAACTGGTTTGTATTAAAAATAAAAAATTAATTTAAATAAAAATAAACTTTTAATATAGATGGAATAAATGGTTGTACACTTGATCGACCATTATTAGGAGAATATTATTCTTATGAAAATGGCCTTGAAACTCATTCATCATTTAAGGAAAGTGGAGATATTGAACGACGTTTTTATCGAAGAGAATCAGGTGCTGGTGCAACAAGAAAAGATACTGGTGGTCTTTTAGTTAATGAAGACGTTGGAGAATGTTTTCAATTAACTCTTAAACAAAATTATTATGAACTGATTTATAGAGACAAGTAAGTTTATTTAAATCAATAGAAAATAAAATTATTTTTTATTTTTTTCAAAGATCTCAATCTTGTTTTCAATGTTATCAAATGTTTAATCGAACAAAAAATGTTCTTCAAATGAGAAAAAGTACTTTGTCTTTATTTTTATAAGAGAAAAAAAAAACAAATATTTTTTAATTTATAGGTTCCTGCGGTGAAACAACATCTTTAGTTTCAAATCAAATGAATTTTAATGAATTATGTCGATCAATTGATGATCAAAGTGAATTTATTACACTTTTTTGTAAGTTTTATTTTTTCTTTAGAAATTTCAATGAAACTATTTTTAATTTTTTAGCAAAAACTTATTCTGCGGAAGAATGTCGTCGAACAATCTATGGAACATTTCATTTTACATATGAATTTCGTGAAGGTGGAATTGGTATTTGTGATAATCCATCATCACGTTTAATATCGTGTCCAGATCCAGGTACACCATTTGAAGCTGTTAATGAACGTTTTCGTATGAGATATGGTTATTGTAAATATTTAACATCATCATTTGATGCTGATCAATTAAATCAATGTCTTGGCTCTTGGTTAACACCTGATGGAAATATTATAACTGCTATTGCTAATGAACGTGTTGGATCGGAACGTTGGTATGATAAATTTCGTTGTATGTTAACAAGACAAGATCAACCACAATGGTTTGCCAAATCTTTATTTGCTGAATGTTCATCATTATCAAGTCCAACTGATGGACCAGAGAAAGTTATTATTACACCTGTTATTCCGGAAGAGGTCAGTACCAATCTTTTATTTGCATATTTTATTAAAAATAGTCCTATAGAATATTCAGAATATAACTATTTATTAAGTAATCATATGCTAGATTAAATCCCTTTCATAGTATTTTTTTTGAGTTTTCTCCGTTATTTATATTTCAACTTTTAAGATTTTAGTTTTTGATTCTTAATAAACCATATAATTTTGTTTTGTTTAGCCCATCGCATCTTGTTTCTTTCCAAGTAATTTAACTGGTCAATGGCTAAATACAGCTAATGTAAATGCTCGTGTATTAATAAATGCAACACATATACATGAAATAGCCAAAGTTAATAATCGTGGTTGGTTAAGAGAAACATATTATGTCTGTCAACAAACTTCTCGTAGTCAATATTTAGTTAAAGCTGTTACAAAAGGAGAATGTTTCTCATATTATATTTGCTTCGATTTCAAAGATCGTCATCATAATATTTTAAGATATAGAAAATCAAAATCATTTATGGCAAATTTATATAAATTATTTCCAAATCGTGATCCATTTTATGAAGTTTGTTCATGGACTAGTTTTGGAAATGATGCTAATTGGAAATATCAACTATTTGTATTGGATCCGCCAGCACCAATTGAATGTCCATTTACCGGTATGTGGACATTTAAACAAGTTGGACAACCAAACTCTTTAATTCAAACACGTATTCGTGGTGGTGTAACCCCACGACCACGTGATCATGGGTGGTATATAACTTGTGATCCACAATATATGGTATCACAATGGTCAATATGTGGTGATCAAACAAAATCAATGTTTGCAGATCGTGAATATTGTCGACAATTAGATCCATATGGCACACCCATTGGTGTTTATGAACAACCAGATTATATTTATCAATGTGCTGGATATTGGAGAGAAGATTCCCGATCAATGATGGTGACATATGATCGTGATGATCCATATATAAATTATAAATGTTGGGTTTATGAAAGAAGAGATTTGACAACAATAACATTATCAAGATCAGCTGGTTCAGCTTGTGGTTTTAATCAAACATCTGAAAGTTATAAACCAGAAGATGGTGCTGATCTTGCTGTGACACTTATTGAAGCAGAGCGTATTCGTAAGTTAATCTTAATCTTAAATTAATAAAATAAACGTAAATTTTTTAATTAAATTAGATGATGATTGTCCAATTCGTTATGATGATGGTCGAAATGTATTTGTTGATTTAGAAGAATTTAATTTTTATTATGCCAAATCATCAAAATGTGCAATTGATAAAATTGTTTTTCTTTTGTTATTTGTTTTATTGTTTTTGTTTAATTAATCAAATAATCGGTTTTTTTTTACTCAGATAATTCTTACTCATTCCATTGTCAGATATAATCATTTGGTTTTTTTTCGTTTTGTTTGTATATGAAATTATTTGTCAGATAATTCTTTTGTTACTTTTTCTATTAATTAAAAATAAAATAAATATCTAGATTAGAATTCTTTTACTTTTACAATATCTTTATAAGTTCTATTATTTTCTTTTTTTAGATCAATTAAAATCTTCTTGAAAATCCTCTGAAAATTCTTCATTCCAAAGAATATCATTTTTATCTTTAATCTATTCAATTTAAGTTTTAATAATGAATGAGAAAGATATAAAAAAAAGGAATAGATGTAATTGTACAATGTTAATGGTTGTTTTATGACTTAGTTTTTCTTTTTCTGTTCTCTCGTTGGAATTTATAAATAGTAATAAAAAAAAGTCCGAACTTTTATATATATTTTTTAGATGGTTATAATGTTAATGATAAGACCATTAATATTATTATTTCTAATATTAATCAATGAAAAAGGTTTGAATAAAATAAATTTATTTAAAATAAAATTATTTGTTTTTTTTTCTTTTTGTAAAATTAGTAAAAAGTCAACTTCGATGTACATTTGATCGTCCATTATTAGGAGAATATTATTCATATGAAAATGGTCTTGAAACTCATACATCATTAAAAGAAAATGGTGATATAGATAGACTTTTTTATCGTCGTCAATCAGGTCTTGGTGCTACTGCAAGTATTATAACAATTCTTGATAATCATGCACTTGGAGAATGTTTTCGTCTTGAATGGAGAGAAAATCCTTTTGATCATGCTTCAAAACATCATTATGAACTTATTTATCGAGATAAGTAAGTTTTTATTTCTAAATAAAATAAATATTCAATTCTTTTTTATTTTCTTATTATTTAGAGAAAAATCATGTTATCAATGTTATCAATTGTATAATCGAACACGAAATATTGTTCAAATACGAAAAAGTGAATGTAATGAAATAACTTCCATTGTAACAAATCAAATGAATTTTCAAGATCTTTGTGCAAGTATTAGTTTAGATGCTGATTTTGATACATTATTTTGTGAGTTAAATTTATTTTTCTTATGTAAATATATATTTTATTTCTTATTTAATTAGCAAAAACTTATTCTGCTGAAGAATGTCGTGCAACTATTTATGGAACATTTCATTTTACATATGAATTTCGTGAAGGTGGTATTGGAATATGTGATAATCCAATTTCACGTTTAGTTTCTTGTCCTGATCCTGGTACACCATTTGAAGCTGTTAATGAACGATTTTGGATGACATATGGTTATTGTCGTGATCTTGTTTCATCTATAGATGCTCAACCACTTTATCAATGTTTGGGTTATTGGATAAATGATAAAGGTGATATATTTACTGGAATAGCAAATGAACGTGTTGGATCAGAACGTTGGTATGATAAATTTCGTTGTATGTTAACAAGACAAGATCAACCACAATGGTTTGCCAAATCTTTATTTGCGGAATGTTCACGATTATATTCTCCAACTGATGGACCGGAAAAAGTTATTATTACACCAATTATTCCTGAAGTTCCAACACCAACTTGTTTTTTTCCCGATAATTTTACAGGAGAATGGGTTAATACAGCTAATGTTAATGCAAGAACAATAATTAATGCAACACATATACATGAAATATCTCAAGTTAATAATCGTGGTTGGTTAAGAGAAACATATTATGTTTGTCAACAAATAAGTCGACAACAATTTTTAGTTAAAACAGTTACAAAAGGAGAATGTTTTTCATATTATATTTGTTTCGATTTCAAAGATCGTCATCATAATATATTAAGATATAGAAAATCAAAATCATTTATGTCAAATGTTTATGATGATTTATCAAAACGTGATCCACTCTATGAAGTTTGTTCATGGACAAGTTTTGGAAATGATGCCAATTGGAAATATCAAGTTTTTGTCTTAGATCCACCAGCCCCTGTTGAATGTCCATTTACCGGTATGTGGACATTTAAACAAGTTGGACAACCAAACTCTTTAATTCAAACACGTATTCGTGGTGGTGTAACCCCACGACCACGTGATCATGGGTGGTATATAACTTGTGATCCTCAATATATGGTTTCGCAATGGACTATTTGTGGTGATCAAACGAAAGCTATGTTTGCTGATCGTGAATATTGTCGACAGCTGGATCCATATGGAACACCCATTGGCGTATATGAACAACCAGATTATATTTATCAATGTGCTGGTTATTGGAGAGAAGATTCTCGATCATATTTAATAACCTATGATCGTGATGATCCATATATAAACTTTAAATGTTGGGTTTATGAACGAATGGATTTATTTAAAATTTATTTATCAAGATCAGCTGGATCATTTTGTGGTTTTAATCAAACATCTCAAAGTTATAGTGCAGAAGATGGTGCTGATCTTAAAATTGAACTTGATGAAGCAGAGCGTATTCGTAAGTTAATCTTTATTTTATTAATTAAACGTAAATTTTTTAATTTCAATAGATGATGATTGTCCAATTCGTTATGATGATGGTCGAAATCCATGGCAAGTTGTTGATGAATTTTTATTTTATTATGCATCATCAACAATAATTATTCCGTCCTTTTTTCTTAATCTATTTCTCATTTTGTTGATTCTCAATATATAATTATCAGTTATATAACAGTGACAAAAAAACTTCTTTTACAATTTTCGTTTTTTATATAATCATTTATCATTTTTTTTTTATTTGTACATTCCATATTTGAATATGACAGTTTTAGTGATTTTGTTTTTCTGTGTTTTTTTTAATCATTTGTACAAAAATTTCTGATATAGATGTTTGTTTTTGTCGATAGAAATATCTAATAAATATTAATAATAAGATCAAACTAATATATTATTTCGATGGAAATCTTAAAAGATTAAGAAATGATCAATCATGCAAATAAAAAGTATTTCTTAAGACATTTTATTTTTAATTTCGAATTCTTTTCTCTATCTTATATTATTAAATATCATGTTGAACTTTATTTCTATGAAATCTTATTAAGTATAAATAAATAGTTTCAAGAAATCTTTTAAAAATCTTAATATTCATCATTGATGAGTCTTCTGAATATTTTTCATTAAGAAATACTTGAAAGGTTCTTCTTCCATTAAATAGAACACATGAAGTGTTTGATTAAAATTGTTATTTTATAAAAATATCTTTTTCTAGAAAAAACAAAGTAAAACAATGATCAGTTGATATAGAAATGAATCGTACTATTTAAAGTTCATTTCGACATATATTTTTCTTTCTTAAAAATAAACAGTTCTAATAACTCATATGATTTTAATTGAACTAATTAGAAAATTGTACTGTAATATGATTTTATTCCTTCCTGAAAGAAAATCAAGTAAAATTGGTAGAGAATATGTTGTCCTTTCTCAACATTTGATTCTTGTTAATATTGAATAATAATATATAATTATAAAAAAACTAAAGTTCCGATTAGATATCTAAATGACAATAATTAGCTTATTACAAATAATTATTCAATTTGCTTATTTCGATAAAAATGAATATTTCTTCTTATTTTAACTTCTAATCTTTATTTTCCAAAGAATTTTATTAAAATAATCTATAAGAAATTTTGTGAAAGAAGTTCAAATTAATCGAAGTGAAATTTAAGAAAGACAAAAAGATGATATTGAGTATAATATGCATAATCCTAATATGAATAGAAAAGTAAAATAATACAGATTTGTTGAAAATTGATTAGGTGTAAATAATTTTTAATAATAAAAAAGTCAATTAGAATCTATTATTTTGTTTAAAAAAATTCGATGAATGTTTTATTAGTTAGTTGCTTATTTTTTATTTGAAAAGGTTGTTAATTCATTGATATGTGTAGTATTTTATTTTTTCCGGTATATGAAAAGTGAGTGTCTTTTCCGATTGAAAGAAGAAGAAGAAGAAGAAAGTTCTTCGAGAACAACATCATTAATTTTCTTAATAAGGAGAGAATCACAAAAAAATCTTCTCTAGGACAAATCTGACGAGAGAACATCCGACAACTTAAACCAAGAAGAAAATTTTCCTTCTTTTTCTTCTTCTTCTTCTTCTTCTTACTCTGAAAGTATTACTAAACAATATTAGAGATTTAATCTTATTATTTCCTACTCAAATATCAAATCTAAAAATTTTATTTAAATTATTTTTCAAAAAAAAAATAAATGAAAACTTCAATTATTGTCTTTTGTCAGTGTTATTAATGATAAAAGGAATAAGTAGAGTGTTACCATTAAAAGGAAATGATATAGATGAAAAATTGAAAAAGATCTTGTCCTTCACTCATTTATTTTCTTATTTGACTGTCTTAGTCAAAAGGATTGAATGAAGAAGAAGAAGAAGAAGAAGAAGAAAAAAAGAATGAGATCTATTTTCTAATTTTTTTTCTTCTTTTTCTCATCAACTAAAGGAAACTACAAAAATGAAATAAGACGAAGAAAAAGAAAAAGAAAAAAAAAAAGTTGATGATTAACGAGCATTATCTATAGAAGCGAGATGATATACATCATTAATTGATCTTAAAGAAATTGTTCAACTATTGAAACATTTCAATGAAAATAAAAGAAAAGAGCCGTATTTTATTAGTTTTTAATGTTTAACATTTGTTATGTCATCGACTGGTGCAAATATTGATAATCCATTAGAACTTATTCAAAAAACATATAATTTACAAACAACAGCAACAGCAACAACAAATAATCATGAAAATATCTCTCAATCTCGTTCTTCAATTGCCAAAGTTTCAACTCGTCAACCATCTCGAAGAACATCTGTTCATGATATACATGAAGTAACCAGAGATGATCTTAATAAGGTTAGATAAATTATTTTTTTCGAATTATAAAAATAAAATTTTTTTGATTTTTTATTTATTTGAATAGATAGTAGCTGATATTCAAGGAAATTTATCTCGTTTAAAATTTTTATTAGAAACAATAGTATCTGCTCCATCATGTCGAGAAGAATTTTTTAAATTAAAAGATCAATTATTTACGAGAATATCAGAATTTATTTCGAAATTATCTACTGAATCAACAAGAAGGTTTTCTTTTATTTATTAAAATAAAATAAAATAAAATTCTTTTTTTTTCTTTCAAATTTCCAGAGGATCAATAACATCAAAAACCAATTCATCAAGTTTAATATCATATCATCCTCAACATCTTGTTTATTGTATTGAATATTTTCGTAGTGAATTAGTTAAATCGAAATATTTATTTTCTTCATTAACATCATCATCATCCATTGGTACAGCTACATTAAATAGTACTCAAGTCAAACCTGTTATTAATGATTTTATTATTGATCAACCTACTGAAGATAATCAAGATATGCAAGCAACACCAGATTTAATTCAAATAAAAAAGTTTCTTTTTTTTGATTTTATTTCGAAAAGAAAAATAAATTGTTTTGAAATATATTCTTTTAGAGATATATCAACTTTAGAAGGATATGCACATGATTTAACTCAACGTTATTATAGTCAAATACCTGATTGGCATACTTTAGGTTAGTTTTGTTTTTTATTTGAAAATAAAATTTTATTTTTTTCTATTAATTTAGATGGAACATCAAACGAAGCAGCAAATAAAACTGAAGGAATGACTATAAATCGTTTACGATTAATTCCATTAAATCCTAAACTTTCAACAACATCTTCATTAGCATCATTTGATGATTCGAATATATGCAGTCGAATTTATCAAAAATGTCAAAATATTTGTTGCCTCTGTACACCACATTATATCTAAAAACAATTTTTATTTTATTTATTTATTGATGCAGGCGTCAATTCTTATTTGCAAAATTTCTTCTTCTTTTTTATCATCAAAATTTATTTTAACATAAAACTTTCCTTCTTTTTTTCTCTCTCAACAAAATTATTCAATCGAGGTGCAAAAATATATTTCTTTCTTTTTAATACAAATAAATATTTATTATTTCCTCACTATTTCATCTTTGCATTTTTTCTTATTTTTTTGAAAAAATACTGATTCTTAAATTTTTATCGGAAGTAAATAATATAGAACATTCTGAAGCAAGTATTTACCACAAAGCATAAAGAATTTCGTAAAATGCCTGATAATCAGAACTTATTATGAATTGCTAACAAAAGATCTTTTATCATTTATAAATAGTAGTTTCTAGTTTAATAAGCAACCTATATATAGACTTTCTTAAGAACTTAGCTATTCCAAGTATTTTCAAGTATGTTACAGATCTCGATAGTCTTTCAAGAGATCGAATAAACATTATTCGACATTCTGTTCACCGTAAAGTTATGTTTCGCCTAATAATTTAGAAGATTTGTGGTTGAACAACACAAAGAATGTTTGAAAAATCTCATCGATGTTCTAAGAGCTTGCAAAAATGAAATATTTCGCTGAAGCATTTTGGCAAAAAGAGAAAGTCATTGATTTGAATTACACTACTTTCGACAGATAACGAGAGTAACAGATTACTCTCATCAAACTATGTACTTTTTTATTGAAAAAATTGCTCTCTACTCGTTTCGAAAACTTAGAGAAAAGTTGTTAAAAAATGATAATCGTTTGATTTTGATACTTTTTTTTAAATTGAATCGCTCTTTGCATCCAGTACAGAGTGTTTCATATATCTTGAACCGTTACAAAATTGAATTTCATGGAGATATAGAACAATGTTTAACCATTACTCACATATTAAGTCAAGCGATATGCTCGGTAAATGGTCTAAAGTATATGAAAACATTGCATGCGTAAAGAAAAAAATGGTCGTTTTCACATTGTTTTTATTCAAAACATTTAATAAATAGATTCTTTAATTGATTAGGATGTAGATACGGATGCGTGGAGAATGACGTATGGATGTAGGTGAAGATGAGTCTAACTATAAGATGAAGAAAGTATTCACACCCACGCCTTGGTTTTCATTTATAAAGTTTTACGAACTAAATAGATTTTCCTTATAACATTTTTTTATGAGACGTGATGTGCAGATTCTATATAGTATATGCTACCATTAATTGGACAAATATTACACAAACAACATGGAATAGCAAATGGTGGTTTACGTCAAAATTCTATTGGTAATCCATAAAGATTACTTTTTTTAAACCCAATCTATTTCACCGATATCAAAAAAAATAAACACAGGCTTTCGACAAATCAGTTTGAGCATCTTATTTAAAAAAACAACAATAAAGAATAAAAAAGAAAATATTTCTTTTCTTATCATATCTAATACAATAGCATGATGCTATAAAGTACGACTATCTTATACAATAATTAATTAATATTTCTCTAGTGATGATAATAACTAAAGATTTCGGATAGATTTTTGAAAATCAGTATGAAACTATTATTTTATTATTTACACTCTTATACGAATTCAATTCTTCATTAAGATGTACATAAAAATTAGTGGGGCTTGTGTAATGCACCAAATAAATTTTATTTTGTCCAATAGAATCTAGCATTTTCATTTTAATAACTTCAGCAAAAGAGAAAAAAACACATATATTAATTTTAATAAACATACTATCATAAATATGTTTATCATTTTTTTGTTCTGCTGATCGATCCATTCGATAATGTTCTATTTAATAGAAAAATTAATTTGATAAGTTTATAAAATTTTAGAGTTTTATCAAACCGAAATCTTTGTTGATTGTTTGTTTAGCTCCTTTTTTACTTATTTCAATTTCAAAGATTTCTGTTATTGAATTATAATTGATGAAGCGTGCATATATAGGGCCTTTATCTAATGTTTTATGAAATTCATCAATTGATGTTGATGGCCAACCATTTTTCGGTTTGATTATGTTGGATAATGTACAATGGTAAGCCATCCGGGGTGGTTGATTCCGAGCGCCATTTCCAGCGTCGTATAATGCACGAAACGACTAAAAACGGCTAAATTCGTGCAGGAAACGGCCGTGAACAAATGTCGTTTCTCACCAGTTGCCACCGTAATCCGTAAACCCAGATTTGTATAATGTGGTTTTACTGGAACGAAAACGGCGCCGTTTTAGGTCGTTTCCGGTGAATAACGAGGAACCATATCGATGCCGCTTTCTAACCGTTTCATTTCGTCGACTCTATCATAACTACTTAGGACGAGCATTACGATGATCGTATACGACGATGTAGGATCACAGTATACTGTGGTGTCCATGCCATCAGAATCAGAAGACATCGGCAACTACTCGTCAATTTTGGCGATAACATCGCGTATCTAAGTAAAAATATAATTATTTTATTTAAAAAAAATTACGGTTTATATATATGTAGACTAAAAAAACATTTTTTTTTGACAAAAGGCAATAGATTCTAATATATTGGCGGGATACGGTTTGGCAACGATGGAAAACGGTAGCTCTTACAACTGCCGTTTCATATGAGGCGGAAACGACTAAAGAAAACGACGATATTTTTTCGTCGTTTTTAAGCCGTTTGGTTTCAAAATCATTGAGATCTAGTTGGTGGACAATACTCCGATCTCAATCTTTGTTATTTAAGGTAAAAACACAATAATTGCCTGTATTAAATTTTGTATTTGTTTCTGTACATGCTCTATTATTGAAATATATTGTATTTATTTTATTTAAAACAAAAAAAAAATATATACCTTGCTTCGTTAGAAAATTCCTTCGTAAATTTTGGAGCAAGATCGAATAACTTATTGTATTATCATGACGTGTATACGTAAAAGTCTAAGAAAAAAATTATTTTAAATAAAAAGAATATTTCTTAGAAGTAGCAATAAACAATTTAAATCATTAACATTCCCAGCATAAATCTGTAGTGTTATCCCAACGACGAAAGTTGATGCACCACTTGCATTCGCACCCTTGCTGGTCATTATTCTCTTTCTCGCAGAGAAGAGTCCAGTAAACATAAATTGTTTGCTTGCTTGATTGACTGATTGATTGTGTCCGCAGGGTCAAAAAAACATCGAAGACACATTTTCAAGAAAAGATATTTGTTGAGGTATTTCGATGCAGAGAATTAAAATGTGCGCCTCATTTGCTTAGACTAATACAGAGAAGGGGATGTCAATTGGAAGAAGTGACGTAGACTCATAGAAATCAAGTTTTTAGGTAATGCATTTTTATGGGTATTCAAATGTTTCCCTGCATGTAGCACAGACTGTGGCGATTATAAACAGTTGGCTTTCTTGCGTATAAGATTACCAACACTTCACATATGAATTTAAGGCTAGTTCGACAAGCTACTGGTGCCGACAGCTGACACATGTTTCAATCTGTGTTTACCATTGAGTAAGATGCGAATATGTGCTAAGAGTTGGAAACAACGAAAGAGAGCAAGATTTCCAATTATTTTTCCAGTAAACGTGAATAGGATGCATTTCTACGAGAAAGAGCTAAGCGAGTCACGAACGAGCATTACTTGTAATCATAAGAATCTCATCAGGTAAATCAGTCAATTGAACACATAAATATTCCAATTTTATGTTTTTCTACATTATCTGTTAACTTTTAAATATTAATATATACACTCATTTGTTATATTCGACAGACATCGTCAATGGAAATAATGGCGCCCATTTTTTTCTATAGTCTAAATTCACAATGAATGAATGGACGAATAGCATTTTGTTCAATTTTTAGTTTCGGTCAACATATCAAATATAATGATTGCTTTGAATTATTGATTACACTTTGTATCCAAATAAAAAAAGATGTCGAAAAACCCAAAACAATGCTAGCGATATCTCAGATTAATTTAGATCAAATTTTTATAATTAATCGAACTTTATTATAAGAATAACAATGAGTAAATCAATATCTGTTATTTGAACATAGATAGACTAATATGTAGCGGGGTTATTCGCAATAGTTTAAATATTTTTTGAAGTTCAAATGAGCCTCTCAATTCTCATTCATCTTTTCATAATCAATATAAAAATCTCTTGCAATTCCTGATAATGATAAACCACTAAGTCTATAGTCAGACATACTGTTACGTATAATAATTTTATTAAGTTTTGTTTTACTATAAATTCTTTCTATTCATCTTGTGGGTGTGGGTGTGGGTGTGGGTGTGGGTGTAGCTACTCATTTCATTCATCGGTCGTACCCATCAACACCTAAACTCTTAAATATAAATAACAGTTCATAATCTTATTTACTTCACAAACAATTTCTTTTTTTAACTATAGAAACATACTAACATATCATTTTCTATTATTATTATTATAATAGAATAAAAGAATATATTCATAATTAAATTATATCAAAAAGAAAAAGAAGTTTATTGAAACAAAAATCTTTTGTTTATTAATATTACATTTTGATTAATATCGAAATCAATATACAGAATTGAATATAAACAAACAAACAAACAAACAAAAAAAAACCATTATGTTAATCAAGTTTATATATTTTAAGTGTTGATGGTTTTTCGGTTCTAAGAGCCATAATAGACGCATCAGGTGAAATACAAGTATTTCGAATATTTTTAATTTTTGTTTCTTTAACTAATCTTGTTTTTCCTTGATGATCAACCATCCAAAGTTTATTAGTAAACCAATTAACAAATAACCAACGTTGATCGTGTAATGGAATAAGCATTGAAAAAAATTTATGTTGATTTTCTCCAGCATCCATTGCAACACCACGTCGTACTCTTACCATATCACGTGACATTAAATCTAATCTCCATTTTAAATCATCATGTTGCATTATTGATAAACAAATATGTTCATTATCACATCGTACATCACGTATTCCAATATCTTTTGTTTCGGAACATTCATTTTTTGAATATCTTTTTTGTAATGTCCATTCAGATGTTGGACTTACACGATATTGATCAATATGAATTCCTTTATGATAATTTATATATAAATCACGATCAAATGGTGATAATGATGCTAACACATGAGAACGATCTAATGCTTTTATTGATTCAACTTTTGTTGGAACATTTGGTGATGATTTCATTGGATCATATAAATATACTGAATGGATTGTTAATATTACAAATAATGATAAGGATGACATCCAGCATATATCAACTAATATACCTTTAATAAAAAACAAATTTCTATATTTATTATATGAAATATTTTTATAATTAGATAAAATCTTGAGGGTGGGATAGGAAACGATGTAGACTAGATAAGAATAAAAGACTTGCTATTATCAATATTTATCTATAGAAATATTCGATACTATTCTTTTTTTGACAACAAAAATCTAATAATTAAAATTTGCTATTGATAAAAAATTTCATAAACACAGTTTTATATAAATAAACTATAAACTTTGTTACATTCATATAGAAATATAAGATTGAAAATATATTCTTATGTTATTACTTTTGGATAGTTCTGTATATAAAGAACATGAATGAAATATTTAGAGAATAAAAACTGAATATATATCTATCTTATGATCTGTATAGAGAAATAGACTACTTCTCCTAGAAAAAGAAAAGTAATAAAATGAAACAAACCATAATCATTATCATTCCATTCTAATTCATTAACTTTTTTATTTAAATCAAATAAGATTAATTTTTTATTATCATGAAGAAGAATATGTTTATTTGATACAGCTAATGTTGATGAATTTGTTTCTAATAAATGAGATTTAAATGGTTCAGGACTTGATGCAAATATTTCCATAATATCAATTGAATTTGTTTTTTTCTTTTTCTTTTTTGCTGAATTTTCATCTTTTTTACTTTCATCATCACTTAATGTATCTAATGGATCTTTTTCTCCATCGGTTAAACGAGCAGCTAATGCCATTTTTGCTATTCGTATTGGTACAGAAAAATTTTTAATATCAGGTAATTGAACATTGATCCATTGTCCATCACGAATAGCATCACATTCAGATCGAATATTATTTACAAATGTCTAAAACGAAAAAATTTTCAAATATTTTTATTTCATAGTTTTAATTATCATTAACAATTTGTTTATGATAATTATTCTAGTTTATTGTATAATAAAAGTAAAACATACTTGAATTCGTTCAGCTTTTTTATTATCTGTATGTGAATCATCGATAATTTTATTAACTTTTGGTATAACTCTTTGTTTAAGTTGTTGAATCATTTTTTGTTTATATTTTTCTAGATTTGGTTCAATATCTTCATTATATATTTGATTAATATCAATTAAACGTTGATTAAATATTTGTCCAAGATGATTAACAGCTGCTGAATGCCATAATTCTAAATCTTGTTGACATTTAACATGAACTTGTGCTAATGAAAATGTTTCTAATACATTTAATTGTTCATTTGCCATTTCAGATAATGTATAAACTGAATCAGATAATAATTGAGATGAACAAACATGTTCAACACCATTTTTTGATAAACATTGTAAACAATATTTCGAATTATTTTCTTTATTTTTTATATCAAACGCCATTTTTGTCTATGTCTCAATCGAAATGACAATATGAATTACCGCTGAAACAAAGAACATTTTTTTATCCAATCATCATTATTTCAATAGACTAATGGAGGATTAACAAAATGCATTAATGCGTTCAAAAGAACATTAATGACATTCAATTAATTATCGAGAATACTTTTATTATACAATACGGTATTAAAGTTTTGTATATTTAAGTTAAATATATTACGAAAACTTTCTTATTCATATCTTTTCATCAAGTCATATGAGATGAAGACAAAATATTGATCAGATATATTCGTAAAATCTACGAATTTTCAATAAATTGCATAACGACATTCATGTATTGATACAATACTGTTTATATATATTATTAAAATAAAACTTTAGTTTGATAGATCAATATATAGATTATATTTCAGTAGAATTCATAGGTCGAGTATTATGCACCGAATCTTTCAGGATAACACTCGAAATTGACGGAACATGAGAGAAGTATCCTGATGACCGAATTTATCCGATTTCATCGAGAATCTCCTAAAACCGGAAGTAGAATAAGGTTACTGGACTCCTACGTCGAATTTCTGGCATTTTCCGACGAGTTCCGACTGGGAAGCTTGTGCTTCCTGTGAATTCCCGCTGGATGAATAACGGACGTGAGATAATGTGTTTTATTTAAAAATACAGTTTTTTCTCTCGTATTTATTTTATTGAACTATCAATAAGTGATTCTGCTCAAATATAAATATTTATTTATGTATCAAATGCTAATACTGATAAATACATGATGAAAAATTAATAATATAATTACACTTCTATTGAAGAATGAATAAATCGGACTTATAAAAAATGTATCTATATCAAAAAATAAATAGAACGTGAAAAGTATTATTTATATTCTACTCGTTCACATCTGTTAATTCACACAAAACTAAGAAAATTGAGAGGAACAACAACTCAGTAACAGAGATGATTGTTTGTCTTTGAATAATTTCAATCAAATTATTAAAGGCAAATCTGGCGAACAATTTAAGATGAAGCAAAACTCGGAAAAATAATTTGAGTAAATAAAACAAATGTGTTCGTACCGGAGAAATAAAAATAATACATTAACAAAAGATAAAATCCATTGTTGATCAGTTAAATCTATTTTTGTCTTATGGAAAGCCAACAATAAAGAATAGTTAATTAGAATCAGATATAACCGATTTTGTTCCATTGTAAGAACAATTTTTTTTCCTGTTGTTTTAAAAAATATATGATTAGTTAGAAACATGGAATACTAAATGACATAACTATGATGACGTTTACAAATATAGTCAATCTTCTAAATGAAACCAGTTTATCATCAAATCAATAGAAATTGATTAAAAGAGAGGTTGATGAATATTTTAATAGCATTATTCGGTGAAATAAAATAAGATAGGTCACTTATTAAATTCTACAATGATCAATTCGATACTTAATTATAATGAAATCCAATTAAATTTATTAAAGTAACTATTCAATTAAGAAAACATAATCTTATTAGATTTATTTTCTATATAATGTTAAAATACAAAAAAAAAAGTCAAAAGCAAACATCTATCGTTAATGTTATACAATTGTTAATCAAACTACGAAGAAGAAAAAAACTACTCTTCTTTTGTAATTAAGATAGATTTGATTGAATATACTTTTCTATTATATTAATTAATGCTAGGAAGAAGGAAAAAAACTCGCTTACAATTATGGAAAAGACGAAGAATATTTGAATAGCTTTTTCTCTTCCGTTCAGATGTTCCTTCAGAGAATAAAATTATATATTTTCTTCTTTTTTCTTTGAAATCGATAGTATTTAGTAAATACCTTCGATTTATTTTGAAGAAATTCTTATTTTTCCGTTCTTAGTCTATTGAACAATCGTCCAATATAAGATAAAATGATTTAAAAAAAAATAATAATCAATGAAATAATTTTTGATTCGTTCCGGTATAGAATATAAGAAAACGTAATTTGTTAAGTGTTTCATTTGTAAAACATATTTTTCTCTTGGAAAGAAAAGAAAGATTAGTCTCATAAGAAGATAAACTTGATACGTGATTTGAATTAATTTTGTTTCTAATAAGAAACAGATAAGTTGAAAATTCTCTCTCGTAATCAATATAAAATATGTTTGAAAAAAAAAAGTGGATATTTTTTTTCTATTTATTTAAATAAAAAAAGTAGCATTGAAACAAGTGGTGAGAGGAATTCATGTAGTATTTTTATTAAAGAAAGGTAAATTTTGATTACATATATATATATAATGGCATGAAGAGAAAGAGAAAGAAAAAGAAAAAAGAGAAAAAAAAAATTGTCGCATTATATTTTAAAAAAAAACCGAGAATTTTTCTTTTCTAACTTCTTGCGTGTCGACAACGAGTGTTACAACGCTAAGAAATAATGTCAAACTCAATCAACATATGATTTTTCATCTTTTCATCAAAAAAAAAGAATATTAACAAACATTAAGATAAAGTAAGAAGATCTTTTATCTTATTAATAAATTAGATTTTGATCAAAAATTTTCATTTATTTACAATTTTTAAATAGAAGAAATTTCATTTACTTTTTTTTAATTTTTCTTAGTGACAAATAAGTTTAAGATTGACTTGACTAAATTTTTCCAAATAAGATAATATTTAAAAGATATTAGATTTCTCGTAATGTTTTGTTTCAGAAAAGAAAGCCTTTTTTTTGTGAATAAATTTTGTATGCATCGAGAATATTTAATATTCACTGATTAGAATAAAACTATATTGAGATATATTTACATTACTTACGCTCTCGATTAGTTTGTTCATTATTTCAAATTCACATTTTGACTAACTTTTTCACTTGTTTCTTTTTAAATAATCATGTAAGAATTCGAATCGATTGATTTCACTTCGACCTAAATTTGTGATACCTACTATTAAATGTTAAGTAGATTTTTTCATGTTTATAATATATACAAATTTATTCATTGTTTATCAAATAAATAGAACGTGTTACAAGTATTCTCTAGTCAAAAAGAAAAAATGAATTTTAAGATCAAATTTATGACAAATTTCTTGAATAACTAAAAGAATTATTTAGACCATTTTATAATTTAGTTAATTACCTTTTTTCACTACTTTTTGCGTTTGTTAGTTTGTTATAGAGAATGATATTTTAACTCCATTGTAAACCATTAACCTGGTGAACGACACAAAGAAAATTCCATTGTTAAATTTTCTATAAATAATTTATTTGTTGACATTATCTCATGTTAGACAAATAGTAACATTTATTTTCTGAAATTATCGAACAAATTTGTTCGATTTTAAGAAACATTAATGATAATAGTAAAATATTTAATTAGTTTTTGACTTTTAATAGAAAATTAGAATTAGTTGTAAATCCTATTGTTAAGTGAGTATTTGTAACTATGTTATAATCTGTTCTATTAATGTAAAAAAGTATTAAGAAGAAAAAATTCTATAAAATACAATTAATATACTATTCAAGAATAAAAGCATTTTCATAATATATTATAGAGATTAATCCAAAGTAATATTGATTAGCAAATAATTATATATAAATTTAAATGAATTTTTAATAAGAACATATTTGAGTTAATCCCTTAAATAAGTGCGATACAACACATAATAAAGTTTTATATATGTCGTAGGCCAATCTAGTACTCAGGCCAATCTCAGATTGGCCTAGGTCATTCTAAGATCTCAGTTTCGACTAGTTCAAACTAGGATCCAGTCAAAACCTCAGATCAAAACTCAGTTTTGGCCCTGAAGATAATTTCAGATTTCGGTTTGCCTATTCAAAAACTATAGCCAAATGGGTATACTTCATACACAAACCATTTCATTCTGAGCAAGATTATCTATTTAAAAAGTTATAAGCATTTTCATCCATGAATCCAGGTTTTGCAAAAAACTATTAATACCTTTGTTATCAGACAATTTTGCTCAAAATGCAATGATTTGTGTATATAGTATACCCATTTGGCTGTAGTTTTCGAATAAATAAACCGAGATCTGAAATTATCTTCAGGATCAAAAGTGAGTTTTGATATCAGATTTCGACTTAATTTTGGTTTGAATCAGGCCAAACTGAGATCTTAGAATAGCCTAGGCCAATCTAAGATTGGCCTGAATCCAGCAATGGCCTACGACATATACAAGTATCGCCAAAAAAACTTGTATATCTTGTTATTTAAATATATCCTCATATATAAGCCACTGTCAAGTAGTTTCCATTACTGACAGACAGCCTATGGCGAGTACTATTAAACACTACACTTCAATATCTTATCCATTCGTCTTTAGACTCAATAAGAGACAAACATCGTTTTTTCATCGACATCACAATATTAACATAAACATTTTTAAATTCTTCACATGAAAAAAAAACTCTAGTTCATCAATGTTTTTTCGATTTTCCGTTTTACGATCGATTATAAATTCTGGATAGGATTAACATTTCGAGTATTAGATGGGCACTCTAATAATTCTAATACTTTGTTGTTGATGAGTTGTTTGGAAATATTGTGAATATGCTTACGAGCATTATCTTGTTGTAAAACACCAATTTTGACGAAATTCTTGTCTAGCAGCACAGAGAAGATAATTTTTGTTTAATTTCACTGGAATGGACATTTGATCACAACGGCATACTTTATCATATTTGAGAAATGCTAGTGATGTATTCTCTGTTGTTATTATCATTGTAGATATTTTTCCTTGTTCTGTTTGATACTTTCTGCTCGTTCGTCATCATCTTTGGAAGTATTCCATATATAGATGATTTGTCTTTGTTTATCACCTATATAAACACATCTTACAAGAAATAATTGAGATATGTCAAAATTAGTAAAAATATTAGTTTCTATTGATATATTAGATTTAAGAGAAAATAAATAAAAATATTTAGATAAAAAGTTTTTTTTTCGCATAAATCACAGAGAAAGAGGAGCTTCATACCGCTACGACCGAATGTCCCTTCAAAGGGACATACTGTATATCCATGAAAAAATAAATAATCCTTTTTCTACTGTTATCGCTCCTTTTCGTTCTTTGTTCCTCTTCTTTTATAAATCTTGTTTATTGAAATTGTATTTGTATTTGTTCGAAAGAATTTTCTCTTAATTTGTCAATATATTAAATCGATTAATAAAGAAATTGTTTTATTTTAGGAAAGAATTTCAGATGAATCTCATAATGAAATAACAGATTTAAAAAAATGTTTTATCGACCACTTCGTTTATTGAAAATAATTTCAATTGTTTTATTTCTAATAATAATAATTTATCAATTATATAAAATATCATTTAATTTAAAAAAATATAAATTTATAAGAAAAGAACAAATTATTTCAGCAGTTTCACCAAGTTCACCAATTCCAACAATTTCAATAAATCCTAATGAAGATTTTCAAGAAATAACTGAAACTTTACCACCTTTTTATGTTCGTCTACCGAATTTTTCTGATGATGAAGCTAAAAGTTGGTTTTATAATTCGAGTTATTATAAAATCAATTCAAAAAAATGTCCACATAATTCTTGTGAAAAATATGGAGTTTTATTTAATGATCCAAAAGAACATTTATCAGTTAAATTATCTTTTGTTAAAAATGGTCTTTATTTAAATGATGATTGTGGATATAATTATGGTGATGATGCTGTGAGAAGAGGATTTGAAAATGATAATGAATTAAAAACAATTTATGATAAATTATTTATTTATACAGTACCTGATGGATGGAGTTTTCAACATTTTCTTGATGGAATTGGACCAAAATTATCTCATTCAAGTTCATATTTAAAGAAATATCCTGATGCGAAAGTTCTTATATTAAAAGGTGCTCGATTTGATCGATCTGTTAAAGAAATTTGGTCAATGCTTGGTTAGTTTAATATCTTATTTTTTGTTTCTTCTTCTTCAATTTGTTTATTTAAAAAATAGGAGTTGAAGAATCCTCCCGAATAATTCATCATAATGGAAATAATGAAATTGGTGCTCGTTTATTAATAAATCCATGTCGTACACCAGGTATTCATCCACGTTTATGGCATAATGCACGTGAAATGTATTGGTCAATATCAAATATAACAAAATCATCAAGTGAAAGTGAAAGAAAAAATTTTATTTATATTCAACGAACAGCAACAAATGCAATGAATGGAGGTCGACTTATTTTAAATGATGATTTATTTATGAATTTATTAAAAGAATATTGTTTAAAAAAAAATTTAAATTTTATTCAATATGATCATTCAAAAGATTCAAATCATATTCGATATCGTATTGAATTATTTTATAATTCAAAATATATTATTGGTGTTCATAGTGGAGCTTTATCAAATATGAATTTTGCTCAATCAGGTACAACACTTATTGAAATAATGCCTTATAGACCTTTAAAAAGTTCACTTCCAATGACTTGTTCAATGTTTAATCCAGCAGATCTTAAAGCATGTGCTGGTTATATATTATATACACAATCACAATTACTTAATCAAACTTATTGGATTTTACCAACGGCTGTTAATAATGATGGTAATATGAATGTTGATTTAAATCGAATGAAAAAACTTCTTGAACAAATTTAAATCTATGATGATGTGTGTTTTTGAACTTATTTGTTAAAAATAAATAATCATTGAATTTATTTTATCAATTAAAAAATGTTTGTTTAAAAAAAATATAAATAATTATCGTCGTGTATTCGCTTTTTTAACTGGACCTTTTTTATTACGTCCATTATCAGATTCAGATGAATTATCATCTTCAGTTGTACTTCCTTCTTCACTTGAGTCTTCTTCTAAATGAAACGAGAGAAGAAAAAAAAAACATTTTCTTTTTTTGAAGAAATTGAAAATTAATTAAATAATAAACCTGTGCTTGTTTCATTAGAATCTTTTTTATTAATTTTTGTATTTGCAGCTAATGGTGATGGTCTATTAAATGTTGCTATTCCTGTTTTAGCATTCATTGGTGCACGTGTTGGTGTTGAATTATTATTTGAACGTGCTGTTTGTTGTGTTATTGTTGTTAATGAACGTGTTGGAGTTTGTGTATTTGAAGTTGGTGTTCGTGTTCCTTGAAACCCATTGGAGGTTGACTGTGGCAAGGTTCTTGCTATTTTATCTAATTTATCTTTTCTTGCTTGTTTTTCTCTTTGAAATGCTTGATTTACATAAGATGGTTTATCTTGTTGTTCTTCAACATCTTTTGATGCTGATGATAAATCATATGTACGAGTCTTTTTTACTAATCGACAACAACAAAAACCTAAACGTTCTTTAAATGAAGCGAATCCACTCAATTGTGAATCTCGAATTAATGTATCGTCACTTGCTGCGTTTGTCGTCATTTCAGACATGATCAAATACAAATGTCAATTACAAATAAATCATCAAGTCATGCATGATAACACATTCATTTTGTCCATACAAGTGAGAAGGAAGAAAGAAAGAGAGAGAGACACAGAGAGACACAGAGAGACAGACACCAATAAAGAAGGATAGATTCTTTAGAAAATAGTCGATTATAATGAATATTACTTAAAAAGAATCGTTTCTTTTTCTTTCTTCTCGTCAAGCTGCGATGGCCGAGTGGTTAAGGCGTCTGACTCGAAATCAGATGGGTTCTCCCGCGTAGGTTCGAATCCTACTCGCAGCGCTTTGATTTTTTTTCTTTTTCTTGTTCTTTTTCTTACATCATTATTCCACGTGTATATTTATTTTTATATTCTTTTTAATGAATAAATAAATCTAATATTGAACATACTTGTTAAAAATTTGTAAATATTTATAGAATATATTTGATTAGTTAACGTCGATCTTGTCGGAATATTATATTCATATCAATAATTTATTCGATCATTAAATACATAAAAGGATAATCGACATAAACAAAACTGGATCGAAAGACAACCAATCGAAGAAATCTTCTACTCATATACACGAAATATATGCATAGTGTAACATATTTTCTCGTTAAAATATCTATTTAAATCTTCTTAAATGTAAATGTGAATAAAAATCATTATTAAATTTATTTTTAATGTTTAAATTAATTCGTAAGAATTGATTTTATTAATGTACATCAAATAAAACTATTTTCAAATTAAAAAACTAAATATTCTTCATAGTATTAAAATAGATAAATTATGATGATATCGATGAGATATTTATCTTCAGTTTCTTCATATATTCAATTTAGTTTATGTTTAAATAAATGTCGATAAATTCTATAGACAAATTTTATTTCGTTAGATATCATGTTTCATAACAGAATTAGAAAACCTACCAATTTAGAAGATTTGAAAGACTTCATTCTTTCAATATTGCATAAATAGAAATTAATTGAGACTTAATATTTGTTTTTTCTAATAAACATATATTTAAATAAAAAATAGATGTTCTACATATATATATATATATATTTATCGATTGTAGTTCATATGAAATGAATTTGACATAATGACGGAAGACATAAATTAATTCAAATCAATAAGTTGATCATCAGTATTATTTTCATCTTGAAGAATTTTATCATCAATATAATTTGTTTTCGTTGTAGATGAAGATGAAGAAGAAGATGAAGAAGTTGAAGAAGATGTTTTTCCAAAAAGTTGTTGAACAGTTTGTGTTAATAAAGTTGTATTTTTAATTTGTTTATCATTATTATTTGATGTTGAAATAAGTATATCATCATCATCATTATCTTCATTAGTTTTTGTTTCTTTTGATGATTGAAGTACAAATGAATCATCTTTAGTCGAATTTAATTCATTATTATTTGACGTATTTTTACGAAATAATATATTCATTTTTCTTTTTTGACAATTACTTATGTTACTGAATATTAAAGTCAGTAAGTAAGTAAGTAAGTAATGATTAATATCTATTTCTTGACAAATAAAAACTCGTATTGACTTCATGATGAGTGTTATCCCTAAGCAACAATATGAAGATGACGAAGAAGGGAAAATAAGGAAATAAATCATAAAATAAAAAATGTCATCATCGGATAAAATAACAATATATATTGATACAGAAGATAAGAATTATAATTTCCATGGTTATATACCTGAATTATCAATTAATTCATTTATTTCGACAACAAAAACAAATTCTTTGAATTTAGAACAAGAAGTAAAATTTTATTTAATTTGTAAAGAAAAAAAAATGTTTTTTGTTTTTTATTTATTGATTTTTAGAGAAAATCTTCATCAGTTTATGATAAAATATTTCATGTAAAATCTGAATTTAATCCTAAATCTCATCGAGATGATCGACAACATTCAAAATTTCTTGGATTAAATCAATCAAAAGAAGTTTGATAAATCATTTCTTTTCTTTAATTTTATTAAAATTTTCTATTTAAAGGAAAAAGAAAAATCTTATCCAAGTCGTTCATCATCAGAATATGGTCGTCGATATAATGAATATACTAATTCCAATGATCGATCTCATGTTAAAATTGAACATGTTAAAAAAGATTTCTATAGAAATAATGATTTTACTCTTCAATAATCTACACAATTTCAATACATTTTCTCAATTCCAAACAAGTAATACAATCAATATTTATTTATGATAACAATTCAATATATATTCTAGTCATTCATTTTATTTTTTTATCAAATAAAAATAAAAATTCTTTCTCATATCATGAACAAATATTTTCTCATATAATCGATAAATGTCTCTCTTTTTATTTTTATTATCTTCACTTAATTGATTATATATTGCGTGTCTTATTAAATGTTTGTTGAGAAGATTTAATATAAATAAGTCTAAGTATTATCGGTATAAAAATAGATTTAATTTTAAGGAAAAAAAGATGAAATAATTATTTATTAAAAAAAATAAAAATTTATGAAAATTAAAAAAAAATGTGTTTTTCTTTTTAATTTGAAATAATAAAGATAAGGATAAATTAAAATAAAGTAGCTTCTTCTTCTGGTTTCATAATAAGTCTAAAAACATGTTGTTGTAGTTCAAACGCTTGATTTTCTCTTGAATGATTTAATGTTGCTTGTTCTTCACATTTTTCACAAAATGTTAATGATGGACAATGAATACAATCAAAACGAATTCCATTAACATCATTTTGACATTGATCACATCTAAATAGAAATATTTATTTATTAAAAAAATCAAATATATTTTATTGAATTAAAAAACTAACTTGATACCATTATGATGAACAACAGGAATATCTGGTTTAGGAAGATCAACAATTTTTTGTTTGGGTTGTGCTGTAGTTGAAGGTGTATATTGTTGAGCTTGTGCCCAATTAAATTTAGTTCCACAACCAGATTGAACATTTCCACCGTGTGCATCTTGTCCACATATCATTGAATCACAACCTTCAAGACGTTGAACAACTCGTTTACATGATGGACAAAGACGACAATTTTGAACTTTATATTGTTCATCATTCATTAATTCATCATAACGACGACGTAAATCACGATTTCGATTTTCATTTTCCGTATGTCGACGATTATATTCTTCTAATTGAGCTCCATATGTTGCATCTTGTTGAGCTCTCATTGCTAAATAACGAGCACGTTCTAAAATAGAAAAAGAAAAAGAAAATAAATATTTAAATAAAAATATTTTTGTTAAAAACCTGTTTGACACCAAAAAAACCATCGTTGTGTTATTTGAGGAAGTTGTTGACATGTTGTACGATAATGATATTGTTGATTACAAAGAGAACAAAATTCATTATTACAAAGTAGACATGTAACTCTAAAACGTTCATTTGGATCAGCAGCTTCAGCAACCCAAGTACAATTTTGTTTTGGACATTTTATTATTCCTCGAGTTCGACTTGAATAAACTTCAAATGTTTTTTTCATTTGATAATCTCGAATTTTCTTTAATTCTTCAAATGGAATTCGAAGTTGATTAAGTTCACCATCTTTCAATGGATGTGTACAAATTGCACATGTTAAAATTTCTCCATTATTCATTTTTGTTTGACATGATTGATAATAACATGTATAACATAATTTATGACTATCAGCACAATCAAATACATAGATATCATCATATGGACAAGCTTCCATACAAATATCACAATCTCGTCGTGGCATATCAAATGGAAATATTGCTCCTATACAAAAATAATTCATATATTTCTTATTAGAAAGAATATTAGATATAGTTTACCATATTCAGCAAGTGCTTGTATAATTGTAAAAGGATCTAATGATGATTGTTGATTATTATTAATTTGTAATTGAATATAAAATCTAATTTGTTCTTTTGTAAATGGATATTTGGTTTTTGTTAAAATAAAATTTGTTAATTTTTCTTGACGAGATATTTTTTCATTTCTACATTGTTGTGTATGAATTTGTAATTGTTGAAATGGATATGGTAAATGACAATATTCACAAGGAATAAGATCTTCACATGATTCAAAATGTTCATCAAAATTTTCATTTTCATCAATATTGATATAAAAATGACATTTAGAACAAAATGGTCTTTGTTGACCTTTAACAAGTTTGAAAAGACGATCAGATAAACGACGTTCAAGTGGAATTGATGATATATCATGTCGAGATAATTCATAATCACATTTACTCTTATGACAAACTGGTACTTGACGATTTCGTACAAATTCTTCCATTGATTGTTTTAAACATAATAAACAATGATTATGATGAGAATGACATGCGATCTCATAAAATAAATCATTTTCATCTTTTTTAAAACGATTACTAGATGAAGAAGAAAAAATAAAGAATTCAAGTTGTTTTATTTTCTTATTTTTACCATGTAAAACATTTTGAATTGATTCTATATGATGAAGTTGATGGTTGATTATCTGTATCACCAAGACATGCTTGAACATGATCCATATATTCAGATGCATCAATTGGTTTAAAACAAATAATACAATCTTTTCGTGTTTTAACATTGGCACAAGCTGATGTTTCCATCTGATTTTTATTCTCCTAAAATATAATTTTAAATCAAAATCTATTCAAATCAATTTTTACTTTTGAAAAATAACTTGATTTTATTGGTTGATTATCATTCTTATTTGGAGTATCAGGTAAACAATTCAATACATGATCAGTATATTCACATTCATCAATCGATTTAAAACAAATAATACAATCTTTTTTCTTTTTTATATTATTATTATTATTATTTGTTATTCCAATATCATCCTAAACAAATTCACAAATTTTATTTTTAAAAAATATCAGATATATTTACTTTTGTAGAATAATTTGAATTATTTATTTGATTTTGATCTATATCTGAATCATCAGGTGTACAATTTGATACATGATCCATATATTCCAATTCATCAATTGATTTAAAACAAATAATACAATCTTTTCTTGATGTTTTCTGTTGAAATAAAATTCAATAAATAATTTGTAAAATAATTCAATATTTGATTACTTCAAATTTTTGTTGATTATATGAATATTGTTTAGTCAATGGTTGACGTGAATAAGTTCTATTATGATTTTGTGATTGTTCATCATCAAATGATTGAGAATAATCTTTTTTTTGTTTACTTTTTGGAATTGTTGATGTTGAAGCAATCTTAGTTTTAAGAACAAAAAAATATTTTTTATGTAAAATAAAAATGTTTACTTGAGAAGAATGTCTTTTAGTAGGTATATTATTATTATCATCAATTTTAATCGATATTGGTCGTTGATTATTTGAACAAGATTCTATATGATCACTCAGTTCTGATTGATTGATATATTTTGAACAAAAAATACATTGTTTTTTTGGTGAATTAGATTCTTCAATCTAAATAATTCAAAATAAAATGAAAAATTAAAGAAAGAAACGAATTTTTACTTTAGAAATAGAAGGATTTTCATCACTTCCACAAGATAAAACATGTTCTTTATAATCTAATTCATTTATATCTTTATCACATAAAATACAATGTTTTGTTTGATTTTGTTCTATACGAGGAAATATTTTTGTTGAAGTCTTATTATTCTAATTATTAACAAAGAAAAATTAATATTAAATGGAAAAAACAATGTTACATCGAAAGAATTTTGTGTTTGTTGAAATGTTTCATTATGATTTGTATAATTATTCTCATTCAATGCTGAATCTTGTTGATTATCTGAACAAGATTCAATATGTTCTTTATAAATGGATTCATCAATTTGTTTCGAACATAAAAGACAAAGTTTTGTTTGTTTTTTATTTGATTCTCTTGAATTATTATTTTGATTTCTCTAAATATATTTATTGAAAATAAAATAAAATAAAATAAATAAATTTACTTGAAAAGAAGAATTTTCATAGTTTGAATTATTAGTTAATAGTTTTGATTGATTATCATCTATTGACATTTTATCAGTAGAACAATTTGAAATATGTTCGACATAAATTGATTCATCTATATCTTTGTTACATAGAGTACAATGTTTTTTTCTTCCATTATATTGTTCTACAGGTGTTTGAGCTCTTGGAGTTGCATATCCTGAATTATTCGTTTCCTCATTAGGACGACAATTTTCACAATGTGAAATTAAATCCTCAACATCTTCTTGACAAATAAGACATTTTTTCATTGATTGTGTTATTGATTTTGGTCGACAATGAAGTATATGATCACGTTTATCGTTTTGTGCTACTATTGTTTGACATTGACTGCATTTAATATAACCGGGAAAATCAAAATCCATTCAAACAAATGTTTTACTGGAAGATAATCAATTTTCTAAGCTTTTTCTTTTTATTATCACAGTTTTTAATTGAAATCTAAAATAATATTATTTTGTAATGATGGAGAGAGAGAGAAATATTTTCCAATATAAATTTTATTTATATCATCAATAGATTCTTCTTAACTATTTCAAATCAAAATACAAATTTCTTAGAAGAAAACTTACAATAAATTTTGAATTTCTATGTAGAAAATATGGGTTAATCAATATTCTAAATATTTTTATATTTTTGATCTATTAAATTTATTATTTAAACTATTGTTTTGTATTATTTAATTTCAAATTGTGATGCAATGTAAATTGGAAAAAAAGAAAAAATCTTAGTATTTACTTACTGGTTTCCTACGAATGACAAACCAATATTTTTATGTAAGATGTCGCATGTTTATTACAAGTTTTTATAGAATAAAAAAATTCTTCATATTTTATGGATTTTATCTATTGAATAATCATCATTATGACATAATAAATACTGAAATATAATTCTAATTGAACTATTGTTTACTCTGAAAATCTTTCTAATTTTTCTATAGATTTAAGAAACTTGCTTTTTTCATACTCTCATTTTTCGAATATAAATAAAATTTTGATTAAAGTTGAATTAATATATTGACATTGTATATAAATCAAATAATTTCGTGTATTCTTTTAAATAAATGTTGAATGATGTAAATGAATTCTATGCATATATATATATATATATATATATATATTTGTTTTGTAATAGATTGATAAAATCTACATATAAAAGTAGATTTGTTAAAGAAGATGAAGATTGCGTAGGATCAAGAATAAATAAAGAATAATTGTAAAATGAATGATGAATGATTATCATTTAAAAAGTTGAAAAGACGAGAGATGGTTCTATTGATATATATCTTATTAATTATTTTAATGACAACAACTGGAGAAAATGTTCAATTAAAAAATTGTTCATTAGATTTGGATTGTATTCATGGAATATGTAATAATAAAAATATTAATGAAACATATTGTATATGTGAACGTGGTTGGACAATATCAAATAAAGCAGAATTCTATGGTTGTACTTATGAACAAAAATCTAAATTAGCTGCATTTCTTCTTTCATTTTTTCTTGGTGGTTTTGGCGCTGATTGGTTTTATTTAAGTGTTGGAAATGGTGGTTATATTGCAGGTGGAATTTTTAAAATGTTAACTTTAGGTGGAATGGGAATTTGGTGGCTTGTTGATTGGATTAGAATTTTAACTAATTCATTTCTTGATGGACAAGGTGTGGCATTACTCGAATGGATTCCATGAAAATAATCTTTTTTTTCTTGTCGATTATATAATATATATATATATATGTATATATGATTGTTTGATCGAAGGTCACTTCTTCTTCTTTTTTTTTTTGTCTTAGAAACAGATTGATTGATATGAACATTTGTTCTAATCAATTAAACATGTGTAAATATAAAATAAAATAAATGAATCACAGTTGAACATAGTTTTTTCTTTTAAAAGTGAACAATGAAGATCATGATCATTATTTTACATATTTTAGTTCTAGTTCAAGGTATTGAAATTTTATTCCGTTGATTTTATTAGAAAATTTAATTCATAGATTATTCAGCTCAATATGATGATGATGATGATCAATCGATTCTCTTAACTAAAATTGTTGAAACATCAACAACAATTAATTCCCTTAATTTAATTCTACAAACTACAAATGAATCAATAATAGAAGAAAATACAACAAATATTGTAGAATCAACAAATGAAGTAAATAATATTTCAACAATATTAACAACAGAAGATAATCAATGGTCATCCGTATTTAGTTCAACTTTTGTTTCAAATAATTTTGATTTAACAACATTTGAAAATAAAATTATTTATCAAAAACAACAATGGTTAAATATTAATGAAAATTCTTCAATATTTTGGAGAAAAATAAACGGTAGAAACAAAAAAAAATCTTTTTTTTTCTTTTTATTTGAAATTTGTTAGATGATTCAACTTATATAATAAGATCTGAAGGTCATTGTCTTGAACAGATGTGTTCTATAAAATTAAAATATAATGGATCATTATCAAATACTATTGACGGTTGTTTATCATTTATTCTTTGGACATACGGTAAACCAGGTAAAAAAATTTCTTTTCTCTTTTTAAAAATATTCTATTGAAATATTAGTTGGACAATTATGGATTGAAGAAGATGAAAAACAAGAAAGTTTTTCACAAAAAATTCAATTAACAAATTCAAGTTTACGTGTTGAACATTCATTAAGATCAAAAATAAAAAATGTAGAAAAATAAAAAAAAACTTATTTTAAGAAAAATATTTATTTGAAATTTTTAGTTATCAATTGATGCACGAATATTATTTCGAAATTCTCAAATAGATGCTATTACATTATCGAATTTAAATATCACTTGGAATGGATCTTGTCAAAAATATTCTTCAAGTAATTTAATTTATTAATTCATCTCATAATTTTCTATATATTTTAATAGTAACATCATCAACATCAACATCGGAAAATCCTGTTGAAATATTAACATCAACTGATTATTCAATAATATTTAGTAGTGAAAATGAAAATATATCTGAAACAAGTATATTATCAACAATTGAATTAACAACAATTAAATTAAATGAAAAGAAAATATCATATTCTTTTATTAATCAAATGAATATTGGATGGTTTTTATTCTTAATTATTTTCTTTTGTTTATTAATAATAATTTTATCATTTATTTATGGGATTTGGTCAATACAAAAACATTATCGTTATATATGGTATATTCCATATGATTATCCAATTCAATTTCTTTCACGAACATCAGTTCGTTCATCAACAAGATCACAAAATAAAATTCAAACACTTGCACAAATAACTTCACAAATTTTTCAAGAAAAATATTTTGATACTTCGACAACACATAGTAATCGATCAACAACATCTTCAACATTTTATACTTATTTTTAACTTTAATTTTAAATAATAATAATAATAATGCTTTCTTTATACAAATAAAAAAGATCTTCCTTTTAATATTTCTAACAAAGTTAAATCTAAATTGGTTTAATACACATACAAATAGTTTTAGATTACAGACGATTTATTTAATGAAAGAAAGTTAAGTGGCACATGTGACATATATATATAGAGTAATTATCTATATAGGCAGCTGTTACATTATCGTTATAATCCATTATTTTCCATTATAATGATAAATGAAATGGCTATAATAATTACATGATAGTGCAACAGATGGCTATGTGGGTTAAAAATAATTTGAATTCGATAACCTTTTTTTTTTTACTTAAGTTATAAGATAAGATGTTGAAGAATAATTTTCTACTAACACACGATCGGAATCTTATTTAAAATTGATGTCCTATATTTTTATAAAGTCGAAAGATTGACACAAATTTGTTCTAATCTAAAATTGTTGAATAATTTCTTTTATTTGTCAATTAATATATATAGAGAGAGAGAAAGAGAAAAAAAAAGAATAAATGAAACATTTAAAGTATTAAATAAGAAGAAAAGTTTATAAATGTTTTTGTTTTTATTCATGAAGATGATGTACAATATATCTTGTCCAAATCATATTTTTTAATTCACTACGAAGTAATGCTGATTGAAGAAAACATGTATAACCTGTTATTGCATGATTAAAATATTCAAATCCTATTTTAAATAAAGAATTAAAAAAACAAAGTTTACTTTCAAATAAAATAAAACAAACCTAAACAAATATAAAATGAGATACTTAATTTTTTTAATAATGTATAATCATCATCTAATACATAATGACCATAAAGAGCAATAAATGCTCGTGGAAGAATTGCAATTGAAAGTCCTGTTAAAAAAAATAATATTCCAATTGATTCTTTAACTTTAACTTGAAGTGATAATGGTAATCGTCTAATTTCTTTTAAAAGAAGTATATTAACAAATAATACACTAAAAACAGGCATTGTTGTATCAAGTATTAAATAAGATATTATTGTAAAAAGTGTATTATTAAATTTATAATAACCATATTTAAAATTTGGATTTTGTTTTATAACAAACATTAAACGTTGATAATTTATATCAATAAATTCATAACGTTGAGAAAAAAAATTTGGATGTTGACTTATAAAACCACTGATAAGTATAAATATTATTGCATAAGTAAATTGACGATGTTGTTTACGTTTATGTTTTGAACGCCAATCTAAATGAGTATGATGTTCCCAATATCGAACTGTTAATAAACGTTCAATTGACATAAGAACCTTTTGTAGAATAAGAAGAAGAATTATTTACAAAAAAAAAAAAAAAAAAAAAATTTTCTTTTCTTACCTTACACCAATTAACAACAAATATTGGATATCGATCAATAACAACATAGATTATTTTTGTTATGAAATTTCTTGGAATTACATTGGCAAATATTAGATAATAAAAAATAGAAGATAAAAGACGAATACTATCAAAAAAAGCAATTGTTGCTATAAGTAAACCATAACTAACATGCCGAAATGAAGTATTAGCAATGACATAAATAAGAGCAAGATTAGCCAAAACACCTAATACAGAACAAATAGCAGATGAAATACGAACAGTTTCAAATATAATAAGTAATGATTGAACATGAGATATTTGTTCTCTTGGATGTAAAGTTGTATTTAATGAATGTAAAATAGATTTATTAATTAATGGTATTTGAGATAGACGATTATTTACGTCATGACTGTTCATTTTTTTTTTCGAACAAATGATTTTTTTTATATTCAATTCTCACTATCATATATTGATTTTATCTGTTTATTATCAGTATATATGTTGATTATTTTAATTAAGTAAATACAATCGTAATTGAATTCTTTGAATGAATCTATCATACTATAGAACATCAGACAATAGACATATATATTAGATGAATCAAAGAGAAGAATTGTTTAAATGTAACATGTGTTTTATCTCAAACAAAATAATTAATGAAGTAATCTTTTTAGTGTATTAAAAAAAAAGTAGTAATCATCTTTTACACTTATTATTCAATAATTATTTAGATAATGAAAATCAACATAATAATTGAAATCATTGATACAACAACGTTACTTGTAAGAAAACTCTTCAAAATAGATGATAAAATAATTTGAATAGTTTGTATTCATAATATTTTAATGAACTTAGTTTTCTCAATAATTTAAAAGAAGATGAAAACTATATTTTTTTCTTCAAATCATTTAATTCTATCGTATATGCTTGAATATTCATGTAATACAATAGCAATTTTACATTGTATATTCTATTATCATTTATAACGACTATATGAAAAGTAAATACAATATTTTGATTTGCAAAATAAAAGAATCATTAAAAAATTTATTTAAACTTATATATCAGTCTCTTCTACAAATATTCTTGTCTGCTGTTGAATTCAATTATTTAGTACAAGTTTATAAGACTTCTATTTGAATTATCTCGGAAATATAATTTTTAGTTTGATTAAACAAAATTTAAAGAATCTTTATGGAAATATTTTTTTTCTAATGAATTTCTTGTGAAAAGTAAACTCGTCTTTTAATGAGATTGATTATTTTTATCCTTGTAGACAATTGCAATTAGTCAATCAAAAAAAATAAGTTTCTTTAAATAATATTTTTTATTATTTCACTCATAAGTGAAGAATTACAATAATATAAGTTGTACTTAATAAGGAGAAAAGGGAAAATTCGAATTTGACGTTCAATGACGTTGTGAATATTTGAAGACACGTTCAAGCTATAATAAAACAAAGGAAAAGAAAAATTTAGCTTTTTTTTATCAATAAACAACATACATCAATTGTAATGACAGCTTGACGTAATGCATTGCGAATTAATTCATTGTATTTTGGATCAACGATAATATCAAAATCAATAATTAAATTGTTTGTCTTATCAACAGAAATATTTGAAATATCGATTGATTTAAGACCACCTTGTTGAAATTTACGAATTTCAGCTGCTAAGATATGTTTGAAGTATTGTGGAAAACGTCCGCAAAGTCGGCTAGAAATTTGTTTCAATGAGGCACCTTCTAACAATAATGTTGAGCTGATTTTACGTAATGCACATCCAACACAACTTGTATCCTTACGACTACCTTTACGAAATGGAACATCAGCTGATGTTGATAAAATCTAAATAAATATATATGATATATATAAACAAAGTGATATCAAAGCTAGTCAACATACTCGGACAATATGACCAGTTTGATTCTTCGCGACTTCAGTCATATTTGTTGGTTTAGGTTTATTCTCTTCCGATGATGAAGAGGACGATGAATCCGCTAGAAGAACAAAAAAAAATTATCAGATGTATATACTACGAATATTGTAATTGCAATATAAATCAGAACTCTTATAACACTTCTTATGAACTATTTTGATGAAATACTTACACGGATCAGATTTACGTTCGTTGTGTGGTCCTCGGTTCTCTTCATCTACATCTTTACTGTCATCACCATTAGAACTATCTGCTGAACTTGAATCATCAGTACATGATCGACGTTGGTGTTCATCAATTGCCACGCGTAACTATTAAAGTTTAAAATTCATTTATAATATATTTCAAATAGTCTCTACTTACTTGCTTTTCTTGACAAGCACTATGTAAAGCAGCTTTAATATGCTCATGTTCTTCCTTTTTAGCATCTACTGAATAATGAAATTCACAATGAGAATCATCACCAACTACTTTGACGACATCAATTTTAACTGCTTCTTTTATTCCCTTCTTTGTTAATACTTGGTCAACTAAAGATGAAAGTTCTTTGGCGACAGCTTTTGAGCCAGCAATATGTTTTTGAAACTCTTTGCTTGAACATTTCTTGACACTTAATACACCAACAAGTTTATTCTCTTCAGATGAAATCTTATGTCCATGTTCACAATCAATTTCACAGGGTTCAATCGAAGTACCACAATCTGCTGGCTGCTTCGCTATAAAATTCAAACGCCTTATTAAACTCTAAAACTCCTCCAACTACTTACTCTGTTTTTCTTCAACAGTTGTCTTTGACACACTATGTGCTATAAAAAAAAAGCATTTACAAAATAAAAGAAAACACTGTACGAGATTTAAAACTCACTAGCACCGGTATGTTTGCTGGTTGTATAAGTTGCAGGAATTACATGTGATCCATTTGATCGAGGAACATGTTTCGTTGAACCATGACTGACTGGAGTTTCATGTGGCATCTCGGTATGGTGTTCTGTTGCATGAGTTTCATGTGGTTTCTCGGCTTCATGTGGTTTGTCAGTTTCGTGTGGTTTTTCAGTTACATAGGGTTTGTCAGTTACATGAGGCTTCTCGGTTTCATGTGGCTTTTCAGTTTCGTGTGG